GTTCCCATGATTGCCGTTTAGACTGCGACGCTTCGGAGAGTCTATGTACAGGTCGGGAAGGTATCGACGAACTCTCTCCGGGTCGCGGCGGGGGAGATGGAGAAGTCATGGTGCCGGTGGACACCATAAGTGGCCTTTGGGGTGCAGGCTGGTAGATTGGGACTTGTTGAGAAGAGCGTTCGGGGAGAATGTTTGTCTGAGTAGTCTTCGCTTCCAAAAGTGGGCGAGAGGTTTTAGTAGGTTGTATACCCAAGGCAGGGCTTCTGTGGGGAGGAGGAGCAGTGGCCGGTTTGACAAACGCGTCGTCTGCAAGGGCATTTGTAATTCTTTTAGAAAGATCATCTGTCGGTATATTTGTATCGGCAGACACAGTGGGTTCAAATTCGAACTTCCCACTCTTTTCGTGTATGAGAGTAAACTGGTCCAGCGTCGGAAACCGCGAGGCCAATTCGTCAGGGTGTGTCCGTTTCGCCCCTCCATCGAGCGCCGCAAATGGATCGTGAGATGCAGCTCGAAGAGGTGAAGGGCTGGGCTTAGCGGAGTGCTGAGCCGAAGTAGGTTTCGACGGCCTTCCTCTCCTCATTGGAGCGATGTCTGGTATTATTTGAGTTTCTTGCATAGGCGGAGAGAATACAGCACCGATTTTTGGTGTCTCAGCAGGCGTTGGGAGCTTGTGATGCTGACGAGCCTCGGATTGTGAACGGCCGGAATAAATCTAGAGTGCATGAGTGTCTGTTCCCAGCAAATGCACAGCGATATCCTTACATCACGAATGGGCACTTCCTTTCCTCGCATGTGACACGCCTCTCGCAAAACCTGGTAGATGTTTGGACGATTCTGCGGGTGCTCCTTCAACATCGACGCTATACACAATACGATCAGTCTTTGCTGTAAACACACTGGAGAACAGCATCCTACCTATTAAGAGTTTTAACCGATCGGAGAAGTGCGGGTATGCTGGAAATTTAAAACTTGCGTTGAGAATTGCCATCTGGCCGACCTCTTCGAAAGGTGTTGTGTAGTAGCAGAGCTTGTACAACAATACTCCCAGCGCCCATATATCGCTCTTCTCATCTATCGGCTGTTTCCGGTATACATCGATCATCTCAGGGCTACGATACTGCAGGGTCGTGTGCCGTTGAACGTCGTCCTCGATCAAGCGCCCCTCTGCCGCTGATGATGCAGGCGGCCGCGGAGACGCTGAAGATCCAAAATCGCAGAGTTTGTAGCAGTACGACGAGCCATTAAGTGAAATAAGCACATTCTCCACCTTCAAATCCCTGTGCAATAAAGGGGGTTTTAGATAGTGCATGCAGGCAACGCCCTCCGCCACATCCGTGAATATCTTCAAGACCTCTGGCTCGGTCAAACGATTCTGAAGTCTCGTGTTCATAAAATCAATCAATCCACCACCGGCGCAGAACTCCATGAGTAGGAACACCTCAAACCCGCCTCCCTTCAGCTGCGATGCATGTGAATCGATGTATGTGACGATATGCCGATGACCTTTCAATCTCTTCATCGTCTCGACCTCTGTGCGCATATTGGCCAGGGCTGCTTTATCGGGGACGGCGACCCGTTTTAGTACGGCGGTTTCAGAGCCATCGACGGGCTGTGGAAGCCGAACGACATAGACGTGCGCAAATCCTCCCTCGGAGAGGTATTTCTCTATGACGACCCGGTGGTTTCCAACCTGCACCTTCGTTCCCGGCATGAAGGTGCCTGCGGGAGCTGCAGCGGCGGCGGCCATCTGGTGGTAGAGATCGATCCAGCCAGTTGGTTATTTTAACGACGGAGGGAGTTCGTGAGGAAAGGGAGTGGAAATGTGCGCTGTAGATGAATGGAGGGCTGCTGGTGAATGGGAGACCCGATACATACAGGGATGTACTTGGCAAGGAGGGATCAAAGGATACGGAGGACAACGAAAGGGAGGCCCAAAAGTTAGGAACAACACTGCATTGGGAATAACCGTGTAGAACGCAGGGTATAAAAGACAGGGCAGTAAGGCAATTGTCTCCCAGAAGGAGAGTGGCTTGCCTGTGAATCGAGCTGTGCAGCCGTTGTGTCGAAGTGACTGCGGCGGTGATGATGATGGCAGGGGAGCTGCTCAGCAGGTACGGCGTAATACCACGCCAAGTGACCAACACCGGCGACGGGGCGGGCCTTGGCCAATCAGAGCGCGGGGAGAATGCGGGTGATCGTGGCACCGGTATTGTATTACGGCTGGTTTGCTGGGGTAACTTTGGTAACTTTCTGTTATGACAGATCAGGTGCCGGCTGTTATGTATGTACCGTCACGCACCGTCAAGCGGGCTACACGGACAGGATGACATCGCGGTCACTTCGCTGCTATATATGGGCTCATCGCTGTCCACAACGAGAGCGTTGCTTGGCCGTGAATCAGGTGCGTTTGCGCCTACAGTTTCTTCGGAGCAATTCATCTCTGTTGCCTGGCCCAATCATCAGGCATGAATATTTTATCCTACTCATTTATCTGTTGCCTAGGTTCGCCCGCCTGCGCACCGCGACCAACACGTAGCGACAGCCACGTGTGGACACATTTCGACCGTTCTTCTGCCCCAAAGCTGGTCCGTCCCAGGATCTAAAACCTGAAACGACACCTGGTCGCTGGTCCCTGCGTTGCCTTTTACGGTATATGCCCCCTTCCGATGAAAAGCCGGTCTTTGATTAGAAACCTCCTGCCGACTCTCACGAATTCCAGATGGTATAGCCCATTAATACCCATATTCAAATGTCATCTTCTCATCTCCACGCCTCACGTCCGCTGAGCTGACGCCCATGCCAAGGAGCTTCACGCCAACCATGTCTCTGACGTACTTATCCCAACGGCGGCCCCCGACAATCACCAGGGGAGGCACGTTCTCGCCCCAACCGTCCCTCCTACCCAAGCCCGAAACGTGTTCATCCACCAAATCTGCTTCAGACCAGCGAAGCAAGTATTTCTTCGGCGCATTATTAATCATTCCAAGCACAACTCTCAATCCAGCAAACCCAATGAAACTCAAAAATATGATCCCGAAGGTAATCAGAAAAGATGTGCGAAAGCCGTCCTCCTGGTGCTTCGGTGCAAATATCTGAGCTGCAAAGATGCCAGCCAGATTCCCGTAGCCGTTGATACCAAGCACAATAGCACGCTTGCCCGGATCGGGGATGTTTCCCGCGTACCAAGCAACGGTGAGCGGGCTCGGGATAAAGCAGCCACTCAATAGCAAACACATGCAGAAATAAAGCACCGCGGTCCCAGCAGAGGTAGAAGGCGGGGAGAATAGAAGAGTTAGAACAAGCCCGGTCAGAATGACTGCAAGGCTCGCGAGTATAGGAAGAAAACGCCTGCGTGACTTATCGCTCCAGTGCATAAAAATGTAAAGTGTTATAGAAGCTAAGAGGAACGGAGGCACGGTAAGAATATTGGCGTATAACGGAGACGCCATCTTCAGCGAAGATAGAACGATCGGGAGGAAAATAGAAAATCCTGTGCTAGGAATTGCCGAAGCAATATTGAGGATCAGGATCGGAAAAATGAAAGGTAGAAACAAGACAGTCGAAAGAATCTCCGGCTTCGATAGCCCAGCATCGGCAGTAAAGTTATCACGATCATTTCCAGCCTGGGCCTCAGGAGTGACTCCTTCGTCTTCTAGCAATCGGCGACATTGCTCCCCATGGCTTGAAAACCCATCAATTGCCCCAGTGGCTGCATCAGGGGTGAGCAACGATTCACGAGAAGAGGACATTTCACGATCAGTAACCACCCGTTTTTCGGCACATAGCCTTTCCAGAGGATTTAGAAACCAAGCAGTACCTGCACTCTTCGGCAGCCAGAAGAAGCCAATCAAGGCGATTACAATCGTCAAGAGTCCTTCAGCCATAAACAACACCTGCCATGGTTTCCAGGAATCATCATTTTCGAATTTCCTTGTCGATGGCTCTCCATCCTTTGGAAACCTGGAGAAGACGATAAACGCAAGAAGCCCACCGAGAGCGCCAGCCACGCCGTACGAGCCGTAGAATAGCGCCAGACGTCGCCCAAATTCATAGCGGGTATAGAACAGCGAGAGATATGACACAGTTGTGGGATAAAAGCCCGCTGGAAGTGCCCCGTTGCATTATTAGTATGAACGTCTAACGAGCGAGCGCTTATATCCCCTCATCTCGATACATAAAACATGCAGCAATGCTGTCTCGGTAAAGGAGGGTCTCTAGACCTGAAAACCACGCTGGGAAATTTTTATAAAATGTCAGAGGATCTCTTACCTTCTAGAGATCCTAAAATAATACGGATCAATATCAACTGCCACCTCTTCCTAACCCAGACATGCAGCAGCGTACAGATACCCCACAACGTCATCACACTCGGCACCCAGACGCTCATGCCAAACTTCCTCCCCGCCGCGGCACCCACAGGCTGCAACGCCACAAAGAACACAAAAAACCATGCCACCGCATCGTTTAGATCACCCTTTTGCAGCCCAGCATCCCTGGTGAAGTTGGCAGTTTCGGCGTTGCCGATGTTTGACCTATCGAGAGAGTTTACGAGGAAGAGGAGTGATAAGAAGGGGAGGAGAATGAGGTCCAACTTGCGGACAGTACGGCTGGTAAGCTCATCGTGCCCTTTACCTGTCATAGTGCCCTTCCAACACACACACACTCTCTCTCTCACACACCACGGAGAGGCCCTTGTTTATTCTAGCGAACGCCTCGGGAATCCAATGTCGATGCTTTCAGTTTAGCGCAATCGTGACCCAGCCTAACCCTGTTTGTGCTAGTAAGTTATTACTCAGCTGCACCATAATTTAGTTAGACTTAAGGTTGACCAATCATTTGACAGTTGGGAGCGTCTAGTCTAAAAAAGGAAAGAGCCAAACAAACAACCCCAACATTCATTTCAACCTCATCTGAAAGCCTGCATCCAGACCAGAATAAGAAGCAAACGTATTGCAACTATTTGAGACCGGAAGAGAAATGGTTGTTATGATGATAAATTATAGACAGATACAATGAACAGCTAGGTTGCTCAAACGAACGGAGCAGTGTTTGTCCCTTCCCTTGCTCAGTCGGATCTCCACACCTTGTCGCGATGAAGCGGTGAGACTTGTTGAAATCCGCGGCAGCTCAGTGTCGCGAACAGGGAAAGGAAACTTTCCATTCTTCTAAACTCTGTATTTGCACCCCTATTCCTGTCAATCTGCGGAACTCAACAAACTCCTTTGCCCTCCGTAAATGCACCCTCGGGACAACACTCTCATTCCTGAGATCACAATCTCGGAATGTTGGACAAACGATGGTGAAGATCTGGCTTTGAATTAAACTTACTGGGTCACGGCAACGGCCCGACAACAGCACAGGAGACTCTCCAGTCTATTGGAAAAGTGGGCGGAATTTTCCTCGCATCCGATTGGAGGTAGGCAACCGTTAGCTTTTTCTCCCAGGCTAACAGGCAACGATCCCGTCCAGCCGCCCACGCATGTCGAAATTTTGTCACCTTTCTTGCATTGTTTGTGTACTCCCGACGCTGCGTCCTGATCCCTGACCCGTTTCTCTGCCTTCATTGATCCAGTGTGGACTCGAGATCACATCCATCTTTCCTCGATTTGGCATAATTCCTGTGCCACCGTCCCCAAGCACACTTTCAGGTCCCACGGACAATCAACTCCCATTCGCCACTCGCCACCACGTTGACATTGGATCACACTTGTTGTCGTTTGTTATTATATCATTTCTCCCCACGTACTCCGTATTTTATTCTCATTTCTTATCCTGCAACGCGGAGCGCCGCTCGGAGCGCTTCTCAGGTGTAACGTTTCGAGCCAAAGCTGAGGGGTTGGGAAACCATACTTTGGCCCTTCACTCTAGATTATCCCTTGTCGGAACCACATTCACACTGACCGTCCATTTTCCATTTGTCGCCCATCGCAGTCACATACTTCTGTTCTCCTGTACGCAGCGCCACACGGATCGCAAATCGGTTTTGTGGCTATATGTTCGCACAATCATGAAGAAGCGCTCCCCAAGTCTAACAAATAGCACGGTACAATCTCTCACATCTTAACACCGCGTAGCGCGACGGAAGAACGGCTGTTCCCCCAAGGATTTGTGGTTGTGACTTCGACACCTCGCACAATATGGACGGTCCGCCTCCCCCTCCGCCCCCTCACGGGGCAAACCCGAGAACCACCGCAGAAGGTGGTGCCGATGACGGACAATATCGAAAAGCATCAGACCTGCCAGAGGGTCCGTACGATATTTTTATAATCCCCCCACATTCTTCTGGCTCGGGTTTTCTCTATCTCCCATCGTTGCAATGCCACAGGAATAGCTTTCTGGCCGGTGTTGCTTCCGCGCTACTAGGAGTGGTATTATATATAAATGTTTTGCCGCTCTTGAAGAATTGGTTCGCGACGGTCGTGCAGAGCGGAGGCATGGGTGTTTTCATGCTCGTTATCGGGGTGGGAGTTATTTGCTGGACCCTGGGTAGAACGCAGATTGAAGGAAGCAGCTCTTCCAGGCCACGAAACCGGAACAGGCCTGGCTCGCCAAATGGAGGTCGAGGTCCGCAAGGTCCTCCTCCTGGGCCGCCACCAGGGGCCGGGCCACGACCAACCGGCGGCCCCAATCCGTCCCCAGGAGGCCATCAATATCAGAATTTTGGAGGGCAGTATCCCGGCGCGGGTTTTGGTGGGCCGCCTCCAAATTCTGGTCCCCAATTTCCTGGCGGACAATATCCGGGTGGTCAATTCCCAGGCGGCCATCAATATTACCCTGGTGCTCAGTATCCTGGAGGACATACACCACCACCACCACCACCACGATCCCATCCCTCGCCTCCTCCTCCGCCGCCGCCGCCGCCGCCGCCTCCACCACAGCCAGAGCCGCCAAGAGAACCCCCTAAACCCCAGCGACCACCTTCCCCACAACCACCTCCGAAGCCTACCCCTAAGCCTGCTCCTGAACCTCAGCAAGAGCGCAAACCTGAGCCGAAGCCTGAGCCTGAGGTGGAAGCTACACCAACGCCAGAACCAAAGCCCGTGCCAAAGCCTGAGCCCCGGGTTGAAACAAAACCTGAGCCAAAGCCCCAACCACCGCCAGAACCGAAACAAGAGCTCAAGCCAGAACCTAAGCAGGAAGCTCCACCATCGCCTCCACCATCAAATACTGGGGCGAAACCCGCGCAAGACAAGCAAAAGAGCGATTGGGAAAGAGCAAGAGAAGAAATGAGGCGCAAGGAAGAGATTCGCAGGAAAATGGAAGAGTTTCGAAGAAAACGGGCAGAAGATGAGAAAAGAAAGCAAGAGGAAGAAGAAAGAATTGCGCGGGAGGAGCAAGAAAAACGAGAAAAAGAGGCCCGCGAGAGAGAATATCGTGAATGGAAGGAGAAGAGAGCCAGAGAGCGAGCCGAAAAGGAGGCGGCTGAGAAAGAAGCGGCAGAGAAAGCTGCAAAGGAGAAAGCTCGAGAAGAAGCTGCAGCTAGATTTGCTGCAGCGAGAGAGGCGGCAGCCGCAAGGCGAGCTGCTGAGAAGGCTGCGGCCGAGAAAGCTGCTGCTGAGAAAGAAGCCGCCGAGCAAGCGGCAAAGGCTGCCGCAGAGAAGGAGGCGGCCGAGAAGGAAGCTGCACGAAAAGCTGCTGCAGAAAAAGCTGCTGCGGAGAGGGCCGCAAGGGTTGCAAAAGCTGCGGAGGCTGCAAGGGCCGCAAGGGCCGCAAAGGTTGCGCAATCTGCGGCGCCTCCACCGTCAGTACAGTCCTCAAAGGCCGAACAGCAGCCGGCTTCATCTCCAAAGCCTCCATTCCCTAGTACTAAAACTAATACGGACGATGATGCGTATTCCTTTCGCCCTTACGACCGCCCTAGACCCGGTATGCACAAGCAGCAATCTTCAGCGTCCTCTGTATTTTCAGAATCGACCTATGCATCACAGACGACTGCACGAACAACGCCACCACCATCCCGACGAGGACCATATAGCACGAAGAATCCTGATAAGGTTGTTATCCACGGTGTGTACTCATTCAACAACGCTTTTATGAGAACCCCAATCGCGCAGTTGGTATCAGGACGAGGTGTAGTGACGGATGGGCTGATACTGCGCATCACAACCGAGGGGATGTTTGTCGACGACGATGTGAGAGGTGTGGCCCAGCGAGAATGGGACATCAAAGCATGGACGATGAAACTGGTAGAGGTATGGTGCCCCCTGCTTGGTGCAAATTCATCAACCACCACTCGTCCGACTGTGCCCAAGCTCAGTCCTTTCCGCTTCAGCACTTCGCACGCGTCCAAGATCCCCAGCAGCGGGGATTCAGACGCGTTTCTTGCATCTTTGCTCAAGACCTGCAAGAACCAGTGCCGATTGGAAACCAGTGATAATGGTGGTAGTCGCTCTAATGGGCTAAATATTGACGGGATGAATGTCAATGAACAGACTGCTGCGGCCCCGCGAGGCCTTCATATCGTCCGTGCCAGTCTCCGGGACCAGGAAGGCAAGAAATATATCTTCGTTTTGCCGGAGACTGAGGCTTGGAAAGTCGCCGTTGGACTTCAGCGATTGCGCAAGGGAAGCCAGGTTCGCGCATTGGGAGTGTGTGGCTTACCTTTGAATGAAACACACTCCATCCTCTCCAACTTAGGATACTGAACATAGTTCTGAGAAGGAGTTTTTGGAAAAGAAAGATGATAAACCAAGATTCTTGTTTATTATAATAACAAGGTTTGATGAAAGAATATAGTTGTCGCCCCCGGCGATACAGGAACATTCCTGATGCAGACAGCAAACACTCGGCGGCCTGGTGAAAGGCTGCACACAACATGGCATCGCGCGATCACAGTCACTCTATGCTCTCTCTTGTGCATCTTCCCAAGCCTGTCCTTTCGAGCGAGTTCTATGGGTTGATTTTAAGGGTGCTTTCGTTGTGACTACTATTTCAGTTTGCATTTGTCTTGAATCATTAGCGATGGAGTTTCATGCATTTCTCTCTGGCTCTGGAACAAATATCCCCTCTTGTTGACAGTTGAAAATTCTCTGTGACAGAATCATCTTGTCCAAGCTACTTTATTGCCCAGAAAGTCTGTTTTGTCTACTTTGTTATTCCCATGCGTGTTTGGAGATTTTGCGGGAAGCTTTGCCATGGCCACTGCAGCCAACCTTAATATACTCAGTGCCACGTTAACTAAACTTAGAGGAAAGAATATTAACTCATTTTCAATTAATTTACTGTTAACAGAATCTAACAACATCGATATTCATGAATTGGAATGATTCTGGTGCATGTTTCTTTTGCTAGAGTACATTTCCAATTGCGAAATGAGAAAGGTATTTCCAATTTCACTCCTGAATAGCTCCGCATGATTGAACTCCACCAAGTCCCAGCTCTGGAACCGAACATGATGGCTTGGGTGGTAAAGCTTCAGTCTCCGCCATCGTTAACGATCCTGTCAGCGCCGACCCAGCGTCCAGGCCATTCGACGCCACGCATAATCGTGCTGCCTGGAGCACCTTGATTCGCGGGCCGAGGACCCTGCTCGGGCAATCATCGACTCCGCAAACACCCAGCCATGTTCAACTGCATGGCTGAAGTTAACTAGCTATGCATGTGGAGAGATATGTGGTTTGGGAATAATTCAGCTGCCTAGCCGGCATCAACTCCATCCATCCTGCAAACCGCTGAGCCGTCACCAAGTTTCATTCATCTTGTCAATGCTGGTGATTGCAATGGTCTCTCCGGTCGGCTTTTCTATTTCACAGGGTCCGAACAAACACTAAATCCCTGACCTGGCTGGTCTGACGAGCCCAAGAAACCGAGAGAGGATTAGGAACTGCTGAAAAGGTGCCTTTGAAACAGCTACAAAAGGATCAAGGTGTGTCCATTTCTTAACAGCAAGTTTTCATACACTCACGCGTTGGTTTTGCCTGATCCAAGTTTTATCCTCTTTCTCTATGATCGGGAGGAGAGAAGTCATGCTCGATCTCAGAAGTGAAGGATCAGTTCAGCCAAATTGATTTGCTTTGGGACCCTTTTATTTCCTTTTACAATGTCCTTTTCACCCCTAGCAATGTGTATTCTCTTCACTTTGTTTCATCAGAGCCAAATGTTAATGGACCAAAGGACACCCTCACCATTGAATGATCACGATTTATTTGACCAAAAGGCAAAGAGAAGAGAAGCAAAGTTCGTGGAAAATTACCTGGGTCTGACAGAAGCCAGCGATGGCTCCATTCGCACGCCCAAGCGGTTTCGGATACATCCCCGTTAATATCCAAGATGATGATGTACCACCTTCGCCTTGCGGTTCGGAGCTAACGACAGGTACCGGTGATATCATATACACTCCTTCAGCATCTGACAGCAATGTCGGTAGTAAAGGAGACCTAAAAGAAGATGATTATGCTTCAGAGAGTGATGTGCTGCTCACATCTCCTCCCCCTGAATATCAGGACATTGCTCAAGGGACTAAAGATGTTATTGTCGATACGAAAGTTAGCAACGAAGTTCATTCGGAACGTGATATTCCAGCCGACAGCCTTCGCAAGGACGCTGAAGCGGGATATCCAAAGACACAAAGGCGAAGATGTTGCGGGCGACGGAAAGAGAAAGATGCTCGACGGTGCCAATTTACCAAATGGTCGCTATGCGTCGGAATCGCCAAGTCTATCCTTCTTGCCAGTCTAGTGTGCATGGTGTTCAAGAGCTTATTCTATACAAACGACGGAGTAGGTTTATCCTTCAGAACCAATCCCCTGTCCGCTCTCAACTTTCTTCGATATGATGCCCAATTCAAATACTAAAGTTGATCTCTAGCACCACGAGCATCACGACCATGAAGACGGGTATCACGATGGTTCTGGTGACGGGCCAACCCCCAGAAGGGAGATCAAAATCCGCAGACGCTCCACTGGGATCGCTGGCACATACCCTCTGTACGATTTGCTTTCTCTGAGGACCAGGTCTGGCTCTATAGCCGTTGTCATCGATCCACAACCAGCTGACCCAAACGATCCCGACAAACCTGCCCGGGTAGACATAAGCTCCAGATCTGGAAGCGTTTTGGTGCAGTTCCGCATGCCAGAGCACGGAGGGTGGTATAACTATGCCGAATTCGATGATGATATGAAAGATCTCAGAGCCGAACTCGGATCAATACGAGACGAGGGAAGAGCCAGGTGGACGAAATCGCGCCCAATGCGCTCGCACTCAACCCGCAAATCCAAATGGAACGCCCATTCCACGAAGAAATTAACCACCTTACCTCCTCGACCGTACGAAATCAAAATCACCACCCGCAGCGGCAGCATCACCGCCAACGTCGCTTTCTCCACTGGCGCAAAAATATCCTCCCGCAGCGGGAACATCAACGCCCGCCTGACGCCACTTGTCTTCCATGACGCAGATTACCTAGAGAAATATAAGAATGTCTCCATCACCACCGCCAACCGACAGGGCGAAACAAATCTCGTGCTAAACGAAGCACTAATTTTCCAAAGACCAGAATCCAACCACTCGCATCCACCACGGATGCGTGGCCTTCGACATTCTTATGAACTGACTGCCACGGCGACGCACACCACAAGAGGCCTGGGCTCTGTGTCTGTTACCTACCCGCCATCTTGGGCCGGACATGTCCACGCGATTGCTTCAAGGACGGGAAACATCCTTGTTGGTGGAGAGGGGGTCCAGATCATTCAACGAGGGAAGACATTTGTAGACGGTGTTAAAGAGGCTGAGAGAACGTTGCCGATAGAGAAAGAGTGGTGGGGAAGCAGAGGAGATATGAATGTTAAACTTGGGGGACGGACAAGCATGGTTCAATTCTGGGTCAGGGATGATTGATTGATTAGAACATGTTTTCACTCCCTCTCTCTCTTATTGGGCATGTGATGATTTGAAAAGGTTCTGAAGTTCTTTCTTGTCTGGTTCTCTCGTTTCATGGAATGGACATATGTAGGTACCTGACAATCTGACATTTATTATGGTTAACGCGCAAAAGGAGGAATGAATCTGTTAGACTCACCTAGTCATTGCCTTTTGCTAAAGTAGCTGTTAGTATTCATTTCATAGCAAGTCATGAAGGTATTGCTAGGAAAAAACAATGGGATGAAAGACATTCTCAGGGTGCCCATAATAAAATAGAGAAAAAGGATCCCGAGTTAGAGCAAATTTAACAGGAAAAGCATGACAAGGCTAGTGTCAGGAACAACTTTCTGTATTTCTAACCACGTCCTATCTTTCAACCTAATTATCTCAACTCATCTCAAAAGAGGGTGAAAATGAAAAAAAAAAAAAAAAAAGTAGGTAATAGGTTTAGAAACAACACGGGGAGAAGTAGAGAAAAGGAGGAGGATAAAAGCAGGCTGTGGTAGGTATTATGCCAGCAGAAAATAGACCAAAGCCATATTTTAACAAATACAACAGAGAGCAAGATAGTGGTGGCAGGTATCTCTCGTCTATCATGTATATGAATGCTTGCATGCATCTATCAAACCAGCACAGAGGGACGAATGCTTGGAAGTTGGATATCAAATGCAATGGTAGGTATTTGGGAGGAAAACCAAAAAAACACTCAAAGATTACTCAAACAACAGGAAAGGAAACAGTGAGAACAATGAGGACAAAGCGAACTGCTTTTGAATTGAGGGAAATAAAGAGGGAAAAAAATTGAGCCAAGAGTATAAAACTTTGTCCAAGCTGCCATCCACTTTCTTATCCTCATTGATCCAGATTCATTCTAGAGATGATAGAGGGTTACCATCCATGCTGTGCTTCAAATGGGTTCCCGCCGGCGTGTGCGAATGAACCACCACCACCATTCATCATGTTGAAGATAAAATTTGGATCGAGACGAATATTCGCACCGCCCATACCGCCCATGCCTCCCATGCCTCCCATGTGGCTGAAGCCGCCACCACGGGCAAACATGTCAGAAGGGTCCAGGAGATCATCCCCATTGTCATAGCCAGCCCGTTTCCTACAGAAGCACTGGTTAGCCATTTTATATCTTTCAACAACTCCAACATAGGAGCAGTACGTTCACAGCTAAAGTAAAACAAATAGGAAACATACTGTGGGTCGCTCAAGACCTCATAGGCCTCACCGATCTCCTTGAACAATTCATCACTCTTGTCGCTGTCGCGGTTCTTGTCGGGGTGGTGTTGAATAGCCAGCTTGCGGTATGCCTTCTTAATCTCCTGATCAGTAGCGGTTTTTTCAACCCCAAGAATCTTATAATAGTCCTTGCGCTGGCTCTTCTTAAGTTCCCACTCTGCGTTACGTATCTCCTCTTGTATTCCCCTTTCATGAGGGTTGCTTTCGGCGATGCTCTTGAGCTCGTTCAGCGCCTTCTCCCAGTCACCCGTGCCGCCATATGCTTTCGCCCGTACCCGCTTCGCTTTCGAATATGTAGGGTCTAGTTCCAAGGCCTTGGTGCAATCCTCGATCGCTTGTTCATATTCATTAAGGTTGACGTGTGCCTGGGCCCGGTTCTGGAGAAGTTTTGAATTGATATCTTTATTGGTTGGGTCTATCTCGAGACCGGCCGTGTACAATTTTATCGCTTCCCGGTACCGTCTGGCTTTGAAAGCTGCATTTCCTTCGTCCTTGTGACGCAACAATTTCTGAACCATACGCAGATATTTCACCGTCTGCGTAGAATCAGGGTCTAAGCTTAACGCGCGCTTAAAATGCTTGATCGCTTGTTCGTTGTCACCTTGGAGGTAAAATAACCGGCCCCGTAAGAACAAAGCGTCCGGATCCTGGCTATTCTCCCGCAATAAGGACATAGCAATATTCTGTGCATCTCCTAACGCATTGACGTTTCCCATTTTCAAGTATGCTTCAATTCGCATTAACAGCCATTTGCGAGGCTGTGTCATTCCAGTACCCAGCCCCCGAACTGCCTGGTCCAAGGAGTACAAGACCATTGAGCCACCCCCTTTGTCTTGTTTCAGGGTCTCTTCGGCCTGGGCGATGTACCTCAGCATAGCTTCTGCAGGTGCCTTGTCCTTCGTAGAGGCCGGTGGTTGTATTTGGGAGTAAATAGCCAGGGCCTCTGAGGGTCGTCCAAGAGCAGTGTATATGCGTGCTAACCGATGCATGATTTTTGGGTTTCCTGGTTCAAGCTCATCGGCTCGCTTGCAATCCTCCAACGCTTCATTGTACCTGTTTGCAGAAATATAGGCGGCCGCACGATTGGACAAATAGGTTGGTGATGTTGGTTGAGCCTCAACAGCTAAACAAATGTTAACAGTTCTTGAACAAACAACTTTTTTTCTAGTCTCTTAAAAATAAATGGAGCAAAATGCAGGAAGGAAATAAAAAAAAAAAAAAAAAAAAAAAAAAAGAGGGTCAAAATAAAACTATAGCAAAGGACCAACTAACCCTTCGTATACTCCAAGATAGCTCTCTGGTAGTTTCCAGCCTTGAAAAATTTATTCCCCGCCAGCTTATAAGCTTCCGCATCGACCACGGGCGCGGGAGGAGGTGTAACGGTATGAGGAGGCGGGGTTGGGCTCCGGTCCTCGTCCGCAATTTTGGAGTTCACGCCATTGGTTTCGGTTGCAGAGGTTGCAGGGGAAGTTTGCGAAGGTGTGACAAAGGAGGATGGCGAAGTCGGGGTCTCGGACTCTAAATCCATAGAGCCTCGAGCCTCATCTCTCGCAGCCGCCATGGCGGAAAGGCGTCGAAGCTCGTCCGGGTGAAGGTTCAACGGGTGGTCGTAGGAGGAAGAGGAGCAGTGCTTCTTGGACTTGCGCTTCGTCGGGCTTATTGTCGGGCTGGCTGAGGATGAGTAGGGCGGGAGCGAGTCTCGATAAGGCCTTGACGAGGCCGACGAAGGCTTCGGCTGGGATTTGGTAGGGCTTCTGCGAGGTGGGGAGGAGGCAGATCGGTGGGAGGAGTATTGCCGGCGATGGTGGGATGGCTTGCTGCGTGCTTCAGCGGTGTGAGAAGAGCTCCGTTCGGGATGCTCTGGCCGGGCGGGATCGTGCACCTGGGAGGATGGGGTCGTGGTGGTGGTGGTGGTAGTGGTGGCGGCTATGTGTTGCTTGCGACGTGGTGATGCGATGTGTTCCGGAACAGAAGAGAGATTGTTGTCAAATTGAAGGTCCGGAGGGCTGCTGCTTCTGCTCTCTTTCTTCTTGTGGTGGGATTTGGAGTTTTTGAAGAGTTTTGGTAGCACCATGAGGACAAGCTGTGGATCTGAAGTGGGAAACTTTTTTTTTTCTTCGCCCTCTTGCTCAGGAAACCAAAAAAGTTTTTCTTTTTTTTTTTTTTCGTTCTTGTTCTATGACCAACACAGAAATTTTTCAGCAGGACTGAGGAACAGAAGCTAAATAGAACATTGATTGTGGACAGGTGTTCACCCAGCTAAAATTCATCCTTGAGAAATGATGGCGATGGAGATGCGGCATAGAAAGGCGCAAAAAAGAAAAGAAGGTCACCTACATCGTGTGATCTTTTAATAATAATAAAGAGGTGGCTGAGAGGAATTCTCCATTAATTTTCCTTCTTTCTGCCCTGCTCGTCAGGCAGAATCAGTCAATCGGCTTGCTGTCCAGTCTCTCGTCATCTTCCCCTCCACGAGAGCATTAATACGATGTCACTTGGCTGCGAAATATCCACTGCAGAGCTGCTGGCGGATGCGAATAATGTTGGGGCTGGTGCAATAGAATGCGTCTCTTGGGATTCCACCGGTTTCTACTCGCGCACTCCCCCAGGATTGGTGGAGTCGGCGGCGTGCAAAAAAACACAGACCCTCCTCCGCATGCTTAGCATCCCGGCCGACAATGCAGCCTGCGAGATTGTGATGGTCCGGGGCGGTTGTCCGGTCGCTCGCAGAATCCAGTCATGCTCTCAAATTCTTCCCGCGTCCCTTTTGGAGTAAATACATCGTGATCCGGCCTACCAAGAGCACAGATAGTTTTAATATTCAACTGCAGGCTCACCAGTTACGCTATAGGTTGAATTTACATTGTCAATTCCAATGAATGTCTTTCGAAAATCTACTTGCTCTCCCGCCCGCATCGCAACGTTCTGCAGTCAAACAAAAGCGTGTCGTCAAGGTTTCAACGGGCGAAATAAGCTTCCCGCAGTTTGGCGCCTCTTCGTCGATAGTCACGCACCACTCTGTAAAATCTAACTTATAGGTAGCATGGGTTGATTGAACGAAAACAAACTTCAATTTCTACATAGTCACCAACCAAGTTAATACAGCAAATGAGCCAGATTCATAAAGTCATCGTATCCAAATTCGAAGATCCGTCTAAAGAGCATCCGCAATGCTTTTTGCAGTCCGATGGCCGAGTTCCTCCAGGTCCAATGCAAAACTAAGGAAAAAAAAAAAAGAAAAAAGAAAAAAGAAAAAGAAAAAGAAAAAGAAAAAGAAAGGGAAGCTGTGAACCAACGAGAGGGGAAAAAAAGGGGGAAAGAATAAAAGAAGAAAAAAATGGAGGGGAAGCCAAATATAGACACAGAAAATTGGAGATGATCTCGGTGCCAGGCTATATCAAAGAAAAAAGAAAGAAAAAAAAAAATTCACCCTGGTCAGCGTCAAATGATGGAAAGCATTGATTGTATCGAAGACAAACCCTGCGGCCCATTTAAAGACTCCTTGTTGACGTACCCGAGAGCTACAGACTCCGGCTTCGATGTTGCTACACACTGGGGAGACTTGGAATATGCTTCCACAGTAGAAATACCACGGGGTTCTTCATTATCCCGTGGCCTTTTATGCGAGTCATCCGGTTTATAGTGGTTATGGCACTGAAACAAGTGCTAGTCAGTATCAAGCGTCATTTTAACTTTGTAATCGTCAACAGTGGGAGTTCACCTTGTATGCATGTCGAAACCAGGTCGTCCCCTTTTTCTTGCTAGTCACAAGTCCCACCCACTGGCCACAGTTCCCACACAGGCCTTCCCAGATGTTTGCACTTCCCTCCGTCCTCCTTATTTCCTTCGGCGCCGCGAACGCTTGTCCGGTAACGGCACTGATGCCATGCGTAAAGCTTTTATCGTACCAGAATGCCGAGTTCTTCAATACAAGCCAGCGACCTGGCTTGCAGATGCCACACCATCCCTCACGCTTGTTTCCATGGCCACGAACCCACTTTGGAGTATATAGGTCATTCTCAAACCGCAAGTCCTGTTCGTGGGGAACCATAGTCGGGTCCGATGGCATCATGTCTTCTGGCGGAGGGGACAGAGGCGTGTCTTTCAGCGGACCCAATAGATCAGGAGGGTCTGAAAGCCCAGAATAATCCTCAAAGTACGTCTGATCGGGGTCGACGTCGCTGCGTAACGTCCGTGGTATCCTCTGCGATGCGATCGGCTCAGGAACGGCGAAGCGATGGCCATATTGATCAAGACCAGGGAATCCGGAATTGACGAATAGATTTCCAGACTGGAGGGGCCCTTGCACCATCGGCGAGGGGAAAAAGGGGCCTCCTCGCATCTGTGGAGACCCATATGATGAAGAGTTGCCCGGCTTTCGGCCAACAAGAGGAGAAGGAACGTAGGGAGAGAAAGAAGCGCTGGAACCGCCTGACATTCTTCTACGACCAACATCTAGAGAATACGGGCTCGACTGGGGCCTTGGACGGGGAGATGACGTCCGTTTTGGCCGGGGGCCAAATCGGACTACATCGGAATGTCGCCTGGGAGAAGGCATGGGCGATAAAGGAGTGGAAGAAAAATAGACTGAGCTCTGCGGAGTGAAACTGGAGCAAGACGATGGGGCATCCGAGTAAGCGGAGAAGTTAAAATCGATGGATGGCGTGTTGCTTGAAAACGAATAAGGAGAGAATGAAAACGGAGTGAGAACGTTGGTGTTGAGCGTAAGCTGTTGCTGCTCTGCCAACCGAGGTCTTTTTCTGGTATTAGAATCAGCATTTTCAGTCAGCAGACCCAGCGAGTCTGCAAACGTATTCGAATCTGGCTCGTTGGCCATAGGGCTCGAATGAATCGGCAAAGATAACCTCTCGTAAAATTCTATCATAACATTAGCGAATGCTCGTAGTGTAGCAGCAGTTCGAATTAAAAAAAAAAAAAAATAAAATAAAATTCCCTCGGAAAGAGCGCTATCGCCTCAGCTCACCTTGAGACTGAGACACAGGGGGAGCCAACTGGTCTGAAGGCACAAGGTAACTCTGTGGGTTCCATGTTGGGTCTTTGGGACCGCTCTCTGCAACTGGCAAAGAATAGGCATTCTGATACCATGGTTTTGGCGGCACGGTATCATGATTATTCGACGTGGTTTGCCCTGGAGAGAGTGTATTCTTTTGATCCGACTCTCCTGTGACTGCCGCATTTTCAGGTAAGCAGTCGTCAGCGTCTTGTGGCTTCTTGCCCCAACATGGAGGGAGAAATCGGATCGGTGAGAGGGTCGACGGCCACAAATCTCTGACAACACAATCATCAAGTCAAATCTACTCCACATGGCTGATAATAAGGTGTTGGAAATGGAAATGCACAAACATACTCCTGCGGCACCTGTCTGAGCTCTGGCTTGCTTGTCGACATGTTGGCCGGGATCAACTCTCCGCTGATAGCTGCCGTGTCGATGGTGGAATTTCTTCGTCGCTGTACGGATCCCATTGGGCCCGGAAGAATCTATACGTATTCCTTTAAGAAATGAAAGCAGGCTTTCCGTTATTCCTGCTCCCAAAGCGAAAGCGAAAGCAAGGGAGTATATGAAGTCCTGCTTGGTAGGGTCTGGTGCCTAAAGAGTGAAAAGGCGGCCCACGCCCTTTCAAAGAACGTTTTATTTAAGAACAGCGAGCGTTGGTATACGTAGTAGTAATGCAAAATTTGTTCCCGCTTGGTGATCGAGATTGTCAAGGTAGACGCGCAAAGATCTCTAGAGTGGTGGAAGCTAACGATCGAAGAGCCTCAACAAGCCACCTCTATCAACAAGAGATTTTATATTATAAAAGGAACGACTTCATCCGCCCGCAACCCATAAGGCTGATGATATGGCGAGAAAGAGAGAAAGAGAGAGAGAATGAATAAAAGGAAGGAAACAAAAAGAAATAAAAATAAAAAAGATAAAAATAAAAACCAAGGGAGCGACTATATCAATCTTCTAGGCGGTATTAATGCGATTGCATCTTCCATGATGGAGAAACAGGTCTCGGCGGTAAAATAAAGAGCAGGTCAACCATCTGCAAGAGATCGAGGGGCCAGACCCGTAATATCAAGCCAGTTCTTTTGGTCGGACATTTACCAGAAACCGCCAGGGCGGCTAGGGCGAGACGAAAGAGGGTCTCATTGATCAGAATCTGGTAAGTGATGGCCTCTCGCCGACGGATTTACGTCAGGAGTGCGAAAAATTATTCATGCTCTCCAGGCCGTTTGGCGCCGTGGCCCGGACTGACGACAGAGACGTCTCATGATGATTGGGGGTTGCGCGCCAAGAGGCCGTGAAGAACGGAGAGACACGTAGCGCCATCACGATTCGCTCGCCCTGGAGGTGCTTCTCGCGGCGAGGAGGAGAGAGGAGAGGGAGGTTGCCGCCAGCCAGCACGGGCCAGTCATGGAAGTGAACCGAAGCGCCGGCCCTCTTTGGGGGATGCGAAACTAACGGCGCGTCAGGTCGCGGGGGCGGTCAGATTGACGAGAGAAGACAGTTGAGGGCCAGCACCCCCTGGAACACGGTCAAATCTAAAACCCGTCGAATCAGGACAGACGCTGGGGGCTAAGTGTCCAGAAGCAGACAACTGAGGCAGAGATGCCACATCTCCAACCCAAACGGTGTCGAAGCGCCCGTCCACCGATCCGGCCTAGCGCTACCCCGGCTTGCCTCATCGAGCGTCTTCGGCCTCCCGTTACGATCATCTGCGACGCTCTGCCCGTTCACGTCTGACATCGCGGGTTCTGTGGCACTCCTGATGCGGCTTGTGAGCTGGCCGCCTCCGTTCTCCTGGAATCATCACGGCCAATGCTCCTTGTCTCTACGCGGCTACAACCTGATTACTAGGACCTACCATGGCTGCGAGACTTTCACGCTTCTCCGTCAGACTGTCTTGCGACACAGGCGCTTCCCTTCGACCGCAGATGCCACTTCGAAAGCCGAGTCCTCTTCCTGGTCCTCTCTCACCCATGATGCTCCGGTCTCATGCTCCGCCCTGCACCGCACCATAGCGAGTTGTGCGCCTCTTGGCGATAACAGTTGGCGTCGTAGCAAGGAGTGTGATCATTGGGAGTATCCCTTGGTTTTGAAGCGTCGGTTGGAATCTGCAGCTTACTATCAGATCAATAGAGCATCAGCCATGATGACGGTTTGGAGTTTCACACACCGTCTCTGGCCTACTCAGAGCCTCGTTAGTTCGACTTTGGACTATCGAGTACTGGCCCCAAACACAATGGACGAAATGAATAAAATACTGAAGAAAAAAAAAAAATCCGAGCCGCGCAGCTAACTATCCGAGGAGAAAGCAAAGACCATCATCGTTCTCTTCACAGCCAAATTAGCGTTTGTCTTCTTGGTGGTAGTGATTGGCAAAACAGGCGCAATATTGCCTCTTTCAGACTCAATCTCAACCGGGGAATCGTAGGACTAGCACAGATCATTGAACCTGTGGACGAAGTAAGCTCAATATTCTCCGGCGATAACGCGTCCATTTCGGAGGAGAGGGCCAGGCGTTTTGTGGGTTTTGGTCGGTGGAGCGAATGCCGCGTTAAACTTGCAAATCCCACGGTGCACGTGCCTGGGGAGCTCTTTTGGTAACAAGCCGCTGAAACACAGCCAATCGGGCTCTTATACGAAAATAAGCTGCAAACGACTGTCGGCCGTTGACGCAGGACAATAGAAAGGGAAAAAAAGGGCAAAGAGAAAACAAAGGTAAAAAGCAAAAAGACAGGACACTGAAGCATAGCGAGCGGCTCTTACACGGCCTGCCAACGAGGAACGCTAGAAGCGGTCTTTCAACGCCAGCCTCGGGAAGAATGTTGTTCGAAAATCCCTTGCAAGTTTGAACGCGGAATCGACAGGGTTTCGTTCCCCATGCATTGCGATTGGGGCATTTTAACGGCCTCCAGGAGTTGCTGTCGATTGCAGCAAGCATGGCTCTAAGGCTGCACAGAGACAATTGCGGCGTCATACCTAAGAAACGGCCATGCTTGTTTCCCGTGTCGCGTCTCCTGGAGCGAAGACAAGTGGACGGATCAATTCCTGGTCTCTCGACGCATGCTGGGATCCCAGGCCATGCCTCGCTAGTTAGCTCACAGGGCGGGGAACCGGTAGCGGCCGGTCGCGGGAAGGGCCACCACGCCGCCGCCCGCGAAAGAAGCCGTTGCTTAGCCTTTTGAGGAACCAATTTCAATGTTTGTCCTCCATACTCTGTACACATTGTTGGTTGCGAGTCATTGAGATGCCCAGCAGCTTGCATGTAGCCTTTCAAGTACACACACAAGATATCCGCGGAGAATACGTGTGTCTCGGGCCCCCAAAAATCAGTGCCAGCGAATACTTTCCTGCTAAATAAGTTCCTGTTTCATTAGTTAATGATACATCGCGAACATTAGGGCTTCGGGCCATCGAGAAGCCCCGTCATGACGGCATCCTGTGCCTCTTCAAGCCAAAGGACGAGCAAAAATCGGCCGGGCGTCATGCAATCAGCACCAACGGGAAAGAAACAAAGAGCGCCGCTCTGTCACTAAGGATTAGCCTGTGTCGGCGTTGCATTGCGAACGATAACGGGCTATGCTAATCCTGGCATCCAGGGAGCAGGGGATTGGTTTATAAAGGTCTGTCATTAAACAATATTCCCTCGTCCCCTGCTCTTCCCGCGAGATTCATTCTCCAGATTTTGCGTATTCATCTACGGAGTAGTTAAAAAGAGACGCCTTTTGGAACTGGTCTTGAGAATAGTTGACGATGGCTGGTGCTCCCACTCCCGCAATTGACGACGTCAATAACCTTCCTTCAATCGAGGTCGACGACTCTCAGGTTGGTATCCCCAGCTTTTTTCAGAAGTGACACGTAAAAGGGTATATACATTGTTGGAGCTCTGACCTTCCTTTCGACAACTAGAGCGATGACGAAGTTTACCAAGAAAGCCTGTGCGACTTGTCCCCTTCACCGCCATCCTAAGAATATCATCACTGATCATTGTGCAGTTCGGCCTATACGGCTTCCCTGACTTCATCCGTCCTAGATTATCGATTTGAAAATAACAGACGGTATCATGGATTCCGCGATGGCAGTAAGTTCCGTTCCTCAGGACGCAGCCGGGATCTCTACCCAGAGTAGATTTATACTGACATAAATGCGAAGAATATCTCGGGCCAAACGATGATAAAGAAGCGGATCGACTGGACACGATCCACGAACTGATGCTGGAGACATTCAACCGAAAATTGTTTTTCGCGCCTATTGGAACATCCCCCCAACAAGTTCTGGATATTGGAACTGGAACAGGTATTTAGAACACTTTTTGTGTTCCAAAAAAAATTCGAAAATTCTTTTTTCCTTGAGGCTAATCGGGTATCGCTGGTCAGGTATTTGGGCAGTTGACTTTGGTGAGTCCCGCTCGGTTTGACCGCCATCCTACCAGGGGATCATTGTTAAAGTCCAGCTATTGCTTCACAGCCGAAAAATTTCCCGACGCAGAGGTAATGAACACCATATCATCATTTTAGATTGGTAGCACGGGCTGACAGAGCTTCTTTCCAGGTGACCGGTAACGACCTGAGTCCAATTCAACCCACTTTGTCAGTATAATTCAGACACCCTTGTCAAGTCTCTATTCCAAAGCAAGATGCAGCATCACTGACATCCCGTGCAGCGTTCCGTCCAACGTCAAATTCGTTGTCGAGGATTTCGAAGATGACTGGATTGAGGAGTCGAAATACGACTTCATCCATGGCCGCTACCTAGCTGGCTCTGTTCAGGATTTTCCTAGACTCCTGAAACAAGCGTTCAAGTATGTTTCCTGTTTCTCCCAACTTCCCGTATACTCGAATGCTCTTTTGCTCATCCGTCGATCAGTGCCACCAAACCAGGAGGATGGATCGAAATGCAGGATTGGGATGTATACGGCTATTCAGAGGACGGCTCTGCTAAGGGCACCACAATCGAGCGATACTTCAAAGTTCTTGGTGATGCTTTCGGAAAAGCTGGTCGTGTCTTCAGCCCAGGTCCCTTGTTGGAAAATTGGTTGGTGGAGGCCGGTTTTGTTGACGTGAAAGTCACGAAGTTCAAGATTCCAATGGGTGCCTGGCCAAAGGATAAGTACTTTGTAAGTTCTTTTTCATTTCTGGGATCTTTCACTCTTCTTGACCATTCATTGACGAGCGCGATTTTGTAGAAAACCCTTGGTGTGTGGAACATGCTCCAAGCCCAAACCGGATTCGAAGCCAGTGCTCTCGCCGTTTTGACAAGATACGAAAATTGGTCCACCGCAGAGATCAAAACCCTTGTTGACCAGGCTTTGAAGGATGTGAAGAATCCGAAGATTCACTTTTTGTTTGACTTGTATGTTCAGGCGCATCAATTTGCCCATCATAACGTTAAATCTGTGAACTAACATGAAATCAGTTACTGCATATATGGCCGACGACCGGAATAAAAGGATATTGTTACTATGCGGCTAGTCATGCCATTTTTTCATACACAGCTGGGTTTGGCAGATTTATATATATCGGCTCAAACCTCAGTTTTGAATAACGATAATGATCATACGGACGAATAATGGAAAAATATATAATGATTGGGCCTTCGTGTCCATGCCCATAAACGTATTTATTACTTACCTCCCCGAGTCACAAAGGCCTAAATAAAGGGATAGGATTTCCATCCGAAGGCACAGCATCGTATATGGCAAAATATCCAGAAAGAGTACAGATAGCACTAGGTTGCAACGAGGGTATCGATTTAACCCTTAATTTGGTAAGCTCAACGCGGATTGGTGTCCTCCAGAATTATGGTCACTAATGGGGTGATCGAATAACCCTCAGACCCCAGTGATTGTTCCTCGAATTGTACTCAGACGGAGCTGGCCGAGGGCCCCGGACCTCCTGTCTCCTTTCATCATCACCTTCGGATGCCATAACTCCTGCCAGCGAGTTAGTCCTTATGATTTCTTAGATAACCAGTACCCGCAAAATGTTCACAAGGGATGAACACTCAAACTTGAGACTAGCACAAGGGTATGCCCGCATGGCCAGGAACCTTACTTATACTGCGCAGGAAATGTTCATCCTGCTCCCAGAAATTTATTCAGCCACTCTTTCGACATTAGCAGCTCTTAAGCGTATGGTTTGAGCTCAAAATTCGCTCTCAATCTTCTGTATAAAAGCGCTTGATAACGCTCAGATGCCGTTTTCACACGTCTTTTGCAGCATATTGGATGTAATCCGTAGTTCTGGTTAAATGCATGCCATAGGCCGGAGGTTGGTTGGATATAGGATGCATCATGTTTCACAAAGGCTGCAACTGCTTTGTCCACACCATCACCATTAAAAGATATAGTGTTACAGCAGTCAAAGCCGAGGAGTCACATCACACGGCCACGCAGACTATTGAGTATGATGGCAGAGGGTATCTGCGCTGCAGGTGGTGCTTGGCATCTGTTCCAGCAAGCCAATGCATCATTGCCAGGGCTTCCGCCATAATTTCAGCGTTGCATATTAGGTCAGTGGAGGTGAGACCAAGCTCTTCAGAAAACGGCCTTGAACCGTGACAGCCGGGTGGTTGTTGTATGCTACCAGCATCTCCCCAAATATAGATGGACAGGGCGGTATGATTAGTTTCACTTGCCTTGATATCTAAAGGAGAGACTGGGCAAATATCTGTCAACTAAGAGCTCAACTTCCTGGGAGATAGCTGGAATGCGTTAGACATTATCATACTGCAGGCTGTGCATCCCGAAGAAAAGCTTCCGGATTGTCATTCCACCATGCGTCCTCTGAGTGTATGAATCTGGCAAATCGAGGGACGTATATATGGATCGAGTTAGTCAGTCGTTGTAGCTGCTCCTGAGTTTCGAGGACATATTGTTGTGTACTGGAGTCCTTGACCAAAGATCTTCCAGGTTCCCGTCCTCACGCTTGAAAGCGCGGCCAAAGCAGAGGTCGTCGTTGGAAGATGGTGCCTAAAGAGTGCCACAAAAACCGAACCCAATCTGGCAAAAGGCCATAACGAGTTTACAGGTGTGCTCTCTTGTAGTCTTCGACCGAGTAGGTACGTACGGAGGAATTTGGACGTATTGAGGCGAATAAGGAACTCTGGTGTGTACTTGGGCGCCTCCAGCTGCGAATGGTTATCATTCCTTGAATTTCAAGCTGAATGCATCAGTCACAATCATTCCAGTTTTGAAAGATATGAGCAACCAGAGGATGAAGTAGACTGGCGACCTTTTTGACGAGCGTACCTTTGCCTTACAGAGTAGTCCTACTCTTCCTTTTGTTTGCAGTGCACCCAGTGGGCTTATCGAGCCGCTGGCCAAAAATCGCGGAAACAAATCCTGGCCGTTTCAGTGACCTCACTGAATAGGGGGTAGCTGCTATGTGATTCCAAAACCAAGTGTTAGAGCTGTGCGTTACAGAGGTCCATGTTGGTAATGGAAAATTGTTCCCGCAGAGGCACTAGAATACTCCCTGGATGCAGGAAGAACAGGATGCAATACGCGCCTCCGTTCATTGGGCTGCAGAACCGAACCAGGATTCACTTCCACTCCTGCTGTTGTAGCCATTGGTCTATCCTCTGCTATTAAATTTCCTGATTGTCATTTTTACCATTGGATCTGGTTTCAAATTTTTTATAAAGGGAGCTTTATGGCCATCATGCATCCTTGTAACAGGCCACTCTGAAATCTCCATGTTGGTTTGAGGGAAGATAAATGGTAAAGCAACGCGTTCGTACGGAATTTCCGCCAGCCCGTGCTGATCCACAAATTCTCTTAAAACTCTGTATCCTTGTCTATGAAGACATGATTTATTTGCACAGGAGAGACAAGGATCCAATCTGATAGACAGAAACTGATTTAAATTATCGGGTAATGGCGAGCAAATGCCATCGGAACGAACAATGCCGCCAATCATTTCCCTCGAACGACATTTCTAGCTACGATTTCAAACCTCCTTTCAGCTTGGCCTTTGAGGGCTTTAGCTGAGTTTATTGTCACTTGTCTCGCAGCCGAGGTGATAGGACGATATTGAGAATAATTCAAAGACCACCATTAAGAAACACTTAGGCGATATATAGAAGCATTATCTACTAGGATAGGAGTTGTTATGCGTTCTTAGCTAAAATTCACCCATGAAAAGGGCGTGATACCATGCCGAAGCCCAAATAACGAACTATTCCGGTTGATATCGTTGTCGTTGTATTTTTATCCTTTTTGTCTTCATCAACGGCAGGGTCAGCCTGTTTGCTGGAGAGAGATGTCATCTCTAAAATTTCCCTGATATCTTTCCTTCCAACCCCACTTCAGATGTCACACCTTCGTTTCAGCGTTGGAAGTAACGAAGAGAGAAAGACGAAGCGCCACGTCGACATCGACGTCAACTTGGAGGGAAAATTGTTTTGAAAACGACGATATGGCTATGAAGCCGATCGCCACACGAGCTGACACTGGCCAGCAGTGGTGGGCGGGTTTGAGTGCCTGCATCTTAATCAGCTGCCTAAAGTTCATCGAAACTATCTCTAAGAAGTATTGCACTCACGTTCTTCAAACCGGTCTTCGAAGAGCCGTATGTACTGCACGTATGTACATGCATCGGAGCAACATGGCCCAAGCCGCACGAAGGTTTAACTTTTCAAAGGCAAGTGCTATGGCGAGTCACTTGGCTTTCAGAAGCTTGGATGCAGAAGTCTTTTAGATGAAAATTGGTCGGCTCCACTTTCAACTCGAGGCGGACTGTCCTATCATGGTGACAGCAACCAGCATCCACTGTCCATCCGGGCTAGTCCTCCGGCCAACATCATCAACATGCCTGACGGGATCGTATGCCGGAAGTGCTTGATCGTAATTGGCGCAGTTATAAATGCTGCTAAGCGCGTAATGTCCGGGTAGCTGTGCAAATAGCAGATCCTCCTCTGCATGCTCGGTCGATGAACCGCGATGCCTACCGCAATTTGACCCACCAGATGAACCGGTGTTTTTTCCAAACATCCAAAGCTTCTGCTCTGCGTTCCAGACGAGTTTCTCTCCGGCCGATGCGCGGCGAGGCGGAGCTGCATTGTTTGGAACTGCAAAAACTTGTTCTTGCACGCGGGCGTCTTGGCTTTTAGGTCTCCTCAACTTGGCCCAGAAGTTCTTTCGACGGTTGGAGCGAGATTCGACCTCGCTAAAGCTTTGACTTAGACTCGAGCTGCCGTCGGGTTGGGCATCACCAGGGGAAAGCCTGCAAGGGGCAGCTTCATTCGGGACCAGACGCTGAGTAACGGCACGTGGGGTGCTGTATCCTCCTCTTTCCCACGCCGTGATGCGAGGTTGCCGAGTATTGTCCATCTTTTTCTTCGTTTGTTTGTATAGAGTTCTCTGTAAGGGATATTGTGTCTATTGATAGATCTTCAATGGGAAGAACCTGGAGGACTTTCCAGGCCTTTATAAAGGCACTTCAAAGGATCGTTGACAGTGGACTCAACGCCTCAATGCATAGTACGACACATGTTAACATTATCATAGTAACATGAGAACCGAAGCAAGGCGGAGGCAGAAAGAGCCAACAATCAACGCAAATAGCAGTACCTGGTGTATGTGTGGACATGCATGCTATATAAACCAATCCACAACTGCCAGCCGCAAGAATTGATATTAAACAGATACACGCAAATTCCAACCAGCAGCGCCAAAAAAGTCCACCAGGGCGGAGGCGAGATTGTCCCCAACCAACTAATGAGAAGGCTCATGGGTTTCGTATTCCCCACGAAAATTCCCGAGATGGCAAAAAAAAAGTTCAATTTTGTGGGCAGCATTTCTTTGCTCTCCCTGTCGACGTGACCCGCGCTAAGAGATAAAGCATGGAGCTATTCCGTAATTTTGATACACGTCAATCACGCGCGGCGGACGAGGAGCGGAGTATTTGCCCTCAGGTTTGGTCGCTTATTTCCACCCACGCCAACAGCCAACAGTGGAAAGGATCATGGGCGCCACAACAGAGGGGCACGGCGGAGCCGTGCGAAGGCGTGCTGGCATGGCTGGGAGGCAAAAATCTATTTCCAGCTCCCGCAACAAAAGTAGGGACATTGATGGCCCAAATGCGACCGTTTGATGCTGAGTATTCCATAGTAGTATTTCTCTTTGCTACATACGTATTTTGGCACAGCGTTCAATACTCCGTAGACGGTCTTCCCTCATGCGCCCAGTCTTTGCTTTCTTTTCTTTTTTTTGAGCGGCACAGAGGACCAGCAAGCGAGCGATAAGACGTGATCAGCTCCAGAGCCAGACCAACGTCGGTGATCAATCCGGCCAATCTCGTGTGGGGAAAAATAAAAACCTCTGACTGGCGTCATCGTATTTGCTGGTTTTTAAATTATTTCGTTTCATTCTGCCAAAGTGACCCAAGCGCGGACGATGGAATTCCGGCTTCGTACGAACTCTGCATGCATATGTATGGATGGACGCAGGAAATATGTACATACATAGAAAGATACGTCCAGAGTACAGATGCTTACGCCAACGCGCCAAACGTGAAGTGCGGTTTTTGAAAGCGCGGAGTGATGTGGTTGGAGATCTGGAGAGGAGAAAACGCTGCAGGCAAAAAAGAAATTCGCACATGGGAAGAGCTAACTATAAATAGTAACATCCATCCAGATGTGACGGGTACATGGCTGGAGGCCGATCTTTCGGTGAGTGCTCCATCCCTGGTACCCTGCTTGCCGTTTATTCAGGCGTGTGTTGAAATAATCCAGCCTACCACCCGGATCACAACTGACAACTGTTATTCGAAGAAATTGGTTGGGAATTTGAAAATTAGGGAGGCCAATGCGGTATGGTCATCGTCTACTCCGTACGCCATACATATGTACAGGAGCCACATCACTACGTCCATCTTTTTGCTAGTCTTCTCGGAATACTCCGTACACGTCGCCCAATTCCCCCTTTTCATGAAACAAATGCCGAAATGACACGACTCGACCCAAACCCCAGAACCATGTCGGAGCCCGAGAGACCTCGGAACATCAAACGGCAAGGAGGCCTGGATTGCAAAAAGGATAATCATAACAGTAATAAAATGGTAGGACTGACCGACTCGCCACTGTCACCGCATCGATCCAGCGGTCGGGAATGTCATTCAGCTTGAAGAGTTGCCAAAGTAGCGGACATAGGACCCCGTTACCAAGGATACTTAGGATTTAATACCTAACGAGGGCTGATCCAAATGTCGCCATGGTCTCAGCTGAGCATATTAATAGTATCGGGCCCAGGATGAAGCACGGTGAGGTCAGATTGCGTCGATTTCCGCCTTAATTCCGAGAACCTGTCGGGCATTCGCCGTCTATCCGAGTACGTAAAGTCAACAACCTGAGGTCCTTCAGGACTCACCGTTGTGGGAAAAAATCCACTGGGAAGCCTTCCATAGAGCGCCCGGGCGTCTGTTCATGTGAGTAACGGCTGGGTGATGCGACGCCCCTCCCAAGAATCATACGAGGAGAGCCAGACTCAAGATCTCCTCCCGCAATCGAGCTACGCCGGTATGTCAATATGCCACGCACAAGCGCGAAATCTGGATCGTAACCAAAAATTTTTCATCCCATCACTAAAGAGATCATCAGCCGGCCAGGAGGAGGGGGCGCGTCGTGCGCTGCGGTGAGCAGGATGGGACCAGGCCGTATTAACTGCCCACTACCGCACGTTTTCCCGGCACCTTGAAGGATCTTAGCCAGGCGGATATTCAATCCCCGAAGAGCGGTAATATTGAGTGACCTCGTAACAATTCCAAGTACGGATGTACTCCGCAAACGCTGTAGAGAGATTTTTTCTCCGCCCACCTCCATCTCAAAAATTGGCCGCTCACCATCGTCCTTTTTCTGGGATAAGAGAAAGCACAGTCCGAGCGGCGACGTCCGCCAAGCTGGACAATCCTTTGAAGAGATGATTTCTCTCGCCTTAAGGTCCAATCAAGGCTAACACTGAATGCATCTGTGTGTCCATCGCAGCGCCGCAGCGGGGCTAAAGGATATAAATAGGAGCATGACGGATAGTCAAAGCTGTCTTGATGTTCCAACGGGGAGTGGCCAGGTGTGCGATGTCCCGATGAGGCATATGTAAAAGTTGTCTCCCTACCAAGGGTAAGAAGTAGAAGGCTGGCAGAAGACGCACCTCTTGGGAAACGGGGAGGGTTAGCCTAGAGAACAATTCGTTCGCAGAAAAACAAAAACAAAAAAAAAAAAAAAAGAGAGAACGAGGACAACCAGAATAGGAACCTTGGTACGAAGTCCAATCCTGCTGGTCCCTCCTTGGACACGGGAAGAGGCCACTTCGCGTCATCGCACCAAAAGGCCATCGAATCATATCAAGCGATGAATCCGGAGATTGGCGATTCGCACAAAAAGAAAATAAAATAATAATAATAATAAACTTGAAGCCCCAAAAAGAAACGAATTGGAGAATTATAGGCCTGCTCGTCAGGATTTTGATTCTTAACGGAGGCTTTCCTCTGCAGCGATAACCAGTTTGTCTGCCCCGAAAGCTGAAGGAATCGCCCCCCGGTGGAAATGCAAGGCAGAGAGCAGAAAATAGGGAATCAACCGAGAGTAGAAAAGCGTTATAAGTCGCAAACGCCTGCATTTAGGTCAACGGCCACTTTTCTGAACGAATATCTATCAGAAAAAAGGCCTCAAGCCTCGCTGCAACGGTGCAGGTCTGGTGGACAACACCGCCATTGGACAGCTTTGTCCGGTCTGACCTCCAGCCGCGTGAAAAGGATTCAAACCCATAACAATAACTCCAACAATCCTCTGGAAAATAGAAAATGACCGCCAAAAAAAACTGATGAATTTTTTTATATTTTTGGTTTAAATGTCGAATCCTGCAAATTAAATAACTCATGACGGCGCGCCCTCGATCTTTTTAAATATAAACCGTGGCTCAGAACTCTCGGTGCCGTGGCTGAGTTTGGTTGATTAATAGTATGGAGCACCAACTAGCCATCAAAACACAGCCGTATAAATATGGCTGCATTCTGTCTTCGACGGATATTTATATCAAGTCGCGACTAACGCTCCCTCCTGCGGCTTTTCCGTCTTCTCACAAGCCATGCTCAGTCGGAATTTGCTTCGAGCTAGTTGAGGATCTACCGGAAGGTAACTCCGTAGATCTGGGATCACTTCGCGTTAAACACGCTTCCTTCTTACCTAACAGATCAGTTTGACCGCTTTTCAGTAACTCCCCGGGGTCACAGCCCTCTCTCGCAACGGGTCCTCACTTCATGCGTGTGATTTCGATAGTGGGGACCGATCCTGCTATCCCTCCGAGGCTGTGTTTGCTCAAAGTGACCGCGTCCATACATATGCCGAGTGGAGTCTTTGGATCGCTGAAAGGGGTCGACTAACTACCGTTGGCAACGCAGCTATGATTTTCAACGGGAAGTAATTTTCCTGGAGCCGCTGGTGACACATGGTGGAGGCGGTAGGATTTGCAGAAAAGAAACATCGCCGGTATTCTTACGCACGGCGGATGCCGTAAGGTACATATAATTGTTGGTTACGTGTGCACGACTTGTGAAGGCTATGCCGTGTGGTATTAGAAGCTCCATTAGGGCTATCGAGATGGTGGGTTACACGACGGGGCCGTTTGCTGACCGGTTTTTGTGGAAATGTGCCTACAGGTAGTGTTGTTTGAGAGAAGGGATAGCGATAGGGGAACCGGAACGGTGTTTGGATGTGGAAATGGCTTGAAAGCTTTGTAGGCTTGGAGGTTTGAATATCCGAAGCCTGGCTTACAGACGAGGCAAGCCCAAAGGGTTAAGAAACTCTTGTGATGAGGGACGTTGAAAGGATATGGGACGAAGATGATATGTCAACAACCCCTGCAAGCGTACTACGCAGAAGTACAGCGGACAAGAGCTTCTACGTCGAGGTGAAGAGTAAAAAAATGAATTTGATTACTAAAGTTATCTTTAAAAGATTCATCACTGGCAAGCCTTCCCATCGTGTCGATGCACAGGGCCAGACCTCAGAGCGACAGGGAAAAAAAAAAAAAAATTATACTCATATTTCTTCAAGCAAGGCATTGTTACATGTTAAGAAAAAAGAAAAAAGAAAAAAGGACATCAGCCAAAAACGGTTCGACGGAAGCACGAACGGGGGGCCGCCGAGCTTTCGAGATGGAAAAAAGGGCAATTCTTGTCTTCTTGAGTAAATAGATATCCACAGTTGAAAGCAGCACGTGCGCTCTCTGCTAGAGATCGACGCCTGAGAAGATACTTTGACAATGTCTCCGAAGTCAACCGCCAGCGAAGCTGGGGACATCCACCGCCGTTTACCCAACCCCGTTCAACCTCCTCGCCTCAAAAGCCCAGAGAGAATGCTCCAATAGCACGCCCAACGTCCTGATGTTGCAAACATGACGACAGGGGGTATCAATGGAACAGATCGTGGGTATCGTCAACGAAAAGAAATTTACGCGAAGAGAACGGCAGCAATGGCAGCGAGACCAGCGACGGCGAAGGAGCCACCGAAGGTGCTGGCAGCACCCTCAAATGGTGGGGGAGTACTAAAGAAAAATGGGGTTAGAAACTGTATGACTAGCAACGGTCTTTTTTTGGAGTGAATATCATGACGTACGTGGTGCCCTTTGGTGGTGGGGGAACGCCAGAGCCGCTTGGGGCAGAGGGAACACCGCCGGTTGGTTGCCAGGTTGGCTGAGATGGGACGCCACCGGTTGGCACGCCACCAGTTGGGACGACCGGAGGCTGGAGGGTGACGACAGAGGTGGTCGTAGTTGGGATGCAAGTGGTGTAGGTGACAATGGAGGTGCTTGGGCCTGGGTTACCGCCGGTTGGGTATGGGGGGTTCTCGGTTGGGACGGTTGGGCTGTCGTCGCTGCCGGTTGGAACGAGAGTCTCAGTGCGAGTGGACTCAGCTGGGCAGTCGGTGACCTCAGGGCCGCAGTCGGTCACGGTGATGTAGCGAGTAGAGTACTCGGTTGGGGCGGGCTCTTGAGGAATGCCAGTGCCGGTGGGAACAGGGTTGTTTCCGGGGCAGTCAGTGACCTCAGGACCGCAGTCGGTGACGATGACCTCGCGCGTGGAGTAGACGGTCTGCTCGTAACCGGGGAGGGCAAGGGCAGCGCCTGCGAAGAGAGCGACGGAAGCAGCAGTGAAACGCATTGTGACTGATTAAAAGTATCAAACTTTCAACTGGAGAAAATGGCGAAAAATGGTGTGGAAGGGTGGATTATCGCGTTTTGCGCGGTAAATAAAAAAGAGAGTGATATTAGTTGGATAAAAGAGTGTCGGCGACCGAAGTCGAAAAAAAAAGCTGCAAGCGATATGCTTGAGGGATAAAAAAAGATCAGTGTGGATGAGGAAGAAACGGAACAAAAAGAAAGGAAACACGAAACACCAGGGGACGACCGCCAACTTTTGTAGCAACCGGGAGATTACGCTGGAGATCATGCCCCTGACCCAACAAAGCGCGCAACTTGGACAACGAGGAGTGCCTTAGGCATGAGTTTAGGGGGTCCCCCCATGGCCCCAGCACTAGTGCAGATGGACGGCTGGAAATCAAGGCGACTGTTTTGCTGTCGCGGGCGCCACGAAGCCTGAAAGTCCACCGGCCTTCGCCCATCCTTCAGGGGGCGTTCCTTGGCGGCACCCTCTCTGCCGCCCGTGATTCGCCGCTGGGGTGGCAGCCGGTGGGGCCCGCCCACAAGAAGTCGCACCGCTAATTCCCTCTGGTCGTCCATAGTTCATCGTCGCTTGGGCTTGCCCCGCGGCCTCCTCCAGCAGAGGTTGTGCTGGAAATGCAGTACCGTACACGATGCGATAGCCTATCATAATATGCTAAAGGATCCCATCTTGAATCCATCAACTCTTGTCTTTCTCTCTCATGGTAAAAAAAAAAAAAATGAAAATGAAAACGAACAAACGCAGCTTGGGCTCATCGAATCTATTTGTTACCTGACTGCTGAATCCCCCGAAATGCGTTCGGAAGAGCGACGCAACCCGCGCAGCCGATGTTTCACGTTTGCCAGCGTTCTCGATGGACATGGCCATTGATTTAGGGTTGGAGTGTTCTGCAGGTACCCATCACCATCCCGTCTTCTAATTGGTGCGTGAGGGCACGGGTTCCTGGCTTTGACATTTATCCGTCAAGCCAATCAAGCCACGATTCTGTGCTGTCTTTCTCAGAATTTGCACAAAGCATGAGATAATATCTGCCACGCGACCGTGGACTCGCGCTTTGATTGATCACTGTTCCCTTGTGTGTTCATACCATGTTCATCTTAACCTCCATGTCCGTCAATATCCTTCCGACAACAGCCTAGAGGAAAGAAAGGATAGTTACACTGGAGACTGGGGGACGGCCGCGGAATAACAGGGTGGGTTTTCCTCTTAAATCCTCCGCCCACTCAAATTAACTATCATGGACGGGAGGGGCTTTGACGCCAGATTGCCCATCGGCGCGACAAGCATTGCTACCAGGAGCTTGTCGCTTCTCGACCACATCAATCCCGCCTTGCTCGAAAGTTGTGGATTCTAGACAAGGCCGGTTGAGTTGTCAACTTCGCAGTCGCCGAAGCGCCCCCAAATAGTGTAGAGAGCTTGCTGATAGGACTCCGAAAGACGGAGCACGGGAGTGTCCATCGCACGTACAGAGTACTCCGTATGTATCATAATTATTATGCCCTCCGTACTTTGTAACTGTGGAGAACATTTGCAGTTACTCCAGAGCCCAGAGAAAGTCGCTCAGCCATACGGAGTACATATACAGAGTTCAACCCCGTACTTATGATCGATCCGTCCCCAAAATCCCTCTCAATTAACTCGCGGGCCCGTGCTTTAAAATTGCTTTTGCAACTTTGAAGTGAAAGTTTTCTAGGGGCATTTGGATGTTGACGGGCGCCGTTGCAAGGACACAAACCCCTTTGGTAATGTCGTTCCTGAGGAAGTTATCCTACAAATGTAAACAAAGTCATCTCGAGGAATATCATGTATTCGAGAAAGGGCACGGAGAATCCGGGAGCCGTCGATCACTTTCATTCATGGTTCTTCATCAAAAGCAAACATGGCCACTTTCCCGCCGCTGACTTGAAACAAGCCAGTTTGCAAGGCCTTCCTGTCAATGAGCAATGCTTGGCAAAGCGGACGACGCGCGTTTCTTCGTGCCGCCCATTTCCCTGTGCTGTCTTAGCGCCGAATCCGGTGTGGATTGGGAATGGAGATGCGTCCCACATCGCCTGGCCTCCCAAGCCGAAAGGCGACTTGCCTCGCGGTCTCGTGCTCCATCTGGCCTGGCTCGATGGATGATAAAAAGGGGTTGGTGCCCCTTTTCGGCACTGGTTTGCTGCTAGAGAGGAATGGTTGTTATCTGGCGGCTGTTCTCACCGAATGTGTTCGGAGCCCGAGTCTTGACTCTCGAGGAAACGACCGTATGGACCGAAAGTGAGCACAGCGCTTCGACACACGCGATCTCCTGTATCCACTCAAGTTTGGAGCAACTGTCGATCGTTCTCCATGTCTGTAATGCGGTCGGTCCTCTTGAACTGCAGATTGGAGTCGAGGTAACAGAGCTGTGCCCATTGGCAGAGATTCGCCACACATCTTCGAAGCACAGATGCATCGACCTGTGGCGGCCGGATCGCTCGGAGACTTTGTTTAACATCCATGACGATGCATAACTAGTCTTAGCTCGTCGACGACGAAAATTTCCAAGTAAAACGCAGACTGGTGGAAAACTTCGTTGTGAAGTCTCCTCTGGACATACATAATGTCCCTCAGTTATTGATTGACTTATAATCTTGCAGATGGCTTCTGATGCGGACTCTATGAGCTGCATTTCCATTTCTGGAATAAAACTGGCAGCTGTTTCAAGCCTTTAATCAAGTTTCAGTGTTTCTGGTATTCGATCCTAGCGAGGCATCGACGGTCCTAGAGCATCATGCCATGCGACCAACGCGTCATCAGTTCTCTCGCAGCGGACATTTTCCTTTGTTCTTCACTCGATCAAAAGCAAGCCTCTGGAACGCTGCATCACCTCTTTAATTTCTCTCAGACACTCTTCTAACCTCTCAAGCACAGGACCTGCTTCAGTTGTGGATGTTTTGTTGCTAAACATGGAGAATGATCGCTCGTCTCTATGCCACCCCCGAGATTCGTCATCTTACCATAACATCTTCAAAGCCCCCAAAAACCAAATACAGTCAACTGCACAGATCGTCCACGTACTTTCTCCTTGATTCATCCAGCCATCGCTGGCATTTGTGCGTAAAGAATGTCAAGAGAATTCCCTTCTCGACCCCCTGGTTCGCCCTCCCGGATCCAAGCGATTGATCATGCGTGCCGTCGTTCGCGGAACAAACTAGTCCTCCATCCAAGGTGGATGAGGAGCTGAGAGGGATATGTGCAAGAAGGCATATTTGGACCTGCCGAGCAAACTATTCCGCTAACATCATCTTGGCCTGTATTTAGGGATACGCTCGAGCTTTCCGAGGCGCGTACGTCTGTCATAGTATGAGATCATTGCTCCCAAGTCCTCAACAAGCAGACGCCATCTGTCATTGATTGAAACTTGAGACGCAACTACAGTCTTTGCGTATTCCTCGACTGCTTATCCATTTCACCGGTCTTAACAGTCTTCCTAGAAACCCCGATTCCATGGTCGTTAGTACAACGTGTACTTCACCAGCGACTCCAAGATGATCCCGCAAACGATGAACTCAGGCGAATCCGACCATACTGATAACGAATGACGCAGGAATTTAAAGGAACAGCTGAAGGCTGGACAATTCTTGGGCTACTGCCAGCAAATTTCCAATTAAAAGAAGCGAAAATTCCTTCGAATTTGACCATCACATCCACCATATCGCTATCTGCTGCGGGATAGAAAAACAGTGGCCTTTAGACCACCCACCGCAGCGATACCTTCACCCCAGCTTATTACTCATCTGCAAAGCCCAAATCTTACGGTAAAAAAACGTTGCTGCAGCAATGCCCTTTGGTCACAAGTGTACATAAATGTCTTTGCAGAAGCTTCTGTCGGCAATTCTTCATCCGTAAAAAAACAGTCGGCAGCCACAACCTTGTACGTATCGGTTTCGTAAGCAAGCTTTCGTGCTTGCTCCTAGGGTATTACCCAAGGTGGTTGTAGATAATGGAAAAAAGTATAGGAGGATTCTTAGCTTAGAATTATTTAAGAGGATGCTATTTCCACTACAAGTCCGATCACCTGAATGCTCTCTATCTTCGAAAATTCGACAATGGCTTCGAAGAAATATGCGGGCAATTGGTATTCGCAAACGAAAACGGTGAAGTGAAAAAAGCGAAGCACTGCGTACCAACACACAATAATATCCCAACGCCGGAACCCCAGAGTGGAAAGTGGTCAACAGGTCATTTCACGTCATCTATCCATTTGGATGTTTTCTGTCATTAAAGAAGAAAAGGTGCGTAACGGCAGGAGACACCGATTTCAATTGGCTGCCACTTCTTCCTTCTGTTCGCTCCACGGTTCTGGAGCGTAGTGCTTCAAGAATAGATCATTCTGGATCCAGAGGAGCTTGTTAAAGGCGCGGATGATCTTCGTCTTTGTGGGAAGGTCAACATCTTGCGCGCCCATGACAGCGTTGAGAACAATGTCTTCCACGAATCCCAGCAAAGCACTGCAGTGCATCAGCTCGACGCGAAGCTGAGGCCGCTTGGCACGGTGTTTGAAGCCAGGTTCTCCCGTGTGCATCAGGCCGACTTTATCGAGGTAATCCCAGAACTTGCTATTGTCCGACCAGTCTGTGTTGCTGACGAGCTTGACAAGGTAGAGCTTCAGGAAATCTTTGCGGTGGAGGATATTGGGGTGCGTGAGTGTGAGGTCTTCGACACTAGTTGCCTCTGCGTCGTTCTGGTCCTGCTCGGGTTGGCGAGGCACAAAGGCTTTCGCAGTGACGTCGAATGAGATCAGGTTTGTGTAGATGATATCGAGGACCGCGGGCACGGCGGGGGCGATGATGGGTTTCGCAGCGTTCAGAGCAGCGCCGTCTTCATCGGTGAATTTGAGGAAAGCTTTGAGATAGGCGACGCGGCTGGACACATCTTTGAAGGAAGCCTCGTCGACGTGCTGGATCGGTGGCCGTTCGGTGGATGTCATTGTAGCTGCTTCCTTGGCCGGCTCTGGTTGTGGTTGCTGTGGCTGTTGTCTGGAGAAAAAGGAAAACATTGAAAATAGCTGCAGAGGGATGATCGAGGTCTTAATACTAAAGTTATTAAGACCGGTAAAGTAGTTTGCTTGTTGATAACGCGATATTACTGAAAGGAATAAGAAACAAATCCTCTTCAAAGAGCCGGAGGAAAGATCTTATATACAATACTTCTGGCTGGGACTACGTCATCCGGGGGAAGGCATTGGAGGCCACTTCGAGCAACGTTCGTTCCTGGGGTTAGCCGTGTGACGGGTCTAGCCAACATGCGAATCCACCGGCCTGGGGTTTCGAAAGACCATGCGATAGTGTGAATAAATTTCGAAGTAGAATTCGAGCAAGAAAAGCTGTCGCTCCGCGGAGATTGAAACCAGACCGGAGCGGCATACTCCGTACATTAAGCAAAATGCGTTTGGAATCTCAAGCCTTAGGGCAAAGCCCATTAAGCGGACAGACCCACGCGGAGACATAAATCGGATGTGGAGAGTAGCATGCCCGGATGCCGGGAATCATGTGTGCAAAAAAAAAAAAAAAGGCCTTCGTTGGCACCGCGGGTGGTTCCGCAGGGCAAGATTCGAAAGCTAGCAGGGCGGAAAACGCCATTTTGACGAGACAAGCACTTGGCTCCCGGAAAGAGGTGGGTTTGCTTTGCAAAGCGGGCCGTATTATTGGCCCGGCTTAGGAAGCGATCGATGATGGTTCGATAAGGGAGACCAGGGGCCCAAGACGGGGAGAGCGTTAAAAGTTATTGCAACATCGTTTCGCCATCGAGGTTCGGTTCCCGGAAAGCCGCCGCAACACACCTGCAGCTCTTCTTACCATACAGCTCACCAAGCCAAGATGATTTTCATGCTGCGAGGAGCCGTGAAGAGCACAATGCTCAAGCGTGCGCACCTTGGCTGCTGCTGGTGTGCAGCGTTGGCGGTGCGCGGACGTTGGACGATGGCGCGTTCGCTGAGTCATTGGGGACGATCCCGAATCCTCCCGCGCACTGTCGGAAGTTGCCGCGACTAACGCCTGGCATCGTCGGCTGATGCCTGCCAGCGAGAGTCCGAAAGCCGAGCAGAGAGCACCACCGTCAACCACGGTTGGCATCCGCGTCCCGTCCGAGCATGATGTCGTTTCTTGATCGAATCTGTGGGGAGTGGAAGATGACCTCCGGCTTCGGCGAGACTCTTCTCTCGCTTATTTTTTTTTCCGTCCTCCGGGCTCCCATTTTGCTTCGCATCGTCCCCCCAGAAGCCATCCTCAAAATTGGGACAGGATCTGGGGCCCTATGCGGTCCCTGCAAGGTCTTTTGATATCGACCCTCAAGCGTGGCCATATACGACTGGGAACGGCGGTTTGAGCGGCGGAATTTGCAAGGGATCTGAACCACAAACTCGGGAAAACTGGGGTTTCGGATGAAGTCTGCTCCCAAAGAGCCAAGTTATTTTGGGGGCGGAGGATGAACATTCTTGTCTGTCCCCAGACATTCTTGGCCCAGCAAGAATCAGCGACCAAGTTTGCTTCTTGTCAGATGAGTTCCACTGTTCACCATTGAAATTCTGACCCGAAAAAAAAAAAAAAAAAAAAAAAAAAAAAAAAAGAAGAGGTCCCGCACTCCTGGCTCCTCTTTCACAGGGAGTGCCTGGGTTCTCGTACCCTCGCATTAAATGAGGAAATCATTTGGAGACCTGATCGGAGCCTCCCTGCTTCTCGCTATGCCGGAGAGAACCTCAGAGCCTTTCTATTAAGTAAGAAGAACGGATTCGACGCCGGGGGTTGTCATGTTGAAGTATGACAAAGAGTGTTACCGGTCGGCTATATTTGTATCTGACGGAAGGTGACATTGCGATGCAACTAGGGAAGAAGAAGACAAAATTACCGACGGTTATCAAACGAGTGGTTGCGGTGAAACTCGGAGTTTGGCACATAAACGTGCGCAACAGGCTACCTGGCAAACAAGCTAAACAAACACGTCCTTGTTGCGAGCAAGCATTCGCTTTAACCATGCTGCGCAAAGCTTATACATGTGGAATTCGGATTGCTGCCACGTGAGAGCGCTCCATCAAGAACGGCAAGGTGGAGGAGGATGGGTGTGTCGAGAGGGAGGGAGGGAGGAAGGGGGGAAATGTCTCAATCGACCTGCTCGCCCGCAATCGCATGTATGTGTATGAGTAAGTGGCTTCAAGCACGGTGGATATGTGTATGCATGCTTGCGCAGACGAGGCATGCACGCTGAGAAAGACACGTTCCTTGAGCTATTCTTATCACTGTTGGCGGCAGCTAAGAGGGCCGTCAGTGTGGGGGATGTTGTCAGGGTCCAAACAAAGCCGATCATCGCCTCGCTATTTTGGCTTGGCTCCCGCTCTAGAAGCCCCGGGAGACACGGGCATTGGCTGAATCGAAGGGCCTGCGCGCCGTATTTACAGCCCGATTTTGCATCGCTCAGACAGGCTTGTTTCTATGTTTAGCAGAGTTATGTTTTTCCTTTGCGTTTCAGAATTTTTTTTTTTTTTTTTTTTTTTTTTTTTGGTGCATGTTCGTCAGAGATCTTGATAGATCATGAGTGGCCGTGAAATGAAACTTGAGCGGTTTGTTTACTGAAGTTTTTCTTTGTCTGGAAAAGACCCGGTAGGTTTTCAATGGCAAAATTTTTGTTTATTTTATTTTATCTATTTATCTTCGAGTCCTTTTAACCCCTTTGGCCAGTTCGCAAATCGACTGGTCTGGAGACATTATTATTAGTACAGTTCATGGACTCCCAGGTGTTGCAGATTAATGCCGGCTCCGGGGGATTGGTGAAGGGTGCTCGAACAGGCAATTGGTCGGTCTTTGATGCAAATCGCGAGACGACACCAGCCCACCACCTCTCTCTCTTGTCTCTGCGCTGTCAGTGGGAGAGAGAGAGGGATTCCGAGCGCGGGTGGGTTCTTCCACGAACTGTCTGTAGAGATGGATCCTTTCTGCTCCTCTTTTGGCCCCCAAAGCCAGGCCACCAGTTTTTCTGTCTGCCTGCACCTCTGCCTCAGGGCGACGAAGAAAATACATCACTGCAGCCATACTCCGTACTTCGGGCCATCTCCCCTCGACGGGCATGTATGTACACACATTAAAGACGGGCGGTCCCACCTGCAATTGCACCTGCTTCCAGGTCTATCGTCCCGAAGCACGAAAGCCCGCACTATTTATATACATATAAATATATATATCTCACAAAGCGTAGTCTAGTCCTGTCAACACTCGCTTCCTCCATCAACCAGCAGATTCAGGTATAACTAGGCTGGCCGGTTCCTCGTCCCACCGGATGACATCAGGCTTCCTCCTCCACGAGAGTTGCGTAGACTTTTTTTTTCCAGCACGACGTTGCAGTTAATCTCCCCGTGGTGCCTGTGGACAGCTTGTTCCGGGCCTCGGTGTCCTCGCGAATAACCACAAAAACATAACAAGAACTTCACGCAGGGAGATCGAGTGCCTACTTCACACACACACACTCTCTCTCTCTCTCTCTCCCTTCGACTCAGCCTTGTCATTGCTTGCTCGCGCCGGCGCTTCTCGAAACGCCAGCCTCACCGCTGGTCATTCGATCGAATCAGCCTCCGCTCGCGTCCCCCCGAAACAGGACCCACCGCAGAACCACCACATCGCCCTTCGTCTCGCCGGTGCGGAGGGCACTCAGCCAACTCTCGAGGCGCCCGTTTCCCTGACTCTCCATCCGCCTCCATTCCCTCCGCCATATCTACTAATACAGACACGCTTGCCACTCCTTTCTTCAGCAGGCTATTAATACTCATTGCCATACTATCGGTGTCATCAGCGCGGATCCGCGTGGAAGTTATCGAACTGCAGAGTGGTACTTGGGTTCGACCACCGCCCCCCCCCGTTCCAATCATCTCCGTTGGATCTGGACACTAATTGTTGGGCGCCGTGTTTTCGACAGCGGGGAGAACTGCTCGACACCTTGATGGGCACCCATTGAGACATTGTATCACAGTCACATAGCATCTTCTACGTGTGTCCTTCGTTTGCTTGCAAGCGGTTGCTATCGTTTCTTATATTTTCGCCGTCTTTCCCTCTCTCCTCTTCCCCCCATCCGACCCTTTCCCATTTATTTGACACGCGCCGGGTCTTCGACTTTCCCTGCAACCTCCCTGGCCCCAAGCGGACAAGCAACCGGTTGAACCTAGCTGGATATTGCATTTGGGGTTTCAAACTTCCTGAGACAAACTCGCCCGTTCCTCTTGACATTCTTTTTTGTGCACGGACACCCAGTGAGTCTCGTGATGACATTGCTCTCCCGCTCGAACCTTTCAGGTCTCACGCTGATAACTCCGACAACTAACAGGTCCGTCAGCGATTCGATTGCCATAATGACTTCCCCCGCTCCTCTCCTAAAGATCCCCACGCCGGGTAACCGTAAACCACCAAAGCTCACAGTTGGAATCCCCCCTTCGCCCAACGCTCGACCCGTCAACCAGGTTGGCACTACCTCGCAGAATGACCCACAAGCACAGCATCTCCCTTCGCGCCAACTGCCACCGGAGTTGAGGATCGCAACCCCGATGGGCAGCAGGGGAATGATACAACAGGAAGACACCTCATATCACAATGGTCGGCCGATACCACAGCCATACAGTAATTCATCGAACGACCTCTCAGCCCACTCGAGATCGGGCAGCTTCACAATGCATGATGGCAAGAACAGTGGCCCTGCATCCGCTACGTCCTCGTCATTTTCAACTCTCTCTTTTGCCATGGGCATGAGGGATCCTCTCGGGGGCGCGGGGGATCCATCGTCCGCTATCAGCTCAGTGTACTCCGACCGTGGTGGCGGGCTACCTATGGAAAGAGAAAATAGTATGAATGGCGTTCTACCCGACCTGGATAAGTTGAGCCAAGAGTTGGGTAGGCCCTTGGACGTCGAGGACCTCGATGATGAGAAATGGGCCGCTGCAAGCGAACAAAGGAAAATCATTGAGCTTGACAGTCTTGGTGAAGGCGCTGGTGGAGCGGTTACTCGATGCATACTGAAAGGTGGAAAGACTGTTTTTGCTTTGAAGGTATATCTTTGAACACACTTCGTTTTTGGTTTTAAAAAGATTGTCTATTCTAACTCGATATGCAGGTCATTACAACCGACCCTAATCCTGACGTGAAGAAGCAAATATTCCGAGAACTGAATTTCAATAAAGACTGCGCTTCAGAGCATATCTGTCGGTACTACGGTGCGTTTATGGATAGATCGTCAAGTACGATTTCAATAGCGATGGAATTCTGTGAAGGCGGCAGCCTCGATAGCGTTTACAAGGAAGTCAAGAAACTTGGTGGCCGAACGGGGGAGAAAGTGCTTGGAAAAGTCGCGGAAGGTGTACTAAACGGTTTAACCTATTTGCACGGGCGCAAAATTATCCACAGAGGTATGGTCTTGACATCTTGATTTACCTTCCTGCAACAATGAAGATAGTTGTGCTAATGAATCAACGTAGATATCAAACCCTCGAATATCCTGCTTTGTCGAACGGGTCAAGTCAAGCTCTGTGATTTCGGCGTCAGCGGCGAATTCGGAACCAAAGGCGACGCAAATACTTTCATTGGCACATCCTACTACATGGCTCCTGAGCGGATCACCGGTCAATCGTATACTATAACTTCTGATGTTTGGTCTCTTGGAGTGACTCTTCTCGAGGTTGCCCAGCATCGGTTTCCTTTCCCGGCAGACGGAACTGTGATGCAGCCAAGAGCAGGCCTGATCGACCTCTTGACATATATTGTCAGACAGCCCATTCCCAAGCTGAAAGATGAGCCAGAGAATGGAATATATTGGAGTGATAATTTTAAATACTTCATTGAGTGTTGGTAAGTTAGACTGTTTTATCACCTCTCGCCATTTCGAGCGCTAATACGACATTCAGCTTGGAGAAAGAACCCCCTCGGAGAGCAACGCCGTGGCGGATGTTGGAGCATCCGTGGATGCTTGAAATGAAAAATAAGAAGGTTAATATGGCGCATTTCTTGAAGCAGGTTTGGGATTGGAAAGAGTAGATCGTTTTCCTTTCCTTTTTTTTTTTTTAAAAAAAAAAAAAAAGAAAAGAAACGGCGAAGCCGTCAAGTCTGCTTTTCTTTGAACCCATGGTCTCTCATTGCCCTCCCCAGCCTCCATAAGAACATACATCTGCATGCCCTTTATACCTTGTTCTCTTTTCACATTTCCGCGTGAATCTATCACATCGTGTGCCTGCTGATGTCTGGACGTCGTTGGCCATGCTTATTACTATGTTCACCTTTGTAACGCATGTTTTATTTCTTCCCAGCTTGCTCCTTTTTTCAAGTGGCATCTTTCTACTTCATCTTGTTTTTACCTCTCTCCCTTTTCTGTTCCCCCTCGATGATTGCTTCTGCAAAAATATGGAGTTCTCTAGGATATCTTTCTTTTCATTTTTCTTTTTGGTTTAGCAGCTTGAGTACTCGATAATGTGGCGGAATAATGACTCTGTTTTATCTGATTGTGTCATTGTGATGCATTATTGGAAGTCCCCTATTCTCCTGCCCTTTTTTTTTTTTTTTTTTTTTTGGGTTCATGCCTCTGCGGAGTGCTCTGATCCTTTCTCTAGTTTTACCTCTTTTCTCGTGAGCATCCTTGGCCTTTCTACTTTATTAAGGGATATAAGGGATATACATATGATATATGAATGAGAGTCAGAAAAGAAGGAAAAAGGAAACAAAAAAAAAAAAAAAGAAAAAAATAAATTTATCGAAGGAATAGCATACAGATATCTGTTAGCTAGAAGCTCAAAGCCGTCAGAAACAAATGTTTGGGGAATACTACCGTTAGATCTCTCGTTATAGCAACAACCATCGTATACATATGCAAATATTGGGCATACCTAAAATTTATTGAGCAGAATGCGAATCCATGCTTTCCCGAACGCCCTTCCCCGATATCCACAGTTTGACATGTTCCAATAGGCATATCTCATTAGTCCCAGCTAACTTACAAGAAGGGAGGGGGAAAAAAGAAGAGGGGGAAAGAAATAGATCACTTCGTGTTCTGATTGACCGGCTGCGCGCCCAACACCCATCCCAACCCGCTGACAAGTCCACCAGTAACCATGTTACTAACAACATCTCTCTTCCTAACCCTCCCCGAGCCCTCACCAGCTTCTGAAGGCGTTTCAGATCCGTCATAGAATCCTGCCGCGGCCATCTCGCTTCCAGAAGAAATATCAATACTCTGCCGAGGCCGACTGGACGTCACACTCCCAGGTCTGGACGAAGGGGCCGCAGTGGTAAGGGGGAACGCGTTCTTGCTGATGGCTCTGGCCGCTCCGCGCGCGACGTCAAACAGGCCCATGGGTGCTTCTTCATAGTCCCTCCTACTCCGATGCGAGGCGCGCAGACGTTTGGCGCGCTCGCGCTGGGTGTCTATGGCGTCGAGTTCGGCATCTGAAGGGCCGAAGCCACCTGGCACGGAGGACATGCTTGTTGTGTCGCCGTGGGTGTCCCAGTCTTCTGCCTCTTCTTGCTCCTGGGTTTGAAGGATGTTCATTTCTTCGTCGCAGCGGCGCCAGACGGCGAGGATCTCGGGGAGGTTGTCCGGAGATGGGGAGAGGATGAGGGCGAGGGAGAGGAGTTCCATTTGTTGGGAGAGGCGGGAAATTCGGGATTGGAGAGAGGAGTTTTCGGCTTCGGGTGCTGTTGAGCGGTGCCGCCCTGCGTTATATGCTGCGCGCCAGGAGATATTGTCTTCCACGACGGGGCTAGTGTCCATCGACCCTAGAAGTTTAGTATCGTGGGCTAGTCGCGTCGTTGTATATGAATAAGCCGTGTCGAAATCATTTGCGCTCAGAGCGGACGATATTGCTAGGGAAGTGATACGGTGGGCCGAGATTAGCTGAATTTGTTCTTGAGAGAGCGCTGATAAATCTGTATCGGGAAGATCGTCATCCTGAATGCCATGTGGAAGGCCAGCGGCGATGAGGTCGCGACCGATTTTCAAAATATTATCCAGTTCGGTATAGGCCTTTGCATTTTGTTCTAACACCCGCTCAATCAACGACAGCGGGTCTTGATGCATTCGAATGCTAACGGATTGAAAAGGAACACCATGCTGTAATGTAAGAGAATAGAAGGACAGCGAGTGTGTCGCTGAGATCAGAGACCTTATCTGCTGGAATGCTACAGAATGCGGAAAATGAGGAGCAAATGAATCAAGACTATCAGAAGTTATTAGCATTTTCAAGTGCCTAGAGGAATAGCTAATATAGTGCTCACATCTCGGTTGCCCGTTTCATTCCACCCCTTGTTTTGTTTCCATTCGACGCATTGTCATAAGATACGAAGATTGTTTCAGCCACAGCAGCTTCCACGTCGTCACGAGATAAAGGAGATGATAGAGAAGTGTAGACGGATAAACTTAGGGCACATTCTATGCCATGTAAGCGGCGAACAAGAAGAGCTTCTTATGATCGGCTTGTAGTAAAACTTACGTTTTGCCATGAGCATTGCATTCAGTATTTCTTTCTCAAAGAGAGCAAGGGGTATCCGCCAAAATAAGCCCGCGTGTGAGTCGCAGGCCGCGCTGCAGGGCATGGAAGTCTGCTCGCTTCCCCAACCTTTTAGCCAGAGCAGCTGCTTTCTAGCCTGATCCCAATCACGCGATTGTTTGGAATCTCGTTTTAGAATTCCGAGAACTTCACGCAGTTCAAAAAGTTGGGATTCTTCATCGCCAAGAAGACATGTTTCGGCCGCATGCCTGGGGGTCATAGAGTGGCCAAAGCCATTTAACATGCGGATGGAAACTAATATGGCATCTAGAAACGCAATTGACTCTCGCGTGGGATAGGTAAGAGGGTTCGACGGTTGGAGCAGGGCGTTATGAAGGAAATTCCGGCGGCAAATGTTAGAAGGTATTATATGAGAAGGAGGAAGAGGAGGAGGAAGGATTTCATCGCTTTGCACTTGCAGTGCAGAATGGCCTTCGATCTCGAGAAGGCCCGCAATTCTTGACAGAATACAAAAGGCGCCCTCCAAAGTGTCTTTATTGCATTCTGAAATGGTGTATATAGCTGCGATAGCGGCTTGCCCGTAACTTGAAATCAATTCCCCTCCTATATCCTCCGATATTGTCGATTTTGGGTCATCATAGCCACCCAAGTCCACATCTCCAGGACCAGCCCATCGTATTACTGTCTCGACAGCTAAAGCAAAGTCTCGAATTCCGGTAGAAAGCAGCCACTCATTAACGTCCTGCCAACCCATATACTCGAAATCGTCCTGAGAGGCTTGGGGCTTCGTTTTTGGGGCCAGCTGAGCATTCCCATTCACATTGTGACCTTTTAATTTCCCATGTCCGTAGATCCAGGGTCCAATCAGACCTCGCAAGTCCCGATCTACATTGCCTCCATTTTCACGTCGTTCGGCGTTGGATAGGAGTGTATTGACCGCGCTTTTGCAGTCCAGGGACTCGAGAAGTTCGAGGGACAGCGCGCTCTCTCTGTCCGGATGGTATTCGTAGTTGAATCGAACTAAGGGCAGTATCGTAGAAATGAGCCAATTGCGAAGGAAGTCAGACGTTTCAACGAACGGTCGAATAAGGTCAACGATGAAAGTCTGCACACCACACTCGTTGTCTATTCTGTATGCACGATGGATAAGGAATTGGGTCAGAGGCGTGTCCAGAACATCATTAGGACACCCGGGGTACTGGAGAGGGAGAAGTCGTAGCTTTCGAACTTGTTTTCTGGCCTCGGAACAGGATAGCTCTGCAATGGCGGAGGTATCGATGTCCAACTCCGTGGGCACAGTCGACGGGTCGAGGGTGAGGCGCTTGATAACGGAGGTATAGCGGCTAGGCTCAAGACTTTCTGGGAGAAAGGTCAAGATAATGCGGAGAAGAACGTCTGGTGAAGGTGGATGGCGGAAGTGGTAGAGGAGACCGGGAAGCTGTGAAATATCGCCAATCGAGCAGAGCTGGACGACGAGCAGGACCAGATGGGCGTCAGATAAGCCTAATAAGACCGTCATATTTTGGGCTTTCTCATGATCTATGGACAAGTGTGTCTGGTTGACAGAAGGTGGTTTGTTGATGTGGCACTTGGAGACCGAGAACCTTACAGCTTGTCGCTCCTCCGTACGGAGTACAGAACACCGGTTTTGCCTGTCGGCCAGAGTCCGGCCTTTGGAAGTCATGACAACTAGTTTGAATCTAGGGCATTTAGGTTCTTACTTGCTTGCCTGTCATCTTCCTGAAGTATGTATTCTCCGTTGTCTCCTCGAGGTTGGCAGATAATCGCCAAAGGTTGGTTTTAGGGGGCAACTGTTTACTCCGTACTATGGGAATGTGACGTTTATCCATACTGAACTAGCAGTCATTTGCACAGCATTTATTTCTGTGCATACATACTCCGTACATGCTTCGAATGGGATTATGTACAAAGTTGCGCTGGAATCACGAGAAACCAGCATTACAAAGATGTCAAGGCAAAAAAAGCAAAAAAAGCACACTTCTGGACGCTGCCGGAATCGAACCGGCGACCCTATCTATGCGAAAGATATGTTATACCACTAAACCAAGCGCCCTGCCGACTTCCAACTGCTACTATCTCATCTAACCTGGAATTTTGGGAGAGTCCCATCTCGGTGGGCCAATCAATCTCCGCCATTTTCAGATCACCCATCATCGTTATCGCCAGAAACACCACCCTTCATCAGTCCGTCAGTTCAAAAGCTTGTATCAGTCAATTGAAACCAGGACGCAATGGCTTCGGGATACGGTACCTCTGGTGGTATGGATGAAATTCCCTTCTTCTCTTCACTCTCTTTCAATGAGGCAAACGACTGCCAATTTCAATCTTGCCCGTGATGCTAACTCCGCCGTTTTCAATCCAGGCCCGTCGCGGTGCTTTCCCTTCTGGCAGGAGCTTCTCGCCTGCTACGTCGTCAACTCGGGAGAAGGAGAGAATGGAAAGTTGAAGTGCGTGCCGGTAATGGAGGACTACTACGAGTGCCTACACCACAAAAAGGAGGTGCGTCAAGAACACCCAACACCGGACTCCGGACTCTGGAGAGAGTTGATCAGAGTTTGAGAGCTAAATGCGTCGTCGGGGGATTTAGGCTGCCAGAACGAGAGCGCTACAGAATGCCTACCGCAAGGCCCTTGCCGCCCACCCGCGAGAAAACGTCCCGAGAGCAGAGCAGATCAGTTCCCTAGGCTTGTTGGGCAAAGAGGAAGATACAAAGTTGGTTTTAGAATCGCGGTAACGGAGTTTTATCTTTTCGATTATGTGAAATAGAAGGAGTCGATTTCCACCTATTGCATTTCTCTTTTCTCTGTGTATATCACCTCGACCTTCGCTCTCTTTTTCCCCACTTTTAACGATTTCAATGGAGAGATTCTGGACATTATGATCGATGCAGGAAATTTCGCTTGGCCATAGCGCTGTGTGCATATACAGGACCTAGCACTTGTCTGCTATAAAAATTTAAAAAAAAAAAAAAAAAAAATCAGCTGGCTCTTTTGGATATCTTCTACCGCCTTGGGTCCATTTTCACCGCTGCCACCAACGAAGTGAGCTTTGGCATCGTCTCTGTATTTTTTCTCATCACCAGTGTGTCGGAGTATTCTTGTAGGAGGGGCCTTTTAAAGGCCAGTTTCGAGTATCAAGCTCTTTACCACACAGTCCCCAAGTAGAGGTTGGACGACCGCGGAAAACCGTGTAATTCCTTCAGACGGCATCGTCTTCCCGTACCACACACATGACTACATATCATTGAAACAAGGGAATGATCCGGTAGCGACAGTCCCGTACAGGTATGTATGACTTCATAATGCGTAAGCCGGTATGTTACTTATCACCGTCCAACCATGTATGTCTCTGGGCACGGGTTGTTTCGTGGCTGAACACTGTGGCATTCAGGACATCCACAAATGCTACTTAAATACACACAATCTTGGTGACCCGAAACATTTTTCTATTGTTTTTGACAATCTGATATCTTTTGAAAGGCAAGCGTCTTCTATCAGACGCTCGGCTAGGCACATTTGGTAAAACGAGCACCGAGTTGTTTGTGAATTGTGCTTGGGTAGTTAGGGACCTCAAACATCTAGTAACAAGTTTCGAGTCATCCTAAAACCGAAGTCCAGAGCAGCTCCCAACTGACTGTCGGTGGCCTTGCACCTTACCTCCATTGAGAGGGGCGGTCGAGCAGTCAGCAGCCAGCAGCTTCCCGCCAGCAGCTTGCAGCCAGCGTTCCAGGGTCACCCGAGATATATTGACGCACGGTTGGTGAGTACGCTGCCAAGCGGTCAGCCACCAACAGGAAGGCGGCTTTGGGCTGGGGCAACTGTCACGTGTGGAGGCTAAATCCAGGGATGGCAATAAACTAGGCCAAATCGGGACAAGCGGCATTGGCGTGAACATGGAGAGGCGCGTTGCTGTGTAAGTTGTCCCAATGATATAAACATCCCTCTGCAACCTCGACTTTTCCCTCCCCCAACCCAAGCACCCAACCCGACCTTAACCACTTTGAAATCCACCGGGCCAGCCTCACACAGCATTTGCGACCTTCCCTGGTTCTACCCTTATTTTTGCCTTTTTGGCCCACACAGGCACTTTTCGCTCACCCTACAATCCTTACTTTATGTAATTAAATTTGTCGGTCCACAATGCTTATTGATAACCTTTGTGTGTCGTGATTTTTCCTTGATTCCCTTTTCTTTTTTTTTTTTTTTTTCTTAATTTAAAAACAAATCGCCTTTTTTTTTTGGTCTCCCCCTGCAAACGCGTTGATGGACCGGGGAGTTTGATGGTGAGACGAGGAAGAAGCCGTGATGGGGTCGAGGTACGTCGCGTCAAGCCGTTTTCATCGCTAGCGTTTGGTGACTAATGTCTTGGCATTTGCAGGCTCGATCGCTTAGTCATGTAAGGAGCCCTAGTGGTGGCTGTGAAGTTTTATCTCTTGGCGCTGGAGAGTTTGGCTAACGTCGGTCCCCGTCTTTTAGTCTTTTGGAGACTGGGAGCACGCCAGTCATCAGAAACACTGCTGCCCAGCAGCTGGCCGATGTTCAGAAGCAGCATCCAGAGGAGCTGTTCAACCTGCTTGGCCGCATCCTACCATATCTTAGGTCGCGGTCATGGGATACCAGAACAGCAGCTGCCAAGGCAATTGGCGGCATAGTCGGCTATGCTCCCAAGTTCGACCCAAATGCGGACGACAGTTCACCTTCCAAGGAGGAGGAGGCTGAAAATGCAAAGGTGAAAACCGAATCAGAGGCTGCGGATGAACTCCTAAGTTTGGAAACTCTGGATATCGTATCAATCCTCAAGCATGGCCAAAAGTTGCTCGGAAGTGCTGGCAAGGAGTATGAGATTTCCCTTGCTGGCTTGGACCCAGCGGCAAGGTTGCAGAAACAAAAGAGAACGCTGACTGCGCGCCTTGGATTGGCGGGTGAATATATCGAAGAGAGCTTGATCAATGATCACGACATCAATGACGGCACCGTCCCAAAAGGCTCGTCCGGAACGGGATGCGTGCCCAAACTGGATACGTCAGTCTCGACCCTTGCTCGTCAACATAGCATCACAAACATTCCTCCTCAATCGGCAACTTCCCCTAATGATCCTCAAACGCCCATGAACGGTGAGGAACATGGACTTAGTAAGCGCCAGTTGAATCAGTTGAAACGAAAGAACAAGCAGTCTGCGAGAATGGGAGGCAGTAAAGTCAGAGTTGTTGACCTCTCGGTCAGAAAAGGCTCTGATATCGTTGCGACACCGTCTGTGACTACGCCTCATCCCATCAAAAAGGAAAGCGGCGAGGAAAACGAGGATGAAAAGGTGGATTATTTCTCCCTGAAAAGAGAAGGGCCTGACGACGACTCAAAATTAGTCACCGAATTCAAAGGGGCCGTTGTGCCCGAGAGATCGTTTATACAGACCGATGCCGAGGAACAAAATCTAGAATGGCCTTATGAACGCATGTGTGAAATCCTCATGGTTGACCTATTCGACCATGCTTGGGAGATTCGACACGGGGCTGCCATGGGCCTCCGGGAAGTAATCCGTGTTCAGGGAGCTGGTGCGGGCCGTCTATGGGGCAAAACAAGAGCTGAGAATGATGAACTAAATCATTGTTGGCTTAATAACCTTGCGTGTCGACTTCTTTGTGTATTCATGCTTGACCGGTTTGGCGACTACATCTCAGATAATGTTGTAGCTCCAATTCGCGAAACGGTTGGTCAGACGCTCGGTGCACTTTTGTCCCATTTGCCCTCGAAGTCGGTTGTTTTGGTCTATCATATTCTGTACAGAATCATCATGCAAAAAGATCTGGACACTATCAAGCCCGTTTGGGAAGTGTGCCATGGAGGGATGATCGGGTTAAAATATTTGGTTGCCGTTCGAAACGACATTTTATTCGAAGACTCCGCCGTTTTGGATGGCGTAATTGAGGCTGTGATGAAAGGCCTGGGCGACTTTGATGATGACGTTCGTGCTGTTAGCGCAGCCACCCTAATTCCAATTGCCGATGATTTCGTGAAACTGCGGCCAGGAGCCCTAGATTCCCTAATCGATATTGTATGGAATTGCCTCTCCAATTTACAAGACGACCTTAGTGCGAGTACCGGCTCAGTCATGGACCTCCTCGCAAGGCTATGTATATTCCCACAAGTGCTGGAAGCCATGAAAGTGAACGCCGCTCACGATCCCGAATCCTCCTTTGGCAACCTTGTTCCTCGACTTTTCCCGTTCCTTCGACATACTATTTCCAGCGTACGGTCTGCTGTCCTTCGCGCCCTTCTTACATTCTTAAAACTAGAGAACGAAGGTCAGGATTCATGGGTGGACGGCAAAGCACTAAGACTTGTTTTCCAGAATCTTCTTGTTGAGCGGCACGAAAGTGTTCTCAAGTTATCCCTGCAAGTCTGGTCAGAAATGCTTCGAGTACTTGGTTCTCAAGGCATATTCAGTACAGACCAACTTGTCACTCCGGTTCAGCCACTCATTTCGGCAACTATGAATCCGTTTGGCGTTCCACGTTATCCAATCCCAATGGATCTGTCTCTCTTTATTCGACCTTCTGGATCAGCTTTCACATCTGCGCCTTCTATCCCAAGGAAACCGTCAGTTCACACACCCACCGAACCCGCACCGCGAGGCAGGAGAAGAAAGACGGAAAAGAAAGAAGCGCCCGTTGTGATGGTGCATAATGTGGACGGCCACATGCTCCAAGGAGACATCGACTTGGTCGGTACTGATACGATGGTAAGATCGAAGATTTACGCTGCCATCGCTCTCGGTGAGTTTTTGGCAACGTGGGATTCTGCTAATGAGTTCAACTTGTGGGATCGCGTTTTACCTGCTTTAAATTGGCCTGGCTCTACTTCCCAACTGGTGGCCGCCATGGTGGTCGAAGAATATACAAAGCGCCAGGGTCCTGCTTCTCGACATGCTTCTCTACTTTCGCAATGGCTCAATCCATTGATAGAGAATGAACGGCCGTCATGGTATGGCGACATTTCATGCTACTTGCATATTGCACGAGCCCAATGCCATTCACTTCTCAACGCGTTCAGGGACCATGCGCATGTTTCTCAGTCAAGACTTCCGACTTTAGCAGTGGTGGTTCAAGGTGATCCCGAAGCCGGGCCTAACGCTTTCTCAATCCACGATGCTGAGAATGTTGTTGGTTCGGATTTTGAAAGGCTCAAGAGGGACTTAACGCCAACCCAGCGGATCACCGCACTTCAAGTGTTGAATGACTCTCGTGCAAGCGCCCAAGCTGCGGTCAAAGAAGCAAAAGAAGTCAAGGAACAGCGTGACATGCGGATTCGGGCTGCTATTGCTGGATCGCTGGTTGCACTGAAAGATATACCGAAGAAGCCTAGCCATATTATCAAGGCAATGATGGACAGTGTCAAAAAAGAAGAAAATATAGAGCTGCAACAGCGATCGGCATCTGCTATCGCATCGTTAGTGGAATATTACACCACGGCCGCCAAACGTGGTCCGGTAGATAAAGTCATTGCGAACCTTGTTAAGTTTTGCTGCGTCGATACGTCAGAGACACCCGAATTCCATCATAATGCACATCTAGAGAAAGCCATATTATCGCTTCGCAAAGAGGAAGATAAAAAGGATCCGGTCGATGCAGCTAAATTCGAGAGAGAGTCGCGAGAGGCTAGGATCATGCGTCGTGGAGCAAAGGAATCTCTGGAGCAGTTGGCAACTAGATTTGGTGCTCAGTTATTGGAAAAGGTGCCAAATCTCGCAATTCTTATCCAAAACGCTTTGAAACAGGCATTATCCGGCGACCTCCCAAAGAATATTAGAGACCCATTTAACGAATTAGGACAAGAAACGGTGGATGGCCTATCGATATTGCGTGCCCTGTCTCCTAAATTCCATCCTGGACTTTACCCATGGGTTACCGAACTTATGCCTGTCATTGTGAAGGCTTTGCAATGCGAACTCTCTGTCATTCGATATGCGGCGGCCAAATGTTTTGCCACATTGTGTAGTGTTATGCCGGTTGAGGGTATGACCATGCTTGTGGAGAAAGTTTTGCCTTCTATCAGTAATGCATTGGATGTCAACTGTCGACAGGGAGCCATCGAGTGCATATACCATTTGATTCACGTTATGGAAGATAAAATTCTTCCATATGTCATTTTCCTGATTGTCCCTGTTCTCGGCAGAATGAGTGATTCTGATAATGATGTGAGGCTTTTGGCAACCACCGCATTTGCTACTCTTGTCAAGCTTGTTCCATTGGAGGCCGGAATCCCTGATCCACCAGGGCTCTCTGAAGAATTGCTCCAGGGTCGAGACCGGGAGAGAAAGTTTATGGCGCAAATGCTTGATGTTCGCAAGGTGGAGCCATTTGAGATACCAGTTGGTATCAAAGCTGAACTCCGGTCATATCAGCAGGAAGGTGTTAATTGGCTTGCGTTCCTTAATCGGTACAATCTCCATGGCATCCTTTGCGACGACATGGGTCTTGGCAAGACTCTACAGACACTTTGTATCGTTGCCAGCGACCATCACCTTAGAGCAGAGGAGTTTTCTCGCACGCAGGCCCCTGAGGTTCGGCGGCTACCATCCTTAATTATCTGTCCTCCTAGTGTTTCCGGTCACTGGCAGCAGGAAATTCAACAATATGCACCTTTCCTCACCTGCGTCTCCTATATGGGCCCGCCAGCAGAAAGAGCAAGACATCGGCCGCGGCTCACTGAAGTGGACATTGTGATCACTTCTTACGATATTTGCAGGAACGACAATGATATTTTTGCACCAATGGCGTGGAACTACTGCGTCCTTGATGAGGGTCATCTGATCAAGAATCCACGAGCAAAGATTACTCTGGCAGTGAAACGCATTCAAAGCAATCACCGTCTAATACTTTCCGGTACACCGATTCAAAATAACGTTTTAGAATTGTGGTCATTGTTCGACTTCTTGATGCCAGGATTTTTAGGAACTGAAAAGGTTTTCTTGGATCGCTTTGCAAAACCAATTGCAGCCAGTCGCTTTAGCAAGTCCTCTTCCAAGGAGCAAGAAGCTGGGGCCCTAGCTATCGAGGCTTTGCACAAACAAGTCCTACCGTTCTTGTTGCGGCGATTGAAGGAGGAGGTTTTGAATGACTTACCTCCGAAGATTCTTCAAAATTATTACTGTGATCCAAGCGAACTCCAGCGGAAATTATTTGAAGATTTCACCAAAAAAGAGCAGAAGGAGTTGGCGAAGAAGCTCGGAAGCACAGAGAAGGAGGCCAAAGAACATATTTTCCAAGCCTTGCAATATATGCGTCGGCTTTGCAATTCTCCTGCTCTTGTCGTGAAAGAAGGACATAGGCAATACCAGGAAGTTCAGAGATACCTTGCGAATAAAAATTCGAATATTCGCGATATCTCGCATGCTCCGAAACTTACGGCGCTTCGCGATTTGCTTATAGACTGTGGTATTGGCGTGGATCTAAGTGTCGAAGGAGAACTTAATACCGCTGCAAGCTACGTTAGTCCGCATCGTGCGCTGATCTTCTGCCAAATGAAAGAGATGCTTGATATTGTACAAAATGATGTGCTCAAGAAGCTGCTTCCGTCTATTCAATACCTCCGTCTGGATGGAAGCGTAGAGGCAACTAAACGACAAAACATTGTCAATCAATTTAACACGGATCCTAGCTATGACGTTCTCCTCCTTACGACCAGCGTTGGTGGCCTTGGTCTCAACCTTACCGGAGCGGATACCGTTATTTTCGTGGAGCACGATTGGAATCCACAAAAAGATATACAAGCTATGGACCGAGCTCATCGTATCGGCCAGAAAAAGGTTGTTAATGTATACCGCCTGATCACTCGAGGAACACTGGAGGAGAAGATTTTGAAGTATGTACATTCATAGAAACATTTTTGTTGCTCCAGCTATCTGTCATGATGCTAACATTCTTTTTTAGTCTACAACGCTTCAAAATCGATGTCGCCTCTACTGTCGTCAATCAGCAAAACGCTGGCCTAAGTACAATGGACACGGACCAGCTCCTTGACTTATTCAATCTAGGCGAAACCGCCGAGACTGCAGAGAAACCCAGCCAGGATGCTGGTCTTAACGGCAATGAAGTTGATATGGTAGATATCGATGGCGAAGTTAAGGAAAAGGGTAAAAAGGGTTGGCTAGACGACCTTGGGGAATTATGGGATAACCGGCAGTACGAAGAGGAGTACAACCTTGATTCCTTCTTGGCGTCTATGAAGGGGTGATTCTGGAGTGAGGCGTCTGGTATTCCGTTTGAGACTCCATGCATTTGGGGCAAGACGGTTATTGATAATCAGCGGAGTTGGACTGAGTAAACGGTTTCCTTGTTAATTATGTTTTGATTTTTGCTTTCCTATTTTTTTCCCCCTCCTTTTGTCTATTCATTTGCAAGAGGCGGCCTGGCAGGTGTTCATGGTCAGGAGCAACAGAAAAGTCCTCTTTGTTGGATTTCTCTAGCAGGGACACATCCTAGTTGTGCATTCAGCGGAGTTCTCTGCGTTTTTCTTGGGCGCAAAAAGAACTACAGCTGGCCATGTTTCGGCAATTTTGCTTACACAATCTTCTACCTTTCGACATTCTTATTATCCGCTTCGCTGCATATCTTGAACTTTGCCCTTCTCTTCACAATGATGTATAAATATGGACTCCCAATGTTTGATTCTCTTTATAGGTTTTGTCATGTTGAATTGATGCCCTGATGTTCCTGGGCTCTCATGTACAATATAGGTGTTGTTTCCGACCGAGACGACAGGTTACATAGATTAAGAAAAGATTGGCCATGAGATCTATGATCAACATTACCATTGGCTGTCTGCCATCCTTGAAAAGGAGCACGAACTGACATGAAGACTCGGCTATGACATTGAGCTCCGTCCTATGATTGGATACAACAGAAAACCGTCCCCGTAGATAACTTTCATTCAGGAACTATCCTTACATACTATCCTTTTCATACTTGTACACAGCCATTTGTATCACAAAACATGACGGACTTGGGCAAGAATCTTGTGCATAGAATATCCAGTAAATAACCCAAGTGCGCCACACGATTGACTTCCGAACAAAAAGAGAGAGAAATAGCCTCCCAACATTCACAGGGTGTTGCGCCGGCTCTGCCACATTGAAAATCAAAACTCCAGATATTCCCAACCAAAATACAGGGTACACACAAAAACTTATTCAATTATGAAGACAAAGAAATAGAGCAATGTAAACCTGAGCTAGTAAAAAACGATTTCACAATTTCCGAAGAAGGAGAAGAGGATAAGTATGTATTTACCATGGTTTCGACTTTTGTACTCCGAAGATGAATTTGACTTGCAGATTTAGTAGCAAGGATCTTCAACGTCGTTGTTTCGGTCTCGCAAGGAAACTTAATCGGCTCAAGCTAAGGCCGGTTCTGCGCTGCGTTGAGCTGGGTGTAGTCCGAACAGCACTTCGCGGAGTTGCGTGCTGCGTCAGGCGCTTCTTGACTGGACTTGGGGTGTAAGTTTTTGACGGAGAGGCGAGTGAAGTCTTTACTCTCTTAGCGCTTCGCTGCCCATCATTCAAATAATTTGGAGATGCCCTATTTGCCTGTCCCCTATTCTCAGCGTCTTCACGTTGGCGTTTTTTGTTTGCTATTCCGTGCGGAATTGCGCCGGGGGTGGAGAAAGTGGGCATTTGCTGCGAACTGGGCATTGTTGCGCCTTTACGGGCACTGACAGGAGAAGGCTCGAAAAAGAACGAATATTGCTTATTAGCTTGCGGCGTACTGAGAGGTGGTAGAGTGGGATATGTTATGTAGCCATCAGAAGCATCTTCAGCAATAGGACCAAAGTCAGGTGTTCGAGGGGTTTCCGGTGATACATCAGGGAGCTTAGTGCTGTCGGAAAAGCCAACACGCTTTTTAGAGGAAGGGACTGCGTGACTTTGCTCGGAAGTATCGGGCGCAGAGACGAGCTTGCTACCCAGATCGGCATCAGGAAAAGCCTGGTGGGTTCCAGCTGCAATTTTAACGGGGTCATTAGAGAAAAGAGGCTGGCGTCGACATAGAATTGATTTGAGGGCTCCAAAACCTGGGGTTGCTTTTTTGGCTTTCGGTTTGAGATCCGTCTGGGGAGTTCGTGGCGCGAGAGAAGACTTCGAAGGGGAGTAAGACAATGAAGGGATTTTTGTGGTTTGAGGATGCTTGACACTTGTGGAACAGGCAGTTGTTGGCTTGCGTGGAGTGCTGAGATCTTTGGAGACTGATGGGGCGGTTTTTAGACCCCTGTTGACAACCTGGTCATCCTTGAAGAGTGGGCGACGAGTCGAAGTATCTTCATTGTCTTTGCTTCTAAAGCGCTTTGTGACCGAATTGGCCGATGCGCCTGTAGTTGTCACAGGGTTCACCCCAGTTGGAGTAGCCTTCTCTGGCGCATCCAGCTGAGCCTTCGAAATGGTACGTTTGAGGCCCTTCGAAACGGGGGGCTGGACACGGTCTGGGCGAGCTCTAAATGAAGAAGGGTGGTTGGCTATAGAATCCATCTTTCTGAACTGCGCCATATGAATTTCACTAAATCGCCCAATTTTGCCCTTCGCGGTCGCTATCTTCCTGTCTTCTGATGGTTTCGCCTTTTCACCGTTAAGATTTTGCTCTTTTGCCTTCAGGATCATCTCCGCTTTAATTCTCGCTGCATCTTCTCGGACGCTTTTCATAATTTCTCGTGCTTCAGCACCAAACTCGGAATTCTCACAGGTAAATTTGAAGTCGTAGCTAAGAGCTTCTAGCTGATCGGGATGCGAGAGCCGTCCCTTAGAGGGTGTATTTGATAATGTCAAGAGGGTATTGCCTGGCGCATTGGGATCCATCTGGACGGGTCGAAAGCCAAGTACGAGCGCACTATCTGGTTGTTTCGAGGTGCTTTGTTGAACCTTGCTCGGATGCATCTCCTCGAGTGCAGGTTTCGGAGGGCTAGCACTCCCAGGTGTTTTAATAGATGGCTTCGAGCTGGAATAGTTCTTCACGGGTGTGCAAGCCATGCTTTTTCTAGGAGTTGTTGGACAGGTGGGCTTGGTCTGAGAGGTCAGTGCTTCATCGTTTCCTTCGGCAAGCGATGGTAGCTTGGTAGCTGAGCGCGAAGGCTTCCTTTCTACATGGGATAACTACAAAAGTAAGCCTCCACAGGGAATATTTTATCCTAGGAACATTAACGAACCTCGAATACTGGAGTCTCACCCCTCAACCGGGCGGACCTGCGGGTTACTGGCATGTTGATGTAGCAACGCTACAGAGTCGCAGGGGTCGACGGCGTATGCGGAGCCAAAACACACAAGTCTCAGAATCGATGAACAGAGATATGTAAGATCAATTTGCGTAGAGAGTTACAGCTTCTGGCCGGATCAACAAACCATGTGTCCGCGCGAGAAGGATGTGACGGAGAGACCTTTGGTGAGCGTAAACAAACCGTCACCAGGCAGGCAATGTAAACAAACATTATGTAATCAAACATTGAGATTATGTAACTAACCACTCGGATGATATCACATCACGTGATCGGCCCTACCTCAGCTTATCTTATCAGTTCGGTCATCTCCAGCCCCAAAACAACACCAGACACTTTTTTCCTTCCCTACCGACAGGCGATGAAACGAATAATGCCAGTCAAATAGTCTGCTGTGATGTCCTCACAAGCCAAATGGATAAGTCTCATCCGTTCCGAGAGGAGTCCTAGGCTGCGTCATCTCCAGAGGCCTGACACCCTTGGACTCATCAAACCAGATATATCCATCTAGCTGATTGGCAAGATCAGCCGCAGAATAATGGGACATTCGTTCGGTTGCTGGGCGATATATCACTCCGATAAAGCGCTCTAGTCGTGGCGATGCTTTGTGAATTTCCTGCCGCACATGTGGATCGACTAGTCCCTGCCTAAGTTCGAGATAGAAGGACGGGATGCCAGTCTGATGCGCCAGATATTCCCAGCTGTCAGGTCGAGACGGCCGCACCTTCATAACTTCTGCATCTTCATCCCAATTGTGCGCAGCAGTCACAGTGCCTGTGTGTGTACCGCAGCCGATCAATGCTACATTCTCACGCCCAAGGTTCTCACGGCACAACTGCCCGATGTTGAGCTCATCACGCTGCCTTCCCATGCTAGTATACCTTGCGTCGCCAATATGGCTATTATGGGCCCACACTATTGCCTTAGAGGATGGTGGCTTGTGTTTCAGTAGTCGCTGGAGCGTCTCAAACATGTGTGAGTCTCTCAACGACCATGAATCGGCCCTGCTAGAATACATCGCTCGATAATACGATTCTGCATCTGCCACGAGATAAGCATTTTGCTCTGTACTATGGAACTCTTCGCCATTGTTCTTATGGGTAGCGTATTCTAATCGTTTCTGGAGCAAGTCTCGCAGCATTGTGATGACTTGATCTTCGCAACTTTTCATTTTTGTATTGGTAAAGTTCGCGAACCCATAGGCTGTTGGATCTTCCACCCACGGCTGCAAACAACCATATCTCTGGCGCGCCAGTTTTGCCATCGTTGGGTCAACTGTGTCGAGATACTTTATTACGGCGTCAATGGACCTTCCCATACTGTAAAGATCAAGCCCATAGATTCCAGCTCTTCTCTGCGGGGGAAGGTTGGCGTTATGGTCTCTCATCCAGTGGACGAGGTCTTGCATCTCTTTATTCCTCCACATCCACGTCGGGAATCGCTGAAATGGCTCGTCTTTTCCTTTCTCCAATTTACCCTTAACGCCTGGTCGCTGCCGCACGTATCTATCTAGCTCTTCTGCATCTGGCCAGTCTGCCTCCAGCGCTACCGTGTCAAATCCATGGTGTTCAATCAGATGTTTTGTAATTTCTGCTCGAGCATGGTAGAACTCTGATGTGCCATGACTTCCATCACCTAGCAAAACAACTTTGTAATTTTTAAGATGATCAAAATAGGATCCGAACGTTTCATCTGCAATGGCAGGGAGAGGCTTTGCAGCTGTCTTGATGATATCAACGAGTCGCGAGCTCATGATTACTCGCCAAAACTAGTTTGAATGCAACTGTACGTTAATTATGAATGAACGGCAATCATATGGCAGAGTCAGGGCCAAAGTAGCTACTTATATACACAAAACCTGGTTATGGCGAAAACTGGCCAGATCGGATTAGCTAAATCCGCCACCGCAATGTACGGATGATGGATGCTATGACTTCACTCCTCAACCATCCGTAGCTTAACGCTTTATGGAACATCGGGGCGCGGAATAGATTTGCAAACACCTGCTACGGACTCTTTGAGAGTATTCCACTCAGTTAATGCATGTTGCCAACTACACTTCGAACTATTTTCTTCAGAAGACTTGCTTCAATAGCCACAATGTCTCGTCTTCACCGCTTCGAGGATTCAATGGGAAGCGTGTATGGAAAATTCTCTGAAGTGCCCGACGCTTCGGCCTGGGTACCCCCGCCAAAGTCTGGGGGCCATCGCGGGCGCTATCTATGGACTGACGCTTTCGGCGTGCTGAACTTCCTAACGTTGCATAAGGAGAATCAAACCTATGACGAAAGGTATCTCACGTTTGCAAAACGGCTTGTTTACACTGTCCACGATGTCTTGGGTCGGACTCGCGATGGACGGGCGCGCCTCCCACATGCCACCGACAAAGAGCCGCTTCTAGGCGGGCTGCGTATCGGAAAGGAATCAGAAACAGGACCCGACGGTGATGGCCAATATCACCATTATCTAACCCTGTGGATGTTTGCACTGAATCGGTTGTCCATGGCTACGGGCGATCCATCATTTAATCGGCAAGCCGTCTCTCTGGCTAAAGCCATACACCCGCACTTCTTCCTTGACCGAACATCGGCGCGTCCACGAATGGTTTGGAAGGTAGCAATGGATCTATCTCGACCGCTTGTGGCGAGCGAAGGGAACCTAGATCCGATAGATGGATTCGTCGTCTTCCGGATTCTGCAATCATCAGCCGAGAAATATGGTGATGGCAAGGTTTTAGAGGAAGAAATTGGCGACTACGAGAGAGTGATGGCTCGTAAAGGGAGCCATTACGTATCTAGCGACGCTCTGGACCTGGGAATGACTCTGTGGACAGCCCATTGGCTCGCTATAAAAGAAGACTGGGCAGCCGATTTGGCGAAGAGATGTATCTCCCAACTGCGTACGCTCCGCTGACAATGGCTATTTGGATCTATTTTTGTCTCACACAGACTTAACAGTGTTGACTAACCGCTTCTGCGTATTGCGCTATCTGCTGCAGGAAACCTCTTCAACATTGACAGGTATCTCGAAACGCCGGTGCGCTTTCGCCTTGCATTTAGAGAGTTCGGGACGTGTCTCGGAATAGGTTGTATCTTTGACCCAGACAGCAAGGCGGATGGCGCTCTTGAGTTGAGATCGCGTTCAGATGAGATCCTTTCCCAGTGGGAAAGGTATATATCTTCGGCTTTGACCCCGGAAGATCTGAAGCCTATCACGACAGTCATGTATTCCACAGCTTTAATCCCTGGCGGTAAGTAACATGATAACACAGTCGGCTTTTGGAGAACAGTTAATTGGCGGCCCGAGGAAATGTGCTCACATCTTGAATTAGCATTCAAGGCAGGATTTTTTGGCCCTGAGCCTATCAGGGATATCATAGACTGAGCGGCCCCCGAGAGTAAAAAACACTCTTGTTCCTGGTGCTTGCAAGGGAAGAAAATCATGACCAAGATTTAAGCTCCCAGTCTTTTGCGTATTCCAAATCAACTGTACAACTACATACCTTTTTAGCCCCAAGCTGGAATGAGCTCTATCGAAAATATAATATTATACAATAATCCCTGTACGCTGTAACCCGAACTTCATCGCCCAGGTATGCCAATAACATTTCTCCACGAGGGACTACTTCTTGGGAGTAGATATATCGCGTACACCGCAGCTAATGCAATAAGCAAACCAGACGCCTAGAGTAAAAACAAGCGGTTAGTCGCAATACGTATATATTTGATTGGGCTAATGCGGTTGGGATTACATACCTTTTCGAGGAAAGTATGGAACCAGATCCCTGTCATGAGTAACATCCACCAACATAGACCTGCAACTGCCCAAACAAAGTTTCGCGATAATTTTGCGGCAGGACTCTGCCCACTTTCATTCACGGGAATTTCTGCTCGTGCTCCGTCATCGGTTGCGTCTCCGGCGTCGTTCTTTTCATCCACCGAAACCGTAGACCCTAGCAATTCAAACACGAGAAAAGCACTTGCAAGAACAAGCATAAATGCATGTCCGCTAACGTCGTGTCCTCCATTCCAAGCTCCGTTCACCATCTTACAAGCCATAGCAGTCATAATAGAATCCGATATTGCCTCTTTCATCCCGCTGGCATGGATCCTTTCACATCTTCCTCCCGTGGCAGTGAAACTGCGGTCTATGATGGCCGGACCAAAACACCATTGAGTGGTTAGAACCCAGGCTAGTGTAACCACTGCATACCGAAATAGAGCCTGATATATCCTCCTTAGTCGTTTATTTGGATCGATGCGCCTGCTGACGAATGCCGGTTGCGTGGATAGTATTGACAAGAAGGCAACAGTTGTCCAGAGCCATCCAATTTTGACAAAGTAAACGTTGAAAATATTGCCTTTCCGGGCAAAATAATTGACCGGGCTGGGTGGGTGGTGGGGAGCAGAGGTAGCAGAGGAAAGATTAGGCGTCAACGGCCGCGCAGTGGGAGATATTAAAGAGTAGAACGAGCCAAGGAGTAGGGTTATTGGGTAGATAGCTAAAGCGACCGCCGGTAGATGTGACGAGTGAGGTGAACTCGCCGTCCTTTGGTGGACAGGGTTAGCTGCAGCTAACGGCATGATCTTGGTGAGCTTTCAGGAGAAGCAATCAGGAACACGACCAGGAAATAGAGAGCGAAAGGAATGTCGTGATCATCGTAGGCTGTGTTCAGTTAACCCTCAAGCCTCCCCAGGCCCTACTCTCAGCCGAGGAAGCGTCTTTGAACACTTTTCAAGCTGCGCCGATGTGATGGCATGACGTCGGTGTGACTAGCAGAGAGCGCTAGCCGGAAACGGATATTCACGTGAAATAGTTAACTCCTCCGTAGTTAGTGCACACTAACTAACAAAAGTTCCGCCGCGGCTGGCGTTGCTTATATAAGAGAGCTCTACATCAACATCAAGCCAACCCGCAGCGCCTCCGATAGCAAGACTCTCGCCGGCGTTGTGGAATGGGCGCTGTCAGATGCGCGCTGCATTGACTAGAGAGCGAATTGCGAGAGACATAAGAAGAGTGTCGGGATGGCATTACATGAAGGGGTGTCTGGTCGCAGTATACATTCTTGGAGCCGAACCTCTCCAACTGAGGAAGAGCCCCCAAACCGTAAACTCCCCAAAGATGAAATGCTATGCTAGCTCTGAGTTTGATTGGAGGCTAACAGTTCTAAGGGAGCAAAACTTTCTTGCTGCAGTTCTTCCCCGCGATACAGCATGCCTTCGGATAAGATGCTTCACAAGTGAAACCCGATGTTCAAGAAGAAAGCGCTTGCGAAATAAGATATCGAGGAACTAACAAGTATTCGGGGGCCGACTATTCTACCGGTTCCAACAAACAAACAGTCCCCATATCCTTGCCTAACCCGGTACTACCATGAGAGCTAGCCCCTTGCAGAGAGCGCTCCTCAAAACTTATGACCGTCGACCGACATTGAGCGTACAAAAGTGATCATCAAGCGACAAAGGCGGCAACGCTCATGTTTAGTTACATACGCCCTCCGATTTCGTTGTCTCTTACCTAGAGCTAGAGCAAACAAAGTTCTACCCGAGTGGAGATACCGTCCACTTACGATTTTTACCATTCCTTTCCTTTGTCCCACAAAACAACCTGAGTTACGTGTACTACAAGTACCCGTGCTTTACTGCTCGGCTTAAGCCAAAGCTTAAACTTAACGGCCCCGAGTAAGTCAGTAAGTCATGATCTCAACTCAAGTGGCTCCTGACGAGTCGCCCTCCCTTCCTCCCGTCAACCAAAATTCATCATACATATTCTATTTATCCACAATTACATGGAGTTTCCTTGTTCTCCGGTCGCCAAGGTAGCACACAGCGCCAGCAGATCGGTCTGTATCAAGGCCCCCTTGTTGTGCAAGGGATCCAGATGTGGTACTTTGGCTAGGTCATTAGGGCTTTTGGCTCTTATTTTTGATCGTTTCATTATGTACACATGCCCTCTAGTTACCAGCGTCCCCCCAACGACTGTGGGTCATCCGTTGTGACCAAAAAGAGTGGCCGAATCAGGTCGATCCCGCACCGTTTTCGACTCAAAATCGAGTCAGTTTTATTACTACTGGATGTTCCACGCAGCAGAATGCGTCCCAATCCGCAGTTGAGATGCATCCGATTTGTAAATGTTTTGCTTGCAGGTATTCAGAGTTACGCCAACTCCATATTCTGTGCTTGAGATCTTTTTATTTGGCGTGTGTGCTATGCAGGTGTGGCCCAGAGAGACCACCTGGCGTTGATATATTTGTTGTCAATATAATCCAGCATTATCGAGTTGCTGGGTCTGAAACTCAGAAACTGTTTCGACCCCTTACCTATCAGGCCGCAGTGGAACGGTCTTCTCTCCGCAAGTGGATTGCCAGCTTTGCCGACCAAGCATTCGATGGCGCCTATAGGAGAGTAATCCGGCAACCATCCTAGGCTAATGATTAGAAAAACTTTTTTGAGTCAACTACTGACCGCTTGCAATATTCACCGGGGATTTATTCCAGAGGAGCTTACTCTAGAGGGCGGCAGAACGACGCTCGGGTGTCCTAGACAACTCAGCCTTACTTCAAGTGCATTGCCCATCAAAAATTCTTCACTAACCGCCTTTTTCTGGTTCCCCGCAACGGCTTGACCTGCAGGGCTAAATACCACATTGAAATCTGTAGGGCGCACGGATCACCGTCACTTTCTGGGTTGTTAAAAAGAAAAGAAAAAGCGAATACCAAAAAAAGAATCATCAACTAACTCCGTACGGGGTACATAAGCACCGCCGGGCACCAGTTTATCATTCATGAGCATTCCAGTTCGGTGGATACCATTATTTAAACAAGAGAGACTCTCATCTCTGCTTAACTTTATCTACAAGAGAAGTCTATCCTCTTTCCCTCTAAGTACTGGCTTCCCATTTCCCTGCCTTCTCTGCTGTTCGCATTTTGAAGCCCTACAACCCCGCTGTTTACTCTGTATAGCCGATTCAATGCCTTCTGAAGGCGTCCCGAAGTGCCAGCGGTGTCGCAGAGATCACAAAAAGGTTTGAAAGCTATGTAACTATGATGCCGTCTCAGGGATGCCTAATGTGTTCATAGTGCTCTCCCGACAACAGACCCTGGCCAGGGCCAAAATGCGACCGCTGCGAAAACTACGGATACGAATGCTCTGAAAATATGATGGCCCGGCGGTCATCGCAGAAGGATATCGACCCGGCACGGACCCCAGGTCGTCTGATAGAGAGCATGCCTCATGCGAAGTTCTATTACCAACCCGGCGTAACCCAGGCATTACCGATGAGGCCCCAGCCGCAAACGTCAAACGTTATTTCAAGGCCGGTGTCCACGCCATCCCCCTGGGTGGGACTGTTCGAATACCTTAGATATATCGACTGGCAAAATATGAAATGCTTTCGGGTCTACCCCGACCCATTTGCTGCCATATTTCGATCTTCTAGTTGCCCCGTACCAGACCTCTCAGATACCCCTCTTGGCAGGCGCCAAATGTATCTCGAGATCTTTTTAGAACATCAAAGATTGATGCACAACACAACATCATTGGAAGCATCGATAAATTTTTTTGTCAATCAGTTACAGAGACGGCACCCTCGGATTGCAACGACGTATAGTCCGGAGGAGTTGTCAGGAATATGCGCGAGCCATATCCGCTACGGTTCATACTGGCATGTTCTTAGATCGGAACTCCAGACGGACGAAATCTTATTGATCGACCCGAACTATTCATTTGATGCTGAAATCCCGAAGATCACATTTGAGAGTGCAAAACAATTTTGGCTTTCTCAACATCTTGGCCTTCGACAGTTCTGCCAAAAGCTCTCTGGGCTCAGCCAAATGATTTCAGACTTGGCGCGAACGGATCCTAATTCTGAAGAGCGCGCATTTTTAGCCACAAAAATTCCGGACAGGCTAGAGGAGGTGCTCGGTCCTCGAATTTCCCCATTTGGAGAACCGATACGCATGTGTGCTCCATCATTTTTCCCTATTGATGTCCTGACAAGCTCCCCCATGGAAACAACCGATGCGGATGTATATTCACCGAGCGACTCTGCGGGCGCAGAAGAATCCGATGATGGATACGCGCTAGGTGACAGAGCGTACCAAGCTATTCTAGGAAATAGCTATTTCAGTGAAAATGACATTTGGGGTCAATGACAAAGCATTGGTCGTGCGTTGGAGCTAGATGGGCCACGCATTGTCTTTCCGGCATCCCGCTACGGAACAGCGAAATCCCCCGTCATTAATTCCAGTGCTTTTTTCAATTGTCATGGCGTCGTTACGATCAGGCGGTGAACTTGGTTTCTAATTTGTTCTCGTGCATTATCACGGATTCCCTGTTGTTGGCGATGGTATCAAGTTTATCATATAACTTTTCTTTTTTTGTTTCAATTTATTCGCCAAGAATTTTCAACCTCCAATTCTGCGAGGCTCATTTGGGCAGTTGATAGGCTTGACTCGCATTCTAAAAAGGACCGGTTACTCATTTGAAATGAAAATGCGGTCGTACCTTGGTATGGTTATTTTGATATGTATGGGGCGGCGCTGATGATATAGCCACTGAGCTTATTCTAGATATGACGATTTGCGTTGAAATAGTATCTGTTAAGGCTTCTCAATGATCTGGATAGCTTTGCGGCGTAACGATTTAAAGATTTGCCAATCAGGTGCTGCCACTCAGGGCTGCAGCACGGGAACGCAAAGAGGATCCCAGAATAACACCACTACAAATCGAAGGTAGAAGACCATACGTCATTGTCTTGAGTCAGGAGATTGACGTTTGGGGACCTGTTGGGCACCGACGGAATACTGTTGCGGAAGCAATGTTGATCAGGGCGGAAAGTAGTCCGTTTTAGTGTGAGAAGTGCCTTTGAGAAGTTATGCGTGGATTACTCCGTAGTATACATCAGATGTTCCCCATGTGGTCATTGATGTATATAATCTTCAGATCCAACCCCTTTCACAGCTCACACAACATTGGTCGCGGAAGAAGGGATGGGTCTAAATTCAATCCATGGTCGGCTTGTTTGTCTTTTCTTCTGTATTGCCGAGAGGCTTATCCGTCGTTAAGGACATGACTTAGGATGAGAGTATCCCGAGGACTTTGCCATTTGCGTGACTGGGGGGCTCCTTTCGGTTGGTTGTACAAGAGACTTTCTGAGCCGGGCAATAGAAGGCTGTCGAGGCGGTTTAAGACACCGCATGTAAGTACCTCCGTCACATATTCTGAATCCTTGAGGCTTTATAGATCATAGTGGCCTCGATTATACGGTATACGCACCAAGTATTCGTGTTGTTGGGGGGCGATTTTTGTGTCACTCACCGCCACAGAATACGCACGCTCGCGTGTACATTTGTATGTATCTGCGGTTCGAAATTGCGGAGTGCAGCATGTGGACCTGGTTCCCTCAGCCGGGCACCGCGAAGTCAAGCCAACCGAGTTTCATACCGCCGATTCAATTTTCGCACTGGTCACATATGCATGCATTTTCGACATCGAATTCTTCAGTGGCTGGAAAATCTGCTCTGACTTGCATGCTACTGAAGAAGCCACCGGGAGCTCTAATAGACCGAAATTGCATAATGACGGCTCCGAGTTAAGAGCAAGTCAGGCTTATCGCCTTATTTTACCTTCTGCCGGAATGAAGCAAGGCGCAAGAAATGAGGTATCGAAATGACAGGGCGAAAGCCTGTATCCTCGTCCGATCGCCTAGCTTTGGTGGCTCGGCTTCATTTCCGGAACCAGGCACTCCAGCTCCGATGTTTGTAGCTTTGACCTCCTCGGCCAGTTTCCTTTAAAATCGTAGCCCAGTGTGTGGGCCCGCTGTGCTCCGTTCATATGTCTGACCGCGGCCAACCCACCAATTCCCAGACTCGGTGATCTTCAGGATTAGAGTTAAGTTCATGAACAAAGAAATGCAGAAAAAAACGGTCATACCTTCAGGTATCGGGAGCGGGGGGGACGCGGTCGATCCGAATACCACGGCTACGATTCAACACATCATTCAGCTAGTCCAATAAGAGTACCTCCCTGCTGTTCAATTATGGTAATGTTGCAGAGTCTTATTTTCTAGCAGATGCAAAAGCCACAGGCGTACTCAGACGATTTCTCGGCTTTTCCGTGCGTGACCTGGATGCTTGACTATAAAACGAACGGCATTTGAGTTTTCAATATTACGCCCGTACAGAGACGGAGTTGAAGCACAGGATGCTTTGCAGAATTGCGAACACTAGCGCATATTCTTAATTATTTCTCTGGAATGCTGCGAAACGAAAGGAATCAGCACGTGTCCACCATTTCATCGTTAAGATTTGATGCGTTGGCTGCAGAGATCAAACCTTCTCGCGGGCGCTTTATCCGTGAGTCCTTGGGAAAAGAACCAAACGGAGGGAGCGAAGGCACAGAATGCGAATGACCCGCGTTTTGGCTGCATTGTCTCCAGACAGGACAATCCATCAGCAAAGAGGCGAAAAAGAAATAATGAGCCCGACAGCCTGGTCAGAGGAAACAGGATGACAGTTCCCCGAGCCAATCAACAAGCGTGAGCAGTTGGCAGCCTTGGGGGATAAATGCAAGCGATTGTCGCGGAAGCATGTACTGGGTTCCGAAAGCCTAAGAATGAAGGCTGAAACCAAGAAAAAAAAGGTCGACTCGAACTCTCCTCAATGGATTCAAGTGGTGATTCGGGAAAGCCTCTTTAGTCTCCGTGTTTGGCTTTTGAGAAATAACGGTTAATGACTCTATATCTGACCGGGTTTTGCTTGACGGCACCCGGCAAGTGATAGTTACCACCTGATATCGTGCTAGGATACGAGCAAAAGGCCACCGTTCTCACGGAAAGGCAACCCGTATTGTGTGCGTAAAGGGCCAGCAATGCGGCTGAAGTCAAAACGAAGTACTTGATAATCACATAGCGGATATGTATGCTAGTATATCCTATCCACATTTGTTCCAGGTTGACTCTTTTCTATTTGAACAGGGACAGTTTGGAAATCGGTGGGGAAAGGGAAAGGAAATTTCGATAGAAGGATAATAAATACATGATTAGCCAGTCAAAGTAGCTAAAAGTGCGAACAGCGCAAGGGTCAAAGAGCAGGTACCATGAAATGCGTTTTCATAGATATATGTCCAATACTCCGTACGGGCCCAAGCATGATTACGAAGCCTTTGGCTTTGTATTCTCAGCCGTATTGTGAGACACACCACTGACTATTTCAAGCGCGTCGATAATCTCTGCTCCGAGAGAGTACGTTGCTAAACTTGGAAAAACAATCCAAAGTCCACTATTGAAGATATTAGACACTGGAATTCGAGGACCAATCGCCTCTTGCGAGTTGGTTTGGGGTGGGGGGGGGGTGTGTTTGTAATTTACTTAGGAATGATCCAAAGAAAGACCAGCGCTGAAAAGCTATTGTGTCCAACATTATCGAACCCAGAGAATGCTTCATTTAGGCCTTCATTTACGTTGGTAATCAGACAGCATATCCATAACGAACCTGAAAAGCTGATGGAATGACGCTAAATAAACTTTGGTGGGCAAGGCGGGCTCTTCGCCCGGGAGGGTAAGAAAAAGCACTCACCGTAGAGGATGGTCTTGCTGAGGGTCATCACACTGGCACTGAAGACAACCAGTAATGCAACAGCGCCCATTCTTCCACCAACATGCTTTTTGGCAAATAAAAACCAGCTTATGCCTCGCGTCGGTGCTTTGAGTTTTCCACGGGATCCGAGCGCTTTCCCATGTGTCCAAACAGTCCACAAATAAAATAGATAAGCAATTGTCTCAACAACGTTGAGAGACGCCTGTGCGGCCGTGAAGCCGTTTCGAGCCCTGTATGCTGGCCAGCCATATATGTAGTCTACCGTTCCGTAGAGTGCATACGGGGACCATACGGAATGCAATGCGCCACCGGGCATGCTATGAGGCCTCAAGAGGACATAACCAGTATCCCAGATTACCAACGGGATCGAGGCTACCAGCCATAGAATTACCAGTGTCGACGGAATATGCATCCAATGGCCCGCGACAGCCGGGGAATGCTCCCGTTTCGATATAGCTTGCTTCGACGCTGAGGCGGAAGTAGCTGGAGGAGGAAACTCCTGCGGATGGTGCCGTGTCGTCACCATGGCGGACTTTTGTTAGAGCGTAAACTCGGCTAATTCGACGGTCAGACTTGACAATTCAAGAATTGCTGCGAATCGGTAGCAGTCGTTCACACCGTTCAGCGGTCAATTTTGCCAATGACGTAATAACTTTCGTGAGCAAAATGGCAGTGGAGCTAGAGGCCGTCAAGTGGTTCAAGAAACGCGATCAAGTTCGCTAGCTAGGAAACGTTGGAATGTTGCTCTTCAGGCGGTCGTTTCTCCGCTTGACGTCTCTTTAGGCCCAGGAACTGCCGCAACGTTTCGCTCCCTCCCCTGTTGCCGGCGCCGGCGCGGGCGCCAACCGCGTCATCGAAATAAGCTGTATCACGTGAGTAGACGCAAGAAGGTTGGTTCGTTGACTAATGAGCCATGTGTCGAGTCGCGTTCCCCGCAGCGATGTGATAAGCTCTCATCTCATTCTTGAGGCTAGAGGGTCGCTCGGTTGGAGAGGTGTCCGGTGAATGGCCGCTGCCTGAATTGATTCTATCATTATCCGCCTGTGGTTGCAAGCCTGGGAGTGCCTATGTATGTACACATGGACATACATATTTCCTTAACGCGACATTACCTTTCCTGGGAGCAATTTCCTACGGATTCTGGAGTAATACCGCTTCTTCATTCTCTCTGCTCCGTATTACACTTTGCTTTTTACGAAGATTGTTGTAATAGCCATGAATTAGCACCCCTTTTCCACATGTCCCTGCTTTAGTCCAGGACATCCGACGTGGTGCATTTTTCCGCTCTCAAAGCCTGCGACAACGCCACACAAAGGCTACTCTTGGCTGTCAAGAAACTTGGGCAAGAAAGATATCTCTGCTGCCTTGAATAAGCTTCTTCTTGGTGATCGTTTGAAGCACTTGCATCTTTCCAACATTTCCTTACATAGGTTCATGCTATAATGCTGTCAACATAAACCCGGCATTCAAAGCCCAGGTGCACATTGGCCCTGGAACCCGGGATCGAAAAGGAGTTCGCCGATGAAAGTGCAGGAAAATGAATGTGAATCGAGGATGTTCCAATTACCAAAGACAACTCGGAGCTGCCATGGTGAATGGACCCTGGTGTACGATCTACACAGGACTGAAAGGTTGGATAAGACCATTTTCTTCTCACCCGTGGTACGGAACAATCTGTAAGAAAGAACGTTGGAGAAAAGAATATGTTCAGCAGGCAGGACTGAGTGTCAGTTCCATGGTGTCGTCAAGAGGACGAGGAAAGCTTCTCTGCTCTCCGCATCCGTTTGCGAGGTAGTGCTTTCTCATGTGGTTGCGTCTGAAGCTAGGGGCAGTGTTTGACATCTAGGTATTTTCCTGCCCACAATTTCTTCATAGATCCATTCGGAATTTCGGAAGCATCGATCACACCTCAACGAAACTCAATTGTGAGTGCAATAGGTACATGCGGTGACCACGTTGACAAGCTAGCAAACGAAAAGTTTTACTTGGGGTATATGATGGATTCAAACACTAGACACTCGACGGAATACTTGCACTGCCTATTTCCTCGTCCAGGGTTCGACGTACGGAGCAGGGCTCTCCGGGGAGCCTTGACTAACCCCATTTCTCTGCTGCGCTGTTTTGATGTACGGAGTAAGGAGCGTATTCTCTCATGCAATAGCGACGTCGCATTAGCTAACCGAAAATCCAATTTACCGTTTTTGAGGGGTCGAGATCTAGCCTTCAATTGAGTTTTTGACATCGCGGCTCGATTGGAATATAATGTTCGCAAATTCGGGGTTCCCTCGCTAATTTTCTTTCCCGTGGACCGTTCGGAAATGTCGAAAACGTACAAAGACTTAAGCAAGTGCCATTGTGTAGCTCGAACCAACGATCATGGGTACAATCGCGGTGGCATAGATCGTATCCACCGTTGGAAGGGTGACGTGACCCCACAAGTTAAAACCATACCACGCTACTCCGTACCAGCTAGCCAAATATACCAACAAGGACGTTTGTCGAAGCGACGCATCCTTCTACATGTTCCCACACCCTGCACGTGCGAAGCCCGTGTATGAACTAGACTCCGGTTCATCCGAGCGGGTACCTTGTTGGGAGGGTCGGGATTAAAATTGTATCGTCACAACGTCCTGGAACCCCCAAAGGTTAGCTAGCTAGCCCTTGACGGCCTTGTTTTTATCCATCGTAAGATATTTCAGCACGATCGCAGACCAAATTGCTAGTTCTCGACCACGGACATTTCGTCAACAAGTATTTTTTGGGTTGGCTCAATGGAAGGACTCCTAGAGCATCAAGCATCCTCAAGCCTCCTTGGCATGAATGCTTAAATAATTTTGGATGAAGCACCCAACCGAATCCTCCCATTCTCGCTTGCACTAGTGAGATGGGGCTCGGGAGAATCAGATGCAACAGTGACCAGGATACTGACCGTATCAATCAGTGGAAAAATGCGGGAAGCAAAAAGTGGTCCAACCAACATTAACATAACGGTTTAGAATTGTTGAAAGGAGACAAATCGAACATCAACTGTGTGTTGAGTATCTATGTACATACGTACAAATATAAATATATATATACACTCGGCCCTGGCTCCTTGCTCCGCATAAGCAGTCAACAGCTCTTACAGGATTTGCATACCTTGGCTCCGCTAACCTCTTGATTGGTGAAAGGCGGATCTGCTTACCAGGGGGACGACGATAATGCAAACCATCGCATGTAACCCCATGTGAGGGGAAGCTGGACTCTCTCGATGCATTCAGGAGCTTCCATCGCCTAAGGGCCCGGCTCTTACTCCTGTCATATATTCGATCCGTGGTAAAGCTTCGAGAACACACAGCCATGGAGGCCTTCGCCCCACACAAGCCCGTATTTTCCTCCCGCTACCAGAGCTTTTCAACGCATCGTATTGTTCTAGGAACGGGTTTGTAACCTTTCGGCCCTTCCCCACCTCGGTTTTGATTGGCACCGCATGGGGTTCTTGATTATTTGCTGAGCTGTCTCTCCGTCGGCCTGAACAGTATGGAGGGTGCCCATTGTTTAAAAAGGTTTCACTCCCCCTTTAGGAGAGAAACCTTCTTCGCTTGTGATCCGGTTGCCGTGGTCCTCCTGGAGCAGCCTTCGTAGAGAAGTTAATCCTTCTCCCTACTCATCATTCATCATGGTCGCCCTCAATTTTCGTGCCATTGGCGCTTTGCTCAGCTTGCCCTTTTTGGTCAATGGCGCCCCGACCTCCCATCTTTCGCAATCCTTTCAGGTTGTCGAGCATCTCGATCGAATTCCTGAGACATGGCAGCGAGGCGAGCCTCCGTCCCCCAACGCTCTCCTCCGATTGCACCTAGCGATGCAGAATGACGTATTAGACCAGTTTGAGCAACGCGTTCTCGATATTTCCACGCCTGGAAACGAACATTATGGCGAGCATATGACCCGTGATGAGGTGCAGGCATTCTTGCAGCCACCGTCCTACACCTCTGATGCAGTGCTTGCGTGGTTGCTCGAAGGGGGTGTTTCTGAGAAGTCCATCCAATTGGACAGTGACTGGCTTCACTTTACTATTCCCGTTAAGAAGGCCGAGGAACTATTCAACACCCAATTCTACTACTACCACAACAAGGTCAACAAGGCCCGGGTCTTGCGGACGTTGGAATACTCTGTTCCAAAAATTATCGCTCCATATGTCCACATGATCCAGCCGACGACAAAATTCAGCGAACCTCGACCTCAGTTCAACAGTGTTTTTGAACAACATGGCCTCCCTAGAGTGCGAAATGCACGCGTGGATTGCAATAGAACGATTACTCCAGACTGTCTCCGAGACTTATACAAGCTCGGAGACTTCCGTGCCAAAGTTGACTCACGAAACAAACTTGGTATCTCGGGATATCTTGAACAGTTTGCCAGATACGACGACTTTGCCCGCTTCTTGGAGCTTTACGCTCCACAATTGAAGGGCACAACTTTCGATGTGGTGTCCATCAATGGGGGTCGTAACGACCAGAATTCTTCTTTGAACAGCATAGAGGCCAGCTTGGACGTTGACTACGCCATTGGTCTCTCTGGCGCTAAATCGGTGTATTACACCACTGCTGGGCGTGGACCACTCATCCCTGACTTGGATCAGCCACACGCCAACGAGAGTTCGAACGAGCCTTACTTGGACCAGCTTCATTATTTGTTGTCGCTGCCTGACGACCAACTCCCATCGGTGCTTTCCACATCCTACGGAGAAAACGAGCAAAGCGTGCCGAAGAAATACACTGATATGACATGTAACCTCTTTGCCCGTCTCGGAGCCCGAGGTGTGTCAGTAATATTCAGCAGTGGTGATACCGGTGTGGGCTCCGCTTGCCAGACAAATGACGGAAAGAACACAACTCGATTCCTACCCGTGTTCCCTGCCGCTTGTCCGTTCGTGACTTCGGTCGGTGCCACACACAACATCAACCCAGAGAGGGCGATCTTCTTCTCGTCTGGAGGATTCTCCGACAGGTATCGACGCCCGTGGTACCAAGAACATGCAGTGGGACATTATCTCCGCCGACTTGGCAGTCGCTGGGAGGGCCTATATAACCCAGCCGGCCGTGGATTCCCAGACGTGGCGGCTCAGGGACTCAACTTCTCGGTGGTGGACCATGACAGAGTCATCGGGGTATCTGGAACAAGGTCGGTTGGCATTGTTTTAATGCACTCTACTCATGTGCCCTCGTGAAATCTCTTGATCTTTATCCTTGAACGCGGCTTTTTGTGCTGACCCATGCCCTACTCTCGCAGTGCCTCTGCGCCGGTCTTCGCCGCCATTGTCGCCAACCTCAACTCAATTCGGCAGGCGAAGGGCAAACCTGTGCTTGGCTTCCTCAACCCCTTCCTCTACACAGTCGGGCGCTTTGGCTTCACGGATATCGTGCATGGAGGCTCCACTGGATGCACAGGCAAGGACATGTACAGTGGCCTGCCAACGCCGTTCGTGCCTTTTGCTAGCTGGAATGCCACAAAGGGCTGGGATCCAGTCACTGGGCTGGGAACACCTAACTTTGAGGTGCTCAAGAAGCTGGTTACCATCTTCTAAAGATGGAATTCCTTTCGATCCTGCATTGAAGCAATTAATTGGGTGGTAGGAGCTGTTGCTATGTATACATCAGCCCTGATATCACCATTCATAATGCTCCTGTCAAATTCAGTGGTTTTGCACACGTATATACTCCGTACATAGTTTGGTAGATCAACAAATATAACGAATATTATCACGAGAAGGCAAACGGAGAGGAGACAACATCTTCAACATCCAAGGGGCTCCAATAAAGAGCTTTGATTTTAGTTCCTCACGTGTATTCGAATACTTCGCATCAACCTTTTGGTAATTCGGCAGCATGGAGTACAGAGTCGAGGCGTCCGGATTAATCCAGAGATTATGTAATTCGATGACTGCGATCACGTGAGACACAGAAATGTTATTGGTCGATTTCTCTTGCGGGATGTTTGCTTGCTCATCAAACACCCAACCGTCAAATCAGCAGCATCTGGATCATCCGTCCCTCCGGGTTGAGCCCGGTGGCAATAACCCAACCAACATATCTTTGTGTTCGCAGTACTCCGTACCTCTCTCTCACATTGATCAGGGACTCCCTCTAACCCCGGGAATACTTTGACCTGGCCCCGCACTTTGTATCGGCCTGTTGTGAAAGCCACAAACCCAAAAGGGATCGAAACATGAGGTGTTCTCCATACGGTTCCGAATGCTCCTCCCCTCTTGCTACCTTGACTAGAGAACAAGTTTAACATAGAGCTTTCTTCTCTTTAACCATGCCTTGTCAAATGAACAGCGAGTCAAGGAACAAAAGCACCACCAAGCACCCTGGCCTCTGTCAAATGTGCGAGGAAGCAGTACGAGGAGTCCCTACCTCTCTCTCGACCTCTCCAATCAGCGCCATTTCATGCCTCATGGTTCCCGAACAGTTTGGTGGTTCATTCGAACCCAAGCTTCAAAGTTAAAGATGAGTTATCTCCAGCTGTCACGGGGCTCCGCAGCGTGCCACATAATAGTTGCTTAATTTTCCGTCCGCTCCGGACTCCGTAACTCAACCTTCCAAGTCTTTCCGAGCCCCCCGCGCGGAATAAGAAGCTTGGTCTGAAATCCGAACCTCAGGTCCTGGGTTGTAGCCTATTTCCCATAAGGAGTATTCTGTTCTCGGCACGGAGTACGGGGTAGAGAATGAATAATGACGAAAGCTGTGAGCCCATATAAGTCGCGGGACTCTAGTAGTCGTCGCGCTTCGCTGCTGGTGAGCGGTATCTAGATATCGAAAACGGATTGAAGACTGTGTGGGGTAATGAACTATGGCAAAGCGTGTCCGCCCATCGACGTGTGTTTTGCTCTCGCCTCGTCTCACTTCGCCTGTCCTTGGGCCGAAAGCCTGTGTTTGGTGTGGTGCAGCAAGTTCCCGCATGGTCCGCATGGTCTCCACACACATTGTTCCGGAAGACATGCGAGGGGCTACGGAGCCTACGGATTACCCGGCAGGGCCACAGCTGCCCCCGTGACTGTCCGGTTCTTACGTGTGGAGAGACATGTGTTCATCTTAAGACCACTTCAGTGGCATCTCACTGATCTCCAAGACCTCTATTGACAGTCGTCCACTCTAAATATTATCTATACAAAGAGTACTACGGATAACGAATGTGTGCCTGTGTGTACTGTGCGAACGTCCAGTGACCATCCCGTGCGTCCCCCTTGGAGTCTGTCCAAGCGTGCATTCCCTGCAACCGGGTTGCTAAGCTCTGGCTCAATGAAGGCGCCACATGATCTTCGCTGCAGATCCTTGCATTGGCTTTGAGACAGAGCAAGCCACCCAATAGGAAGCTTGTCACTTCGTCAAACCACTCTGGACGAACGGAGCTGGCTGGAGATAGTGACATCGGCCTGCCCTGCGAACTGCAACTATTGGCGCCATGCTGATAGTGAGTTCATCCACCAAATTGGAAAAGTCTCCTGTGTTGTGTGTTGTATTTGTTCTTCTGTGCCACAACGAACGTTGCGATCGACCCTGTATACGGAGTGCGTGACGGTGAGTTTTCTTTCCTACTTCGGTTTTTTACCAAGCATCTTAGAGGACGGCTTGGCTTTCGTTGTTGGGCTAAGTCTCGCTGCGATGAGCCTTGACTTCTCGGGGAGGGGAGGGTTTCCGGAAATTGCTTTCTCGGGGCATCATCTGATGCCCTTTGCTGCCCGCCTTGATCCCTGCCGATTGCTGCGACAGGAGGGAGTAATTTGCCCGGTTGTGTGGTTGTGATGGGGAAGCTACACAAGCTGTGGTGACGCTGATGCTCATTGTTGCCGGCACACCAGTAGACCGACAGGTCTTTATTTACATATGTTTATAAACCTTACATGCATACGTCGTACGTATGTACATGGAGGTACTTCAGGGTACCAATGAGCTCCGCGGTCGCGCCATCCAAACCAGGCAAACTGGGAGGTACATCTTTGTACTTTCCCAATATCTCCACCTAGATCGGCGAGGTTGATGAATGCATGATAAATCCTCCAAGAAAGATTGGAGACCAACCGTCATCCCTGATCCCTCCAGCTGCTTCTCCTTAAAAGACCACTACCCTTCATCGAACTAACCAGTGGAATGCTTCATAGAGGGCGTACTTCAGTGTTGCATTATTGTTATTTGTTTCTTTTTCTCTAAACACAGATTGGAGTTCTGCGCACTGTCATATCTTTTGATACCGGGATACGGTTCTTTAATCGTTGGATTATTCTCGACGAGCCAGATCTACTCCGATGCCTATCTCCAACCTGGCGATCACCGCTCTTGACAATTAACTGCTTCCCGAGAAATTCCATTATTATCTCACAATGTGGTTAGGTTGGCTGCCGGCTGTATTTGTACTTGTTGCCGGCGGGGCTGCGGAGAAGGTAAAACCGATAAAAGCTGATTTGCAGATGGCATTTCTTCCTGATTAACTGGTGCGCATACGCGCTAGGTTCTATTACTAACGTGTATTGGTACTGACAGGAATGGGCCTTCTCACCTCCTTACTATCCTTCACCTTGGGCTTCGGGCCAGGGAGAATGGAGCGAGGCATATAACAAAGCGCGCGAATTCGTCTCTCAATTAACACTCACAGAGAAAGTGAACCTCACGACCGGCGTTGGGTAGGTCCTCGCGTGCCTTATTTCCTATCAACAAAGCAGTTCGCTGATTTCTCACAGGTGGATGCAAGAAGCTTGTGTTGGCAATGTAGGATCAATTCCTCGATTAGGATTTCGTTCATTATGCATGCAGGACGGCCCTCTTGGTATTCGTTTCGGTATGAATTTATTTCGCCTCTGATCGCCAGACAATATGAGCTGTGCTAACGCAGAGTAGCGGACCATGTCAGTGCATTTCCGGCGGGTATCAACGTAGGAGCGACGTGGAGCAAAAATTTGGCATACTTGCGTGGAAAGGCGATGGGAGAAGAACACCGTGACAAAGGAGTCGATGTGCAATTGGGACCTGCTGTCGGACCGTTGGGCAGGTCTCCCGATGGAGGTCGTAACTGGGAAGGCTTTAGTCCTGATCCGGTGCTGTCGGGATATCTGGTCGCTGAAACGATAAAAGGAATCCAGGATGCTGGAGTGATTGCCTGTGTTAAGCATTTTATAGTGAACGAACAGGAGCGTTTTCGTCAAGCGCCTGAAGCTCAAGGGTATGGTTTCAACATCTCAGAGAGCTCCAGCTCCAACGTGGACGACGTCACTATGCACGAGCTGTATCTCTGGTGAGTTCACGTCCGCATATGACAGCATTGATATCATCCATTTCTTATCAGGACTAGGCCATTCGCCGATGCGGTGCGAGCCGGAGTGGGCTCTGTGATGTGTTCATATAACCAAATCAACAACAGCTATGGGTGCTCTAACAGCTACACTCAGAATAAGCTCCTTAAAGGCGAACTCGGATTCCAAGGTTTCATCATGAGCGATTGGCAAGCGCATCATAGCGGCGTCGGAGATGCATTGGCTGGTTTGGACATGTCAATGCCCGGGGACACTCTTTTCCTCACCGGAAAATCATACTGGGGACCGAATTTGACTATCGCTGTCACCAATGGGACTATTCCCCAGTGGAGGCTGGATGATATGGCTGTTCGTATCATGGCAGCTTACTACAAAGTCCGGCGTGACCAAACCCAAGTCCCGATCAACTTCAATTCCTGGACGCGTGATGAATTTGGATATCTGCATGCTGGTGGCCAGGAAGGTTATGGCAGGGTGAACCAAATGGTCAACGTACGCGGCAGACATGCCGTTATTGCTCGAAAAGTTGCAAGCGCCAGCACAGTGCTTCTTAAGAACAGAGGGGTCCTTCCACTAAAAGGCAAAGAGAAGCTCACTGCAGTTATCGGGGAAGATGCTGGACCGAATCTATGGGGACCAAATGGTTGCCCTGATCGAGGTTGTGCTAACGGGACTCTAGCGATGGGTTGGGGCAGCGGTACGGCGGATTTTCCGTACCTTGTGACACCAGCGCAGGCGATTGAGAATGAAGTAATAACGAAAGGAGTTGGAGAAGTAATGTCAGTGTTTGACAACTACGCAACGTCTCAGATCGAATCGGTTGTTTCTCAAGCTACTGTCTCGCTTGTATTTGTGAACGCAGGCGCTGGAGAAGCTTTTATCAGTGTTGACGGGAATGAGGGCGATCGAAAGAACTTGACTCTCTGGAAGAACGGGGATGAGTTAATTAAAACAGTCGCCTCCATGTGTAACAATACTGTCGTGGTCATGCACACTGCTGGGCCCGTCTTGGTTGACAAGTGGTACGACCATCCTAATGTCACTGCTATCTTGTGGGCAGGGCTACCCGGGCAAGAAAGCGGTAAAGCCCTAGGGGACGTGATCTATGGTCGAGGCAATCCAGGGGCCAAATCTCCTTTCACATGGGCCGCGACCTCGGAGGACTATGGTGTCAGCATCCTCAAAGAGCCCAATGCGGGCACCAAGGCCCCGCAGATTGATTTCGAGGAAGGTATCTTTATTGATTACCGCGCCTTCGACAAGTCAAACACAAAGCCAATCTATGAATTCGGATTTGGCTTGAGCTACACGACTTTCACCTTCTCTGACCTCGAAGTCCAGCCACTGCGGGCCAACCCGTATGTTCCCACAAGCGGTTTCACGGATCCTGCCCCCGTTTTTGGTAACTCGACCGATCATCTCCAGTTTCCTGCCGGATTTGACCCTGTCCACCTCTACATCTACCCGTGGTTGAATTCGACCGATCTTAAGGAGTCTTCTATGGACCGCGATTATGGGCTACCGACGGAAAAGTATGTCCCACCAGGAGCAACGGATGGAGGCCCACAGGCGCTTCTCCCAGCAGGAGGTGGGCCAGGAGGGAACCCGGGCCTATATGAGGAGCTTTACAGAGTATCAGTCACCATCACAAATACGGGGAGCGTGACAGGCGATGAAGTGCCACAGCTGGTAAGAGGATCCCTACATAATACCTCAGCTGTTAGGTCAGCTACGTTGTTGTGGCCATTTGCTAATCAACTAAACCTCTGACAACAAACAGTACCTATCACTTGGTGGCCCGAACGACGCTAAGATAGTTTTGCGTGGGTTCGATCGTGTCACTCTCCGACCTGGCGAGAACACGGTCTGGCAGACAACCCTGACTCGACGTGATATCTCCAACTGGGATCCTGTGACACAGAACTGGGTGGTGACGAGCCATCCCAAGATGATCTACGTGGGAAATTCATCCAGGAATCAGCCTCTATCCGCTCCTCTACCCCCTTCTTCGTAGGCCAAGCTCTCGAGCGCATCGATCCGCCAGGGGTTTGAGATTGTAGATACGAGGTTTGCATCCGTGATTCCGTGCCTCCAAGGTACGCGGTGGGATGCGTCATAGCTACATATTATTTGACAGATGTTCAAAAGGAAATCGGTGCGAAATAACGCTTAATGCCATTTCTTCTGTTTTTGATGAAGCCATGGAGAGAGAAGCTGTTGATCAATCGTGTTGCTCCCCCTTCCCCCGGTCTGGCGGCCCGAGGAAGCGCTGCACGACCCGGTAACCCGCATAGCACTGTGTATGACGATATAGCCCTCTAGGGGAAGATTAACGAATCAAAAAAGTACAAGGTACCAAAGCTCTAGAGCTCGCCCACGAAATGTAACACCCCTTCACCTTCATCTCAGGCGTCCGTCCTGGCGTCCTGCCCACGCCCGCCGAACCCGCGAGATCAAACGCCAAGGCCGCCAAGCACGGCCCTCGCCGCCCCCATCATTCCCTGCTGTTGTGCTCCTGAAGAGTGACGCTGCCATTTCTATCCAGGCCACAGCTCCGGGAACCTCATCTATCCGTAGCTTTGGCCCGGCGATATCCAATGGCTTCGTCCACAGACGCGGAGTAGCTGAGCCCAACTGAGCTTCGCCCGTCTCGGTGGGTTTTGCGATGTGCCACCGCCGACCAGCCATCTGGGAGAAACGATGAAATTAAGCTCGATGGGGTTCCACTGGCCGAACCGTCGAGTTTGTTTCCCAGAGACGGCTTTATTTTAGCCACCCGCCCAGAACCCACGGCTCTTTTTTTTTTTTTTTTCGACCTCGCGGGGCGTTTCCCTTACACGCGACAGAAAATAGGTTTTAAAAAAAAAAAAAAAGGAAAAAAAAAGAAAGGGCAAGAAGGCAAAGAAGAGCAGCGCTAGTTATGCGTTCATGTGTCTATTGCTAGATGACATCAGACTGAAAAGAATGAGACGGTTTCCAAACAGCTCAAGATGGACTCAACCGGCCATGATTTCCTCCACGGCGACGTATCGCTTCTAGACGACGGTTCAGACGAAAGGATCTCTTTGAGCCCGACGACCTCGAGGGAACAGGGAGAGCAGCACCGTTCCATTGACGAATCGACGAGCCTGGACACGATTGCGGCCGTCCCGCCGCTGGTTAACGATGGTGGGCTTGAGATGAAGGCAGATGAGCAGGGACAGACCCCGATGCAGGATGGGTCGGAAAATCCACGGCCATGGAGCGAATTGAAGACGAAGGCTGGGAAGGAGAGGAAGAGGCTTCCTTTGGCGTGTATCGTGTGTCGGAGAAAGAAGATCCGGTGTTCCGGGGAGAAGCCGGCGTGCAAGCATTGCTTTCGATCGAGGATCCCGTGTGTGTATAAGGTTACGACGAGAAAAGCCGCGCCTAGGACGGACTATATGGCCATGCTGGACAAGAGGCTGAAGAGGATGGAGGAGAGAGTTATCAAGATCATACCGAAGGATGTCGCGAGGGATATGGCCGGTATCGGTCGGGCTACCGTGAAGCCGCCGCCGCCGGGGTACACCCCGCGAGCGCCAAAGGCGTTGAATAAGAAGAGATCCGCGGATGAAGCTTTTCGGGCTGAGATTGACGAATGGATGCGGGAGAGCAATGCTTCCGCTTTGAGGGACAACTTCCCGGGTAGTTGGCAGCCACGTGTGGGGGACGAGAATAAGCTTCTGGTTGAAGGAGCGGAGTTTTTGCCTTCGATGGAGATTCAAGAGCACCTTGCAGAGGTATTCTTTGATTGCGTCTATGGGCAATCATATCTGTTGCTGCACAAGCCGAGCTTTATCAGGCGCTTGAAGTCTGGAGCCGTCCCGCCAGTGTTAATATTGGCTATCTGTGCCGTATCGGCCCGCTTTTCGACACATCCTCAAATCAACACCGAGCCTGCTTTTCTACGAGGTGAAAATTGGGCTGATGCCGCTGCTACGATTGCACTGAGCAGGCACGACCAGCCGAACATCATGATCTTGACTGTATTTCTCATACTTGGGCTTCATGAGTTTGGCGCTTGCCATGGTGGCAAAAGCTGGTCTTTCGGCGGGCAAGCGTTGAGAATGGCATATGCTCTACAGCTCCATCGAGAGCTCGGTTACGACCCTCTGGGGAATAAGTCAGCAAACTCTGAGCTGAGCTTTACAGACCGTGAAATTCGCCGACGGACCATGTGGGCGTGCATCTTGATGGATCGATACAATTCATCTGGCAGCCAACGACCGCCGATTGGTAATGAGAAGTACTTGCAGATTCAGCTGCCTATTAAAGAATCACACTTTCAGATGGAGATTCCTGGACCTACGGAAAATCTGGATGGATCGGTGCCCAATCCCGTCGCCGAAGGAATTGGACAACTTTCCAATCCCAAGGATAACATGGGCGTCTCTGCCTACATCATTCGCGGGGTAATTCTATGGGGCCGCATCGTCGATTACCTCAATCTTGGGGGAAAGCTGAAGGATCCACATCCGTTATGGTCTCCGGAATCTGGCTACGCACAGCTAAAGAAACAGATCGAGGAATTTTCTGCTTCCTTACCAAACTCTCTCGTTTTCACGCTGGAGAATCTCCGGAATCACGCTGCTGAGAAGATTGCGAACCAGTTTCTCTTTCTCCATATCATCATGCATCAAAACATACTCTTTTTAAATCGTTTTGCTATCCCGCTCTCTCCGGGCGGGCGTCCACCGAAGGATATCCCGAAGCCATTCCTCAGTGACGCTGGTCGTTCAGCGGTTGAAGCTGCTGGCCATATTTCGATGTTGATCAGTCAAGCCTCTGGGTACCTACTGACCGTTCCCTTCGCTGGTTATTGCGCATATGCAGCTAGTACGGTGCATATATGGGGAATTTTCTCCAAGAATGAACAACTCGAGAAGACATCCAAAGAGAACCTCCGGCATACATACAGGTATTTGAACAGGATGAAACAATATTGGGGAATGTTTCATTACATGGTCGAAAGCGCAAAAGAGCGATATCGCTCTTTCGCCGATGCCGCGCTTAAAGGTCCCCCAGTGGGTGTGAAGGAGGAAGATTCATCCATGTTCCAGTATGGAGATTGGTTCGACAAGTATCCTCACGGCGTTTCGCGGCTCCACTGGGAAGATCCTAGCCCAGAAGTCCGGAGTGAGCCAGGTGGGGAAGCGGTTATGGGCCAACAGTCTGATCTCCAAAGTGTCGAAGAGTTTTTCGCGAGTTTATCTCCTCCGTCGCATGCCGATCAGCCACGCAAAGAGGTAAAGCGACGTGGAACAACAGCTGCAGAGAAAGCCCGTCGTAACACAGCGGCAAAGGAGTCGAAGTCTCGCCCTGGGGTAGCTGGGATTTCGCCTCCGGCGCAACCGTCATCAGTGATGGTCACAAGTACCCAAGGTATTTCACCACAGAATTCTCGTCAGGATTTTTCGAACTTCCCAAATTCAGCCGTCTTCTCCCCAACCGACGCTACCGATTTCAGCCCTTCGACATTCAAATATCCCCTAAGCACTGACCTACCTCATCTCGATCGTCAACTGGTTTACGGCGCATACTCTGGTATCGACCCTAGTATGACTGCCAACCCGCTTAATTCCGCAACAGCCGCCGGCGGCAGTAACAACATTGCGTCCCGCCCTACTAACCCAGCGGCCGAACTCAATCATCCCGATAACAATAGCAACTCGTTTTGGAATATGCCGCTCGATATCACTGGGGATGGAATGGGGTGGCCGGGTGGATCCTTGCAACCCAGCGCGTGGTTCTTGCCATTTAATCTTGACCCAATTGGCGGAAGTGACTTTGATGTCTCTGCAGCTGCAGCTGCAGCTGCGGCCGCGGCGGCCGCGGCAGCGTCTCAGCCGAATTCCAATCCGATGCCGGGAAATGGGAGCTCCTTTTTCGGGAGCCCTTCAGGCCTAGAAGGCTGTGACCTCAATTTAGGAGTCGGAGACTCTAATACTAGTGGTGGCGGCGCGTCAAGAAGCGGCTGACGGCTTCTAAGGCACGGCGGCAAACGAGTTAAAGTTTTCCTTACGTGAATATGCATTTTTTTGGGGCATGTGCAAGTTAATACGATGTTTGTTCGTTATTTTTTATTTATTTTTTTTCTTCTTTTTTATAATCTTTCGGGGCCGGGGAGGCGAAAGCTTTGATAGCCCTACATTTTTCCTCTTTTAGTTTTGGGACGCTACTCTACAACACCTATTTGCCTTTTGTTGTGTTGCATAGTTTTCGAGATACCTCTACGCGCCTGGGAGGAGTATTCCTATCGTTTCATCTTCGCTTTTTTTTTTTTTTTTTTTTTGGCTCGATCTTTTGACATTGCGACAGATTAGATGATGCTATCTCTGTTTCCCCCCTGTTTTTGGGCATATATCTGGCGCAGTTAGCTACTCTCGTGACCTATATATTATCTTCTAAGACCCCCGCAAAGTGTTTCAATAGGGCATATTGTGTTGGCATTTGCTGCAACTGCGGGAACGGTGTGCCGATCGAAGAGAAAAAAAAAAAGTTACAAGTCTGTCCGGATTTGTTTGTTTGGTTCAGGATGTCTATGGGACGTGCCCTACCCCCCTTGCGAGTATGAACGCCCATCAGACCCACCGGTGATGGAGGTCCACCGAAGCCTGCTAACTCCGTAGAGAGGTCCCATTATTGACGTACTCCGTTCTCCGTAATCCCCTCGGACTCAGGAAAGTAAAAGTTTATCGTTCACCGGTCAGTTCGATCATATCTATGTCGTTACATACGTATATAAATACGGCAAAAGTTTCATCTCATAGAAGCCTAAACTCCTAAGGCTGAAAAAGAGGATGGTGATATGGGTTATACAAAGCAAGAAAGAAATCAATCGTCCCACTCTTCATCTAATTGATCGATAAGCCTATTCTCCTCATCAACATTAGGCCTACCCCCGCGGCCGACGTTCCAATTCCTGGGCCCCCTCCCACCGATGGCACCGACAAGTCCACGGCGTGGGGAATCCCCGTTGCTTTGTCCTAGAGATAATCGTGCATATCCTCCTCGGGACTTGAAACAGTTTAGAACGGAAGAAAATCCGATAATCACCATGTCCTATATGCATATATCGCCCGGGTTAGCAGGGTTCAGGGAATGATAGAGCGAGTGGAGTGAGTGGATTAGTTAAAGTTCGGCTGAGCGGAACCAGGGATCTTGGCAGGGGCAGGGGCAGGGGCAAGGGAACGCGAGATATCAGCAGAACGACGGATGAGGAACGACATTAGACTCAAACGGCATCTTCATTAAAAGGGATTAAATCTAGGATTCAGAACGTGTAGTAAATGAGAAAGCGCCATGAGAAGACCGGAAGGGCTCTGGATGGATAGCGCGAGAGAAGGGAAAAGCTGGAGTAGTCGAGTCGCCCCAAAAAAATAAAACCAAAACAAAAAAAAAAGGGGCGGGCCAACAGTGATATCTCGAAGGTGAGGGATTCTAAAGGATATCTACTGTGGAAAATGTTGGGCATGATGGTAAAGGGCGGCATGCAACCCACTGCGTTAATCAAGTCGCGAGGCGGGGAGAAGTGACCGGTTGCCGACGGACTCATAAGTCGACATACCTCCCCGACGACGCATCCAGGAGAACGAGCAAAACGAGCATAAAGTAAGTACACTTACTTTTAGAAAGTCAACCATCCCACTCCACATGGCATAATTGGGGCATTGTCTCCAACCCCTTTGATGCATGACCGTTCGCTGATATGCACAACCACCGATGAGATACACTGCCACGGCGATGCCGACTCTTTATAATGTTATCAGTATCTACTCCGCTGTCACTGTGATCTTCAACTTACATGACACCAAACACACCTGCAGGACTCAGCCCGCCATCTGTACTTGCAGCCACCCCACCACAAGCCGCAGCGGTTCTCACCTCGAAGTAATAGGAGCATGAGTCGAGCGTGCCAACATACGATACAGTTGCTGCTGGAGTTACGAGGTCACGATCGCAAAGGAACGACATTAAAGTAGATTTTCTTCTGCGATATTTTGTATCAGAATCTCGATCTTCGTCTTTATCGCCGCCTTTATTATCATTCTTGCCATCGTCTTGGTCATGATCCCGATCATCTCGAGGTACGAGATCCCGTTTTCGACGGGTTTCACCTGATGTTGGGCATGGGGAACCATCGGTGTAGTTGAGAACGAGTTTGCGGCCGCGGAAAACTAAGTCGGACGATTGCTGCCTGTATATCAAATGTCAAATGCGAGTCTCTAACACATAAATCGTTTGCGCGAGAATTAGGATGAATGTTCGTACCCAATTGAATACGTTTTCCCGTCCATATTGTAAAATGCGCTCACATTCTGCCACCTCTCTTTGTCTACCCCAACCACATCCTCCAGGTTCTCGATTACCGGTCCGCAAATGTTAATTGTAAAATTGGCTCCGTAATCGTAACCCCTTGAGTGCCAGCTGGTTTCCCTGTCATCAGGTCGAATCTTTTTGCCATCTTTCATTTCTGGTGGCAACAGCGATATGGTCTTCAGATCAAAGTAGGCGCCCGTGTTGGGCGAATAAATGGTACATGGTTTTAGCTTCGCTTCCGGCGTGTCGTCCGTTGCGAGGGATAACGATGGATATTGGAACGCGAACTGAAGAAGAGAGGCTAATGTTCCAACTTTGTTCATATGCATGATAGGGAGTTAGCGAAAAGGAAACCTATGTAGCGCTAAGCAGCGCACACCTCGAGAGGGAGTGAAATTCCGTTTTCAATGTCCGGAGGAAGTATGGGGTTTTGGAGGAGCGGCTTCACCGGTAATCGTCGAAAGCGGTAGTTATGTGGCTAGTTCAAGAAAGGCGCATTGGAAAATCGACAGCAAGCCCGTTCTATCAAATCAAAAGACGAACTCAAGCTGTAATATATGAATCAACAGTGCCTGCTGCTGGTAAATCCGTCTCGACATAGCACTGGCGCCGTTCGACGATGATGCAACTTGGCCAATCAGTCGCGTACCTTTATTACATAATCTATTGGCCTTGGTGAGATATAGCAGTGTCACGTGGGATCTAGTTATCTTATCTGGATCTCGGGGCGCCGCTGCTCCGAAAACAACCTCGAGCCATCAGGACTTAACTTTTGAAATATCTCCACAACCACCTTTCTATTCAGCTCACACAGTGGCTCAATCTGCTTGCCAGAGCTCTAGATATCACCCAATACCAAGAAAGTATGGCAAGCAGCCAAACTGCCCCTCAGATGGGTCTTCAGTCCTAAAGTATTTGCAATTATGCAACTCAAATATAAGCTGATATCAAAGCTATCAAGAAATTCTGATTGAACATACTAGAAAAGAACAGTAAGTCCCTGGAAGATCAGGTAGCACTTGATCACGCGAACATCGGAGTGTTGGAAATATCTCCACAACACCAGCATTATCATCTCTCGGTTTGCGCAGCAAAAAGCATTTCGTGAAAAATGCGCCGATCCCCATCCGCGCGTCCTTGGTGTTACATTCAGAGTATACTACCAAGCCCGAAACAACACTGCCGCTCAATCTCTAAAGCTTCACCTTTATCCTACCATCACCGTCCCGAGAGCATGGACATGGGCTCTTCTCGGACAGGTATGCACACCCATAGGAGCGCGATTCAGCATATTACTCATTCGTGTCAGACTGGAACTCTAACGATGAATTCTTTAAATTCACGCGTGGCCGCTTTATTGTCGATGAGGTAGAGAACCTTCGGAAGCGAGAGATTAGATTTGACATGAATAGCCTCGCAAGAGTCGCAGCAGACTCGGTCGGAGCTGCTCGATGCATTGCTATCGAGAAGTACCCTGACGGCATGTTCAACAAAGCGTTCCTCATGTCTATGGACGATGGCCGAGAAGTTATAGCCAAGGTTCCCAACCCGAATGCTGGCGTTCCACACTTTACTACTGCCAGTGAGGTCGCCACGATGGACTTCGTAAGTTTATCCTGAACACCATCAACATCGAGTTTTGCTAACACGTCTGATTTAGGAGGCGAGGAAAATTCTTAACACACCAGCGCCTCGTGTATACACATGGAACTCGCAGGCCAAATCGCACCCTGTTGGGGCTGAATTTATTATCATGGATAAAACTGAAGGTGTTCCTCTGTCCCAAGTTTGGAGCACAATGAAACTACCGCAAAAGCTCTAAGTGCTTCTTGCTATGACACGCCTCCAGAAACAATGGCTGAGCGTTTCATTCTCGCATTACGGCAGCTTGTATTACACGGAAGACGTGCAGCCACTAGGAGGTAACCACTTTGTCAAGAATGGCAAGGCTGTGAGAGATTCGGAGTTTGCCATTGGCCCGGCTACAGGCCGGGATTGGTGTGACGCAGGCCGATCAAATTTGGACATTGAGAAAGGGCCATGTACGTTGTGGTTCGTGTCATTCTTGTACAGTTGCTAATAAGTTTACAGGGGCTTCTCTAACGCAGTATCTGCAAGCAGTCGGGACGCGAGAGGTGAAGGCAATCCAGTCTCTAGAACCTCCGAAATCGACCGCCTTGTTCTGTGGCCCAAAGCTTTACCGACCAGACACGGAAAAGAAACTTACTGCTTTAGCATGGTACCGACAAGTCATTGATGCCCTTATCCCAAAGGATACAGCCATTACCAGACCCTGCCTCTGGCATAATGATTTGCATGATGACAACGTCTTCGTAGACCCGCATAATCCCGAAAAGATCACGGGCATTATTGACTGGCAGTCTTGTCACATCTCGCCCCTCTTTAACCACAACCCCCGATCCAGCCTTCCTTGATTGGGATGGCCTTGAGCCTGAGACGCTTGATCTGGCACCACGGCCGAATCTCTCCGGGCTTTCGCCTGAAGAACAGTCCGCGGCTGTACATGAGTATACCATCCAAAACGTGTTCATTGGATGGCGGAAACTCATGCATGCCAAAAACCCAGACCTATACAAAGTAGTCGAATTCCGAAGGACGGCAGCTTACGGGCTGATATTTCTTGCCCACCGAATGTTCGAATACGGCGAGGCGCACTTCCAATCGCTTCTGGTTGACCTGAAAGACACGTGGACGGATTTACCTGCCATTACCAGCGACACCCCATTCCCGTTTGACTTTTCAGAAGCAGATTTCGAGCGTATTAAACTGGATAGCGATGGTGCAGTGGCAGGAACCGAACTTGTTGCGGAGGTCAAGGAGAGAATGGGCGATTTGTGGCCGGACAAAGGCTTCATCGAGCAGGAGCGATACGATGAGTGCAAAGCTGCCCTCCACAAAGTCAAAGGCCTGATATTGGAGCAATTGGCTGAAACTGACGAGGAAAAGGCTGAGTACGAGCGCTGTTGGCCATTTGACTGATTCTCTATTGTATCAAGGAAATGGTATGATTGGGAGGAAAGACAATCTTTCCAATACTCCTTGGCCTTTTCATCCAAATTCGGGTAGTTTCTCAACTCGGGATACGGAGGCGTGATGGTAGTGATCGACCAGCTCGTCTAACCAAGGACCGATGTCAGCAGCGATTTTCGGTCGATCAAGCAGGTCCTTCGAGAGATTTCTGCCACGGCTAAGTCAGATAGCGAGAAGGCTGCACCCTACGATTCTATCCGCTCCGGTTATGACATAAGTACCAATGGCATATGGATTGTGAATAACGGACAGAATGTGCTTTGGCTACCTCCACAGTATCGTCCGGAAACTTTTACGGTAGCAGATTCAACAGTGGCCATCGGCTGTCGGTCAGGTTGTCTCTTAGTGATGCGTTTTCAACGGATGTGAAGGACTCTTAGAACGCCTAAGTCATACTACACTAAGGCCAACGAAATATACACAGTTCTGTTGCGTATGTTAGGATGCAAATAACTCGGCTGTTTCTTGTAAACGGAGCCGGCTCTGGGACCCGGCGACAAGATTAATTCTATATAATTCATATAAAGTTCTGTTCAAACTTCCACTATTCACTCTCTTTTAATCTAGTATCTATTATGATTCTCTATGTAGTGGGTTGAACCTCTATTTCTCTTGAGCTGAGCTCTCAATGTCATACTGTGCTAAGAATCTTGAGCTGAGCTCTCTGATGCTATGCTGTATGAGAGATCTCCACACTATTTCTCTTCTGGCCTAGCATCTACTTCCTCTTTTGGCCTAGTGCCACACATGAACATTGTGTATATATTATACACATGCTTGCCTATTCTCTCCTCTCTTCTTTCTCAAGCAATACATTCATGTATATAGAGCCTTTAGCTAGTAACTTCAGCTTGGCCCATGACAATTTGGAAGCTTTGGATCTATTGTGGCTCACTTGCTGCTGGAGCTCATTGCATTGGGGGTGTTAGGTAATCCAACTAGCACCTCACTCACATGACCCACATAGATTAGGCGAAATCCCCCTTTAGGTAGCTTAGCGAATCCAAACAATTATTCCCCTGCAGCGAAATCACTTTGCATTCATATGCGATTATTTGCAAATATAGGTTTAGAAACCTCATCCCTAGCCATCGAGGTTGATTTGCATTCTTAGCATTTCGGACTTTAACTGCATCTTGGTGACCTGCTTTGCATTCAGCTTCTTGCGCTTTCCGTTCAGCGACGTGACCTGTAGACTGGGCCTAGAATTCCAGATCTGAGCTCGCTCAAAGTCAATAAACATCACGCTCTGGTTCTCTATACTCCAGAACATGTTATGGACAAAGGCATCGCCATGGTACACCCCAAGCTGGTGAATCGCCTGAAGTGACGATGTCGCCGTATTATGGATAATTTTGCTGCCAACATCAGAGCACGGAAGAGGAATTCCAGCATGGCTGAGAAGTAAAAGGCGAGGAATCCTAGCAATTCCATCATAGAAGAGAGGTCGCTTGGAGAGATCCAGGATCCCGAGACACACAGGGATGTGACGACCCTGGATGGGGCGAAGACGCCCATAGACAGCATTCTCATGCAGTAAATAACTCGACAATCCGGGCGGGAACCCCTTACCCACCAGTTTATATCCATACGGCATGAGCACAACTTCAAACAGCGCCCCGCGAGAGCCATGGATGTGAAGCGACTCGCACCCATCGGACTCGTAAGGATCAGAGATGCGCTTGGCCTTGTTCAGCAGCTGTTCGTGTAGGAGAACTGAAAACTTAGACAGGTTGATCTGATGCTGGCCGGTTCCATGGTCAGCGATGTTGGGGCATGCCTCGTCCAATGGCCCTTCTTTGGATAATCCGAGAAGACACTTGTGGGTACAGTACGGCCGCGACCTACCCTGGTTTTCGGAGTACCTCTGGAACGACGACCGGTCGCTGGAGCGAGATGGGATCACAACCATAACATTTGCCGAGCTACGCGGTGCTTTGCTCGGGGAGTCCATCACGTCCGTGGGGTCTTCATCGCTGCTATCCACCGGACTTCGCGACGACGCCTGCGATGGATTGCACGGCGACGATCGCAGAAGTAGAGGTTTTTTAGACCTTGTCACAATGGGTGAGCTTCTGGCATAGTCCACTCGGTTTTGATGTTCTGGTGTGTATTCCTGCGTCGTCACCGTCCGTGGCGAAGAAACAATGGCATCATCCTGGTATATGAGCCTCCACGGCTTCAGCTGGGCTTCCGCCTCTGTTCGCCAAGATTGGCAATAGGGCTCTACCTGCATCGCCTTGAGGGTGAAGGCAAGCACCTGGCCAACAGCCGTCAAATGCAGCTTGTTGGGAGAATCCGTTCGGCCGGTATACCCAGTGGTTTCCCCCACATCCTTGCCCGGGGTGGAGAGGTAGTAAAATACAGTTGTTGGGTCCTTGCCAACGTGAAGAAAGATGAAAGCCTCTCCTGTGCACACATACCCATACCCCACTCCGGACTTGATCATGTAGGAGAATGCCTGGGTGATCACAGCGGCCATCTCACGACGACATGCAATCTCTTCAGGCTCGTCGGGTGTATGCAGGAGCACATCTTCAAGGTCCATGTCATGCAGCATGGAGTTGATTGTCGACAGTGGTAGCTTATGCGGTGCTTTAAGCTCCACAATATATGCGGGCACATTTTCGCCGTCACCCTTGTTATATATGCAGAACTCATCCGCCAGGGGGCGGGAAGAGCGCGGTGTTGTAACGGGCGTGGCATCAGCTCGACCAGTTTTTCGAAGCTTTGTGGGACGTGGTGGTCCCTCGAGTGACCTGGTTTCAGTAGATTCTTCACTCAGTGTGTTTCCGTGATTCTCAAAGGTGATGCTGCCCAAGAGGCGGAAGTGCTGGCGTATTTGTATGTTTGAGTGCAGTTTCGTGACCACCGAACGAACCGGGCGAGTGAGAGTCTCATGCTGAAACTGTCGAAGGTCCAATTCAGACCCTGTCTTCTCGGTCCGTAATTCTGCTCCAGATTCCGCCAGCCCATGTAGTGATTTGAAGTGGCGCTCTAGGACAAAATCCATCCCAATGAGATCTTTCCAAATGCGCCCTTGTTCTGCAGCAAAGTCAGGCCACTGTCGAATTCTCTCAGGGCGAAGTTTGCCATCCGGATTCGATAAGTCACCCTTTGTCGAGTCCTTGGGATTACGAACGGTAAGTCCGCGGAACAAATGGGTGTGGCAGCCATCAAGGAACTCAAAGATGGTGGTCGGTCGTATCTGCTCTCTTTCGTCGTGGAGACTTTGTTGCGCAGTGTGTAGGTCTTGTTGTGTAGCACGCAGGCGTTGTTCAGTTTCCTCTCGGAGCTTTTTTTGTTCCTCAAAAAGGAGTCGATACTTGTCAGATTCTTGAGCCATTTGGATTCCCAGCCTAACCTTCCTCCTTGTAGCAATGTTGGAACTATCCGTTCCAGGAAGAATCGGAGAAATAAACTCGTAGTTGATTTCTATCTAGACGTAGTCGTCTCTAATCTAACTGAAGCCTCTATACGGAGTATACAGGCTTCAAAGATAACAATGCCAAAAGAGTGTGGGCAAGCTGAAGCTAAGCCTAAAAGAGAACGGAATAACTATATTCCGGTCAACAAGCAACAAACAATGAACCCATCAGCAAAAATGGATTAAACCCCTCACGAGTCTCGTGACAACGCCAAGACTTTTGTCTTGAAAACCAGAAGCCAATAAGATATATCCTTACTCTCCTGTGGTACATTGCATGGCTGGGAGCAAATGTTATATAATGAGGATGAAATATTTCCGATCAGGAGATAACAGTGTCTACTCATGAGTGTGAGACCTGAACCTGTCATGCCTGCAACAGCATATGAACGACACAAATCACTGGACGCCAGATTTCGAGTGTGAGATATGCCTACGTCCTTGAGCCTATGAACTACAAGTATTATTGCAAGGACCATCGTCTACCATTTCAGAATAAGAATAATTTGCAAATGGTAAGGTACCAATATCAATACAACTATTCATATACCAGTTAACTCACAAGCATCATAGCATCTTAACTCCAGAACCCACCGCGGAGCCAGTATCGCCTGCCCATTCTGCACTTGTAAGTACGCCGCTCGAGAAGGGGTTGAAAACAAATTTTGAGGGGTGTCCCAAGCCAGCGCCCCTTTTGTTTACAATCCTGGGAATAACACAGCAAAGTGCATTGAAAAGCCTGAAACCCAAGAAATCTGATTGCTTCACTGAGGTCTGTTCCTGGATCTGATTATCTCATTGATGTCGAGTCCGTTTTTCTGGCATAGACGAGCTAGTCTTCCTTTATAATCCTGCACCCGGCGTAAAATCGCTTTATTCACTTCCTGACCTGCTTTTGTTGCGTGTTGGAATCAATGAGTGCTTGGTGCAAATCACAGTTCATCTTGTGTGCGTTTTGCATTTCCTCTTTTACTTCCAAAAGATTCTGGCGCATATTGTCTAGGGAGCCTTTTATTTCAGTCAAAGTTTTTTTTCAAAAGGCTGTTTGTTGTCCTCTGTTGCCAATTGAATGTCACTGGATAGTTTGTGATTCTGTCTGTAAGGATTTTGACATTGTGATTGTACATCCTCTCCAAGCATTCAACAGTTCCGATGTGTTCTTTGGCTGTTACTGAAATATTTGGAAGTGTCTCAGGAGACAATGAAGGTGTGGAAGCTCGGCGTTTAAGTGAAAGCACAGCGGTTGCCATGCGTAATTAGTTGCATTGGAGTTTCTGGCCCATCTTGTCGAAGAGGATTAATAAAAAGATGTGGTCCAGTCAAGTGTCCGTTCCATGAAGTTTCTGTAGAAAGTTGTTTGCCTAACATGAGCACTGGGTAGGCTTTATTTATTAGCAGGCTAACATGATGGTTTACTACATCTACTGCTCTATGGGTGTGTGTGATACTCAGTTGCTAGGTTCTTTCAAGCCACTGAAAAGGCCGCTCTCCAAAGCGAATTTACACCATATACCTAAATCCCCGGGTTTGTTTGCGAATGCTTGCCTTGTCCTCATTCGGTTAGGCCCTCAGCTCCTCTGGGCGGGCAGGTTTGCAGGGTTTTCTTTTGTCTTCATGAGTCAGTAGCTAGATAAGAGCACATGAGGTTTTGGTTGTTCGTCTCCATGGTGTTTTAGGCTTCCGTGTTTTGGTGATTTCTTCAAGACTGAAGCTGACGTCTACTTGTGGAGTATTGTGTCAGCTGAACGACCATATCTGTGGCATTCTGCTGAAGCCACACATAGGTCCCAGCTTCACATCAAAGCTTCTCATTGCTATTTCCCGGGCAAAAGTGGTCACTGACACAATATGGAAGTGGAAACCAGAGCATCAGTCTTTGCCTTTTCCTCCTCCAGCTTGAGGAGACAGTGACTGGAATACAGACATTGAAGCTGCCATAGATCCAGTCCTCAGGGCCAGCCACATAGCAAGCATTAGGAGATGCACCAAGATGGTGGGCAACAATCAATCTCATCCAGGCGCGCTTGTGGTGCAAGACATCAAAGAACTTTGCACATTGCTTGACATATCCTAGGCAATGGAGAATGTTGACCTCCTCATCTTTGGCGAAGGAGTATATGATCTCCCCATAGAAAAGTCTGCGGGTCTTTTGGCCATTGTTCATCGAGCCAGTTGTTGGATTATAGAGTTCAACCTCGATAATCTCAGTATCAACTACGGAGTACTCCGTACGGAGCACCGGATTGAGATACATACATGAGCAATTAGTCAGCAACTCGGCTAACTAGTTATCTGTGTCCTGGCTCCGAGCCACCGGTTGTCATGTGAGCGATAGGAGCTTCCAAGATTAGCTATGCGAATGGTGACCAAAAAGGGATTTTGTCCCTTTTGCTCTGGAATTCAATTGAACGGTCATTTTGCCCTCATCTTCGAATATTCTTGCGACCGATAGTTATTAGAAAAAATGGCTTCAAAGGGCGGAAAGTTCGTTTCCCAGGCTCAACATCATCGAGGATACGAATTCGGGGGGCCGTAAGCTTGCTTCCCAGGTCCAATTGGGCGAAACGGAGCTAATGAGATAACGCAGAATCGGATCATTTGTTTTGACATTCGGCTTGCCGGTGCTGGTTTACAGTTTTGCGTTCTTTTGCAATGATATCTCGGGATGTCCTGCACCGTCACTCCTCCATCCCTCCACCTTGTCCCTTGACAAGTTGAAGACGGAAATTGGTTGGCCGGAGAGTGGAATCAAGGGCTTATACGATGGCCATGTCACCCTTTATGTGCTGGGTTATTATCTTCTCAGTCTTTTCTTGCAGATATTTCTTCCCGGCACTGAGACCCAGGGAGAAGTTTTGGCCTGTGGAGGTCGACTGAAATATAAATTCAATGGTATGACTGTCCTATTCACCGCCAAGTACATGTATTACTCCTCGAACTCACACTCCGCTTTAGCATTTAACTCCGCTGTTTTGATCCTTCTTGGGTGCGGTGCCGGGACGTATATTTATGGGGTCGACTTCCCCTTATGGACATTTCTCTGGGAGAACTATATCCAGGTTCTGACTGCAAGCCTCTTGATCTCTTCTATCCTTGCTATTTTTGTTTACCTCTATAGTTTCACTGTCCCAGCACCAGGTACACCAAATCCTATGCTTCGAGAGTTAGCTCCTGGCGGGCAAACGCGCAGTGCCTTGTATAACTTCTTCATTGGACGCGAACTGAACCCCAGAGTCAAACTCCCTATTCCCTTCGTGAAGGACACCTCTAGAACAATCGATATCAAGGTTTTTTGCGAATTGCGACCGGGATTGTTGGGCTGGGGGCTTCTGAACCTGTCGAATGTGGCACACCAGTATAAAGTTAACGGAAGCCTCACGTCATCAATCCTCTTGGTGACCGCGTTTCAGGGCTTCTACGTCCTCGATGGCCTATACATGGAACCGGCGATCTGCACCACTATGGACATTATCATGGACGGATTTGGTTTTATGCTGTCTTTCGGTGACCTTGTGTGGGTCCCGTTCACATACTCAATTCACACCAGATACCTGGCCATATACCCCTTCGAGCTGGGTATCTATGGGGCTGCTCTTGTGATTGGGGTTCAGTCTCTTGGGTACTATATCTTCCGTAGCACCAATAACCAAAAGGACCGTTTCCGCAAGAATCCAAACGACCCGAGAGTGAAGCATCTTCAATATATCCAGACTTCTCGGGGCTCGAAGCTGATTACGTCCGGATGGTGGGGTGCCGCTCGTCACATAAACTATTTGGGCGACTGGATCATGTCATGGACAACGTGCCTACCGACTGGTATCGCAGGTTACGCCATGGTTGAGAGACTCAATCCTCTGACGGGAACCAGTGAGGTACGTGCGGTGCAAACAGAAGAGTCTCGCGGTTGGGGGATGGTGTTTACTTATTTCTACATTGTGTACTTTGGAATCCTGCTTGTCCATCGCGAAAGACGAGACGAGGAGAAGTGCAGAAACAAATATGGTGCAGACTGGGCGAAGTATACCTTGAAAGTGAAGAGCAGGATCATTCCAGGTATCTATTAGGGTTGTTTGGAGCTCTTACATGTTTAAAAAGGCTGTGTGGTGACCAGGGGCGCATGTTACTCTGTTAGCAGGGTGAATTTATAGTGGATGGATCAAAGCGACCCTTGATATCGCTTTCTAACTTCATAAATGTATTAATGCTTCAAATTATATACTTATAATGCTTTTAGATAATAATAATAATCTATGACAATTAACACTAGAGTTGAAAACTGATCTAGTGGTTACTTTGGCCGTTTTTCAGTTGCTCACACATTTTTATCTTTGGCTGGCCCCAATGTCCACTGTTCATCACCTCTATTTTCAATCCAATTGCCTAGGGTTTGTCGGACATCTTCCAGAGCTTGCTTTCGCAAATGCAATAGCCTTGCTCCTTCGGCATTGCGCTTCATTAAGAAGTACGTGGGTGACGAGACGACGCATTCTTTCAGGTGTGCAAACCGCTCCCCCATCTCAGACCTATCATCCAACCTTTTACGGCTGGCTTCATTCTCGTTAACGGGACATCCGTCCTTACTTTGGTAATAGCCGACGCTCACTTCTGGCAGAAGTTTAACAATATCACAAAGCAATTCACACATCTTAGCTCGTGATAAAGCACTGGCCTTGCGCGCATCTGGAGAGGTGATCCGATATCCTTGCTTTACACCATTTAAAATGGTCTCAATAATATTGGTAGGAAACGTTTTCGGAATCGACTTGGAAGCCCGACCTGTCGACTGCCTCTGGCGAAACGAGGTATAAGCCGGCTTGGCGCCAAAAGACGAAGCTGCTGTCCAGACTGCAGACTTGTTGGATGATTTACTAGCTGGCAAACCGGCGTCTTTTGATTTTGAAAAATGCCAGAGGGCACTCAGCTGTTCCATTGGTAATGACCGAACAGTGAACGGAAAGAAGGCATAATAACTGTCCAAACGAGCAGACGCTCCAAAATCCTGCCATTTTCGGCCATTAAGCTCTCGAAGACGGCCGGTTTGCCCATTCCCGAATGATCGCTCACAGGCAATCTGGCTGATTTCATCCTCCGGAAGAATGAGGTTGGCCAGATATGCATTAGGAGATGGTGCGATAAGTAGACTCGCTGGAAAAGAGAGCAATGATGTGATTTGCTTCGCGGCAAGTTTGTCTGAACAAGATTTGCTTAGCGTCGGCTCTGCATCAGCACGAGATGGTTTACGGCGAACGGCGCCTAGCACCGAGAAGTGCGCACGGCCGTCTAGGAGCCCTTTCGTAAGGTCGGATTCAATTTCAGTGGCTGCGTCGTCAAGGGCGGGAACGTCCCACGGAGTGGGATCATCTTGGGCTGCCATGCATAATTCCATACTGGCATCTCCGCAAGGGGCGCAAGTACAATACATCCATATTCTGACATTTTCTTTCAATTTGAAAGGCGGCCATAGAAGTTCCTTTGCATGGTTGCCAGGAATGGCACTCGTAGACTCGAGCCTGGAAACCCTGCACTCCAGAAACGGGGAGATCTGGCCGTTGCCATCATTCCGAAGCTGACAGCCGATTCCTTCTCTATCGCGAGATCTAAGCTCCTGACCGTGCGTCAACATCGACTTACACTCCTCAAGGAGCCATCGGTTGAAAGCACGGAGCGCAAGGATCTCAGCATGACTGTCATGAAGCACAAGTCCCTGGCAAAGGTGAATTTGAGACGACGAAAGGCATTTCGCGCCCGTTCTACCGCAAATATTTAGCTTCAGTGATATCAGCTTATCAATCAGGCCGTATCTCCTTACGCAAGAGCAACACAGGTCAGAGATTCCTCAGCGGTATCCTCCCCTTTGAATATATTAGCAGGTGTTCTATCGCCATTTTAAAGACTGACCGTCTACAGCATCACAGTAAAAGTTCGGGATACGTTCATACAGAACTAGGTACATTCAAAGTCTGCTACAGCGGCTTACTTACTCGTCACGAGCACAATTCCACTCAAAGTGATCCATTCCGGTGTTCCATTTGGGCGGATGGTTGGCTTACACCGTTGAGGAAGAGCATTGAAGTGCGAGTGAACGAGGGACGCAATGCGATACTCTATGCGGGAGTCATTAGAGCCCATGAGAAACCCGGCTCCCACCTTGAAACCCTGTAACCGCTGGAGAGGAGCTTTGGTTCAATAACCACCGTTGTCCAGATGTTTCAGCTCCTCTTTTCTGCCGATCGGCCCGCGCACATGATCAGCAGTCACGTGATCAACCCCGAAGCCCTTGAGAGCCCTAAAGACATATTTGACCGGTTTACAGACCTCTCTCGTCGCCTTTTGTCGCTCGCCCTCAACCTCTGATTTCATTAACCTATAAACATGGCCGATAAACTTCGTACTCTCCAAAATCTTGAGGCTTTACAAGCTCGCTACGTCGGTACCGGCCACGCGGATACCACAAAATATGAATGGACCTCGAATATCATTCGCGATAGCTATGCGTCGTACGTTGGCCACCCACCACTCTTGCAGTACATGGCAATCGGAATGGGCGAGCCCAAAGAGAAAGTTAGAGCTATGATGTTGGAGAAGATGGTTAGAGGAGCAGGGAATCCGCCGGAGGTGAGCCCCAAAGACTCTTATTAGGCCACATATATTTTTTTCAAATGGATTGATATGCCCTTGTATTTGCCACGGTTGGTCGCTAATGCGCGTTGATAGGTACAAGAATAATGATGCGTGCCTCCTACGAGGCAAACGAAAATTTGTACATTTGCGAAATCATTGCTCCCCGTTGGCATACCGATACCCCTGCAGCCGGAAAGTAAACCGATAAAAGGTCGAACGCTGGTGCAAGCAAAGGGACGACCCAAACTTGCTTAAAACAGCATTCCTACTACCCTTGGTCTAGCCTCGGGATGGAGATTAGCTCGAAAATGACCGGCAGAATCTCAGACAGAAAATACGCACGTCCATCAAAGAACAAGAAGGTGTGAAGAAACAAACACCTAGCATTTACGACGAGAGACAGCCTTGCACTAAGGCGTCACCTTGTATGCTATCTTTATCCAAATCCATCTGCAGCGACAATACACATAGCTGTGCTGTTATGTATGTAGACATCGAATCAAATACCTATCCAGTCTACAGAGTATACATATTCAATTCACTCATACATCACTTACATTGTTGTCCGCTATATTCCCCCTCTCTTCGGAAGCTGAGCAGCAAGCTCGGTATTCTCTTGCTGCAACTTTCCAACTATACTAACCCATTGTCCTCGCTCCTGTCTCAACCTGCTAATTTCTACCTTCATTCGATCCATTTCTTTCTTTAGTGTTTCAACTTCCACTTTCAGCCTAATTCTCTCATCCTTTTCTAACTCTTTGCGACGTTTTAACTCTATCTTTGCTGCAATCTTTTGCTGCTGCGCTTCAATTTTATTCAGCTGAGAGTTTAATTTCACTTCCTTCCGTTCTAGTGTTGCTAGGCTTCTTTTATTCGAGGTTGCATCCTTCCCCCTTTTACTGGGGGATGCGATGCGTTCTTGGATTTCATCGCTCGCGTTGACGTCGGGGGCGTGTGGTTGTGAGACCTGGCTCACTAGTTCATTGCGCTGCGAGTGGTTCAGCTCAAGATCTCTAAGGACCTTATTTTTGCGGTCGAAAATTCTGGCGAGTTCCTTGTCATAGGCATTTGGCGGCGTAAACTCCTGCTTGAGCGAGAAAATGCTGTTACTGGTGCTACTGGTTACCCTCGGGTTGAACATGACGGGACTGTTATTATTCCCGATCCCGGGCGAGTTAGGGATGCTATCTTCCTTGTTCCCTTGCATATCTCCTAGTTGCGAATCAGCACTCACAAAGGAAGCGGTAGATGAAGATGGCGAGGCATTATTCATATTTCGCGAAGCTGTGCTTGTTCTGGTAACATTGCCTCCACCATCCCTTATTCCATCGTTGACTTGACTTTCGTCAGTTTCATCTCCCGGGTGCTTAGAGGTTGTGGGCAGGTCGATATAGTCGAAGAGCCCTTTAGGTGCGGTCGATTTTAGGGTTAAGGAGACTCCTTGAACTATACCTGCTGCGAAGCCTACTTCGTGCGATGGCATTGAATCCACCTCGCCATGGCTGCTTTTCACTTCCGAGCTCCTTCTCTCCTTTGCTGGTGCCTGTCTCCCGGGGGTGCATTGTTTTGATACTCGCTCACCGGGTCCTGTCTTTAACTGCTGTTGCTTCTCTTCATATTTTCCAGAATCATGCGAAGGCTGGGAAGTCGAGAAATCCTCGTCTGTGCTCTCACTCTTTGGTTGGTCCTGAGACGCCCAATCTATGAATTTTTTCGCGTCTGAAACGATGCTTGGAACTGTGCCCTTCTCCACCATCCATCTCGGTATGCTTCCTCCTGGGTCACTTCTCGTGATCATAATCCATTCCACAGGGTTTGCATCTCCTTTGTTTTCCGAAGCTCCAGATGAATCTCCCTCTATCGGGGCTGGTAACTCCCTAATCATCTCGACAGACTCATACTGGCCGCGGACAAAACCTTTGCGTATAGGTACGTCGGGGTGAGCACACGGCTTTGATATAACAATGAAATTTCTGGGAGGAGGGGAGTTTTCGTTTTCGCCTTCGTCGCGTCTTTGACAAGAGACCTCTAACGCCTTTTTAGAGGTGACCAACAACGTAACAAAGTCCCTCGAAGCTGAAGGCCCGGGAAAATGAGCCGATAGGTGATGCACCTCAATATTCCCCAGGAGGTCCCTGTTGCCGCTAGTTGTATCCATTTGAGCAGAGTGCAGCGGGACAGTCAGGTTCTCTAGACACCCCTCGCTCCCAACCCCCCTGATACTCACTTCCTTACCTATTTTTTCCCGGAGTTTCATAGTCTCTGCTAGCTCACTTTGAAGCTTCTTTTCGAATCTGCTATACGGAAGAGATCCGGCATGAACACTCCGCCGAGCGAACCAGGCACCTTTCCCATCTATGCTCCTAAGCTTGTATACGGGGATACGCAACGGGTTTTCCTTCGCATTATCGATCCTGTTGATGGGTTGACCCCACTCACTCCGTAATGAGAGTATATCCACAGGTCCTAATGCAGGTGTGGATGAAGATTTTATGAGAGCCGGTAATGTCGTCGAGGCAAGGAGGGTTTCCGAGCTATCTTCAGCATTCGTTGGGCTTTTGGAGCCTGCAGGAAGATTGGAAGTGGTTGGAGGAGAAGGGGGCTCAGGTACTGATTCAACGATCAGCCGAGCTTGAATGAGAAGGTCCCGTATATACGTGCATAGTCCTTCGTTACTCGTAGGGATCTCTTCAATCGAAACTGGTTGTAGCGACTGAAGCGCTGCATGTAACGCCGCCATCTTTTTCCCTCTTTCTTTCTCTTGATTCCTTTCCTCTCGATGAAGGTCTATCAATAGTTTTATTTTTGTTTCGGTTAAATTAGCATTGAGTGCCAGCGTTTTGGCAGAGAGCAGTCTTTCTCCACTGCCCTGTAGAGAAACAGTGCTCAGGTGGGCGGACACCTTTGTGGGATCAAACTGGCAGTTGGCTTCCTTTTTGCAAATTTCGTGCGCGTTATTTGTTTGCTCCAGACCCTGCTAGACTAACCAAAGGGTACGCCCATGGTCGATTTGAGCACGGGTTCCAAGAGCCCGCTAAATGTTGCTGCTGCTGTCGAGGAGAGGTTCGGGGATTAAATAGTGACGTCATTCTGCCCGGAGAGGAACACACCCGGCGGCCCATCGCCCGCACCACAGGCACTTTTTAGCAGCTCGAAACTCTCCTTTTGGCATGATATGGCGTGAATGCGATGGCTGCACGGTCAAGTTAGAATGTAATGAATTATATATTTCGAACTATACAAACTAGCTTAACATGCATAGATGATTTGACAAAGAGAGATCAGAAGCACAGCTTCGAAACGAGCACAAGGAAAACCAGCATCTGATTCCCAGCTTTGCCGAATCCATCCCCATCCAGTGGGAGAGGAAAAACAAGAGCTGGGCTTCTCCAGGAAAAAGATCAATCAAAACGATGAACAAAAACAAAACCAGCCCGGAGATAAGGAGGATGATCCTAACAAGGGTGAGCCTGGCCTTGGATAGCTTCAGGTAAACAGTCAGGGGCGGGAAAGAATGGCGGCCTCTGCCCCGTGAAAGACAAGCAACTAGGGATCCCAGATCCTGTGAAGCGCTGACTCCCACCATTCCAGACGCCATCACGGATGGACATTAGAAAGCGGGCGTGACACACCTCTCCCTTCCTCGGCCATGACGGTTTGCCCCTTTGCGCACCAGAGTGAACTCAAATTGCGGAATACAATACCATACCAGATGTATGCAGAGCCGCATTGTCGCAGATCCAACTCTTACCCAATCCATATTATGGATCGCCAGCTCGGCAGCCTGTACCGAATGTAAGTGTTTAGACAATAGAAGGGCAATCAGGGAGTAGTCATCGCTTGATGATAGGACCAGCCAAACCACCGCCACGATGCCCATCCATACGTAGCCCAGTCTATAATGCGCAAGAAATGGAAGGCATAAAAAAAAGGAAAACGTTTCAAGCCGCGAGGCACATCAAGGTCTTGATTACATCAAATGCCGGATGTAAGACAAAAGCGAAAGGAATCATCCACTTGGGAGTGTATATCATGCAAAAAAAAAAGAAAAGGGCAAACAGCCGACCCGCCGGTTCTTCATGCAAAATCAAAAATAAAGAATAAGGAAAAAAAAAAAAAAAAAAGAAAAAAAAAGGGAGTTCAACGCTTGCTAAAAATGCACCAATAGAGGGATGTTAAAGAAAGCCATGCAAATAGGTATATGCCTTCAAAACCAAGATCATTGTCCCCGAGGACCCGGTCGTTCGCCCAGATGGAAAGCCATGCCGTGTAGTAAATGCAGGTCAAAGGAGTGTCAGGGTGGTGATCTGGGTCGTAGATATGATGAACGGCCACCCCATTCTGCGGTGTGAACGGTTGAGGTTGCCATGCCTCCAAGTGTAGTTACATGGTGGTGCCATATGGCAATGCGAAATCCACGATGCGATCATTCCACCCGAAGCCACCCATTCCAGCTGAAGCGCTGCATTGCTGCTGTGCAATCATACTCGGTAAGAGCAAAGGAGCCATTGCTGCAGTTGTGGCCGAAGGGTCGTAGAATTCGGCAGCAGTGTACGAAGCAGTAGACAACGGCGGACTTTGCGAGGGAGCAGGTGATGGCAAGTGCATCTCACTCATCGTAATGCTAGCCCATAGGTTTTGATGTGAGTCACATGAAGATGCCGCGCTGGGGCTCGAAGGAACTACCTGCCACGATTCAACGGGCACGGGTGGGTTTTGTGGGATCGGGCTGTTCCACCAATCTTGAGGACCGGTTGAGCTTGGGAGAAGCGGAGTTGGTTGCACCACATCGACGACTCGTGGTGGTGGTGGAAGCAGCGGAACAAACAATCCCATCACCGCCGCCTTTGCATCGTCACTCCGACCGCCAAGGAGCTCACCAGCTCCCTCTTCCTCCATTCCTTCAAGCACACGAACGCCCGTGCGGAAGACGAACCGGTTGGCAGCCTGGACGAACTCTTCCTGCAGCTTCTTCAATTGGATCTCTTTCTCGGCCCAGTTCCAGGTGCTGGCAGCAGTGTCCACGGAAAACACCTCCTTATGGTATTCAACCAAAGACTCGATGGTCTCTGGGGTCAACTTGAACGCAACCTCACTCTGAGAGACCATGTCGACATGGACCACGTATGCTTCTATGTGGAGAAGCTGGTAGTTGAAAAGCGCCTCCACGAGAGGGTTGTCATCCTTGGGTAGATCAGATTCCGGCGCCTTGGGTAGCATGATAGAGCAGAGAGTCCAGATGGCATTTGTCGATGAGAGCGTCTCCGTCAAACATCTGGTATGCTGGCCGACATTATTTAAAGGGCGTTTGACCCGGTTAACCCTCTTGAGTGTCATCGTTAGCCAGGGTTCTACCCTCGAATGTAGGACAACGTTTGGCGAGGATCTTGGCGCAAAGGCAGCGGCGGAGGCCGGTAATAGACTTGTCACCATTATGATAAGATGTGTCTTCAACAAGAGAATAAAATATATATAATCGAAATTGGTAAGGTATGGCACGAACGTAGCTCAGCACACTCGTTTAGCCGTGCGCGTTTGCGAAACTTCCAAGTATAGTAGAAGCACAGGCAGAACGACGGCGGCTGTAAAAGACAGTTCGGGGTGCGATTCCAGAGAGAAGACGAGGAGAAGAGCAAGGGAAAAATAAAAGAGAAAATAAATTAGAGAGATCAAAGAATTAAGTAGATTAAGAGGTGGATGGAGAAGAGGAAGAGGAAGAAGAGTAGGAGGCGGAGGAGGTGGTGGTGGGAGTGGCGACGAGGAGCCCGAAAGGGAAGTGCCGCCCTTTTCAATTCTCAGCGACCATTATATAGAACAAGAAGAGGTCGGCGGAGGGGAAAAGGGTGGGGATGTGACTGTATAAGAATAACCTTTCTGCATGCCAAAAAGTCATTGGAGAAAAAAAAAAAAAAGTACAAAATAAAAAAAGGATATTCACTAAACGAAAACCCGTTTCTCCGTAGAAACAACGGCATGGGTCAAGCTGATCCCTTGAGCAGCCATTTTCTGGACTGTGCTCTTTAGAACATGCATACGGAGCACAGAGCACTCCGTACAATGCATGCACTTCTCCTGGTTGAGATTTTCACAGCTGGTGGCCCTAGGGGTGCGCGGTCTTCGCCTCCCGTGTTGCTGATTCGAACTGGGCAAACTGCATGTTCCCCATCGCAAACTCTTCCTGGCGACTCTGACCATGCCTGCACCCGGCCGCAGAAGGCCGCATGGACTTTGTTCGAGAATTGACAGGACGGTGCCTGCGTCATAGTTGTAATATACAGTCACTTAACGGGTAAATTACCTGTCATTTCGCGCGTTTTCGACGGCGCCGAGCATGCCGTCACGGTTACGCAGAATTACGTTAATTGGATTTACCGACCATTACGAACACGGCAAGTGAAGGTCAACTCCGACTCCAGAGGCGAAAATCGTGTTCGACAGCATCTCCTGGTCGAGGGGAAATTTTGTTACGGGTGATCAGATACCACACAGGGCATTCGGTGCAACCCACATCCCAGCAGGGCGGATCCTGGAAATTGAGTGCCCGGGCAAGCTACCTGTGTATGATCAGAGACCTGATGTGAACACGAAGAGAAAAGGGAATCACAAAATAATGAAGCCAAAAAGGTTGTGGAAATCGGCAGGAGTCCGTGAAAGTAAAAAAATTTTTTTTTCCCTAGTCTCCAACGGCGCTACCCCTCTGGGGGTACACTGTCGCGATGTATACGCTGTGCTGTGTCTCGGTCAGGTATTCTCCGGATGGAGACAAAGGAACCCGGCTCACCACCCGCCAGGCTGGACGATCCCATCATCTTTCTCCCCGAGTCGGGAAAACCGAATGTTGCTGCGTCGATGGATAGATCTGTAACGACCTTGCTTCAACAGTCGACGGAGCGTCTGTACCAAGCAGTTCTGAATGGCCAAGTGGGTTCCAGGTTTCGAAACATACTTCGTAATACGGAGTCTGGAATGTATAAGCAGCCGCAGAAAGCGGCATATCGATGCTCAGTCTGGGCCTGGGTGGGAAGACCTTTCACAGGAACTTTGCCCTTCCACAAAGGCGCAGCTGATGGAGGGTAGCGGTCTTGGGCCACTTTGGGCATCGGATTCGCCGACCATTATCGGACTAAAATCGATGACTCCAAGAAATCCCTGTTCTGCATGCTGATTGGAGGTGGCGAAGTTATGATCAGACTTTCTGGAAAGGGGAGCGCATACAATGCGAAAGGCCCACCACGAGGGACAAAGGGTGGTGTGAACATCTGGAGAAATCAATCATAACAGCGAATCTGAAGGGCTTCGCATCAATTTGCAGGCGGAAAGACCGAAGCATTAAACTGCGATCGGTCTGTCAATCTTTGTTTGCATCTCGCCAAAGCATTTTCTGTATGGACTGGATTTTCGAGAGGCTGCATATCTCTCAGCTGCCAAGATCTGCTGCAGTCAGGTGATGGGCGGCTCTTCTACGTCCAGTGCTACTGTGTTGCGGCGTAGAGGTGCTTGTGACTCTCGCTTGTCGCCGAATTCCCAGCTGTGACGCGGGACACAGCGACATTTGCCCAGAGGAGCGGCCCGGAGAATAACAATGAACTAATGGCAAGCATCATGCGACTTTTGAGACAGGACCAATCTCATACGGGACTGAGGAAAATTCACCATAGGCGGTCTGGAGGCAGGGAAAGGGACAGCTGAAGGAGTCAAGATATAGACGTCATCAAAATTTCCGATGGAAAGCGAGGGCTGCTCTGCGGTCGAGGATGAAAGAAAAGCTGCCACCACTGCCCTCGTCCACGTCGAGGTGCGAGTTCGCCTTGAGAAGTGCTGCGCCTCACGCGTGTGCCACAGTGTCTTATCGATAACTAGTGAACCAACCAACGGAACTAAAACGCCTTGCTGACCAGACGACTCGTGGCGGTGCGCTGCCTGTGTAACTCCTCCACTTGCTAACCTCGGCACACTTTGACGGAGAAATCCATACATCGAGCAAGACGGTGAAGGGAAGTTCGGAGGACACCGGCGTCCATCAGAATTTTTTTTTTTTTTTTCCCTTTCGGTTTTTTATTTTACAGGCCATATCGCCACCTGCGGATGGATGCTGCACCCAGCGATGCAGAATGTTGGGAGACTCGAGTGTGGATTTTCGGTTTCCCTCACCGTCTCGATTCCTACTCACCGACTTAACCCCACTCTCCAGTTTCAACTGGCCACCTCTTGTGGAATCGCACATTTCCGTCCCGATGTTGCATCATCGGTCTGGAAAAAAACCGCGCGCCGCAAGCGTCTTGTCTCGCGCGCTCTTTTACCCGCTAGGTTTTTCGGACCTCGCGTCTACGCCTGTCGCGGTCACCTGGTATGTAGCGTGTCTTTGCAGTGCGCTCCAAAGCTTTTTGGCGACAGGCGGTCAACGACCGCGTCTGTTTCGTATATGTTAGCGGGCCTAGTTATGCCGGCTGTCCTTGAAACGAAGGATCCCCTTCTGAAACATCCGTTCTTGAATTATACGGCGGGGAAAGAGGGGAGCCCGTTTGGCGTTCCCAGTTGATAAGAACCAAAGTATGGTGCATGGGATCGCCCTGCAAAAAAACTTGAAACATTCAAGCAGGTATTCCAGTCCAAACCATCTGCTATGACTGGGAGAACCGGGATTTTGGACTCGAGTAAAAAATCTATTCTGCAAGACCAAGTCCAATGATTGATATACCCCACCCAAATCCTCAAACTTCCTCTTCCAACATTCGACAGCTAAGCAGGGCGTTTCAAGCCTTGAATCTAAGCGGTAAGATACAAGACTTGGGAGCATGCCTTTACATGGAGAGTAGCTGTCTTTTTTTTTTTTTTATTTATTTATTTATTTTCCCTGCAACCTGCTTTAAAGCAAAATTATACTTGTGAGATGATTAAAATGTAACGCGTACGTGCAGGAGAGACATGGATAGATACAACAAAAGAAACTCCATAAGCGTATGAGAAACCGAGTCATGGAAGTTCCCTTTGCACTATCCGCTCAAATCGTCAACCGACAACCAGTACTTTGATATTCGCTCCCAGATTTCGGATCTGAAGTCCGCTTGCATACGATGTCTGCATAGGTGGTGAGCAATCCATTTGGAGGCTCGGAGGATTCCAGTTGGTGGTGAGGATTTGTGTGAATTTCGAGTCTTCACGCCTTCAAGTAGGACTTTCACTTCACATCTTATGGAATAGCCATTATACTGGCGGTTCAGATGCGACGGTGAGATGGCTGAGCTGTCACTTCAACCAGAAGCTGCATAGGCCCACGTGTGCCATGGCATTGATGGCTCGTGGTCCGTGAAATCATACCCCGAACGAATCGCAGGCTTGAGCGACGCTACTGGCACAATGCCTCCGCCGTAAATATAGTAGGTTGTTCGATCATAGCATCAACGTAACGCCGTCAAGGGGGTGCAACACGTCATCTTAAAGCGATCACATCTTTCCTTCTTTCTCCTTCTTAATTTTCGAGAATACCCGTCTTTCGGTATCTCTTTCCTCTGTCTTCCTCTTCATCTGCTTTTGGATACTGTCCATTTTCGCTTCCGTTTGTTCCATCCGCCGTTTAACTTCTTTGGCGAGCTCCCTCTGCGCCTTCAGAGCAGCAACGGGTGTGGTGTGTTCCTTTCGAAGTTGCTGCAGTTCTAAGCTGAGTTCGACGACATCGAGCGGCGCGCAGGTGACGGGATGGTATCGATGAGGCGGCAGCGGTTCGGCAGGCACGCGGATGTCGGGGAGGAGTTCGTGGATCGGGGTGATACGAACACTCGCAGTGAGCGGGACCGGCTGTTGAGGCTCCAACCGTGGCTCCGGCGGAGGGGATGGTGGCAGCTGGCTCATTGCGAGAGATGGATGTGGATAATACTGAAGTGCTTAGATGGACAGGTCTTCTGTGGTCAAATTAATCATGATGGCCGTGCACCCCCAGATTGAGAGTGCTGTTAAGCTTCTCACCTGTTTAGCGTACCAGTCTTCTGGGGCTTGGTTGGTTATCTCCACGTGAGTCCGCGATTAAGCTCAACCTTGCGTCTGTAGATCTCCTATTCTTGATGTTGTTGTTTGAGTTCCCGTAACATCACCCTTCCACAATGACAAGTGCAGGACCGGCAAAACCCAACCAAATACCTTGACCGAAAGCGGCTGTCGCCCTTAGGTAATGGGCCTTGCGGTAACAAAAAGAGCGTCCCGGACTCATCCTGCGGCTCAAACCAGGAAAACAGCACTAGCCCCGTTGGGAAGCAGGTGCCTGCCGAGCAAACATTAGCTCACAAAGGGGAAAAGTTGGGTTTTGTGCGTGAAGATGCAGGCCTTTGGTGAGTCCCAGTCACGTCTCCTTTCGCCTCCATCTTGTGCAGCTCTCGCGTGGATTTGACAAATGGATCCCTTGGGAGCTGTGGCGTTTGCGGCCAGCGAGCTGACCAGTGTGCTTTCAGTCCCCAAGAGCAGACGGGTATGCCCCATTTCTCCGTTTTCCAGATCTGTGGTCTCGACTTATATTATCTGATCTAGCCCAAGTTCTCACTGACCTTACGCGTAAGTGGCTAAGAATAGTGTGCCTCCTCGACCTGATGTGCTGATGATCTTGCTAGGTGATCGACATCATCAATGTGCCCCTTGGGGTGGGTACTGCCTATGTGAAATGGCAGCTACCATCCTCGGCCTCTCCTGAACACTCTGGGGAAACGGCCAAGGTGCAGCTCCAGGCCCATAGGGCGACCTGGGGTTACGAAAAGGCATTAACCGTCAGATTGATGGTTGACCGGAACCATATGCTTCAAGAGTGTGGGATTCGCTTTGATATCCTCCAGGAATTCTCACCCAACAGCCGCAGCGATAGATCGCTGCTTGGAAACATTGATCTGAATCTTGCTGAATATGTGGAAGAAGGTGAGGCCGAGGAAGGTGTCGTCCGCCGCTACTTGATGCAGAATAGCAAGATCAATGCTACAGTGAAGATCGGCATTATGATGCACCAGATTGAGGGAGAAAGCAATTTCACTGCGTACGTTCGGGCTATCCCTGCGGGTGCTTGCCGCTAATATACACTCCCAGACCCCCTCTCAAGCCAGCCACAGTCTTCAGCGGGATCGCCGGTTTCATGAATGCAGCGAAAGGAGATTCTGAGGATGCAGGTCGCGTTCCTTCTTTTCACCACAGAACCCGGGAGTTTACCGAGCTCCATGATCTTTATTTCCGTAATCTTGCAGCGTCCTGGGCCTCGCAGGCTGGAGAGTTGCCGCCGGACCAAGTGATCGAGGACATTTTCGCCGGAGGGGATGGTTGGGCATCGGGACGCCCGAGCCTGAAGGTCGGTGATGATGACGAGGAGGATACTGGCTATCTCAGTGATACTTATTCTCGACGCACGACTCGAAATAAATCTCCTGCACGCAGTACGAGATCGGGAGACTCGCTGGGAACTCATCTACGAAGCCATAGCAAACATTCAGACTTCTCTTTCAGCTCCGACGTCGGCGGTAAGGACCTTAAAGGAAAAGGAAAACGGCGAAAGAATCGTGAGGTCGACGAATTTGAAGTTCGTGAAGATCTTAGAAGCTGGGAAATCTCATGGGCAAAATGACTGCATTCCTTCTGCGCGTTTCCAAATTACGATGGGTCACCAAATTGGTTGTTTTGCCATACGTTCTAAGTTTTAGTCTCACCAGCAGCTCTTACTGTCGGAAATCTTCTGCATTGGCCTTGGGATTGCTTTCTTTCATATTGTATGATACCATGACGGCGAAAGGGATGGCATGGTAGGCGATTCTGGCTGGCGTTGAAGGGATTTTAATGCATACTTTGACTAATGGCAGATCTGGTTGTTAATACCATCCCATACGTCAATCGATATTGCTATACTCATGGGCCACGCTCGTAATTGTTTCTTTCCCTCTCCAATTTTACTCCTTGCCCCCTTTAATGCTGGTTGAATTTAGAGTTTAACTAATGGGCAGCGAACTTTCCTTGGAACTGGCGTGGGGCGGGCCGGGAAAACCTAACACCGTCAGCGCTATCCATTCAGGCCAAAACTCGAAAAGCACAATTTTAAGAGCTTGTCGAGCTCTTGTTACACGCATGTCGAGCTGTTTGGCAGCGTGGTCTCTTCGATACATATGTTTCAGAGGTCAGTCAGGGATGCGGCACTCTGTCTACGATGCCAGAATTGCCTCCGACCCTTATGGCGACCCTTAACTCCCATTTCTCTCACCCCGTCGCCAAACCGACAATTCCAGACGACCGCCTGCAGCAACGAGGAGAATGCAGATTCAGAGACAACTAAAAGCCAAGGCCCGAAATTCTCCAAGCGTCGCAAGGGCCGGGGCTATCATATAGAGCAGCTTGATTCGATAACTCTTGGGAACCCTTCACATGTGCTTGTCGTTGACCAAAAGGCCAAGCGCACGAAGAATGTGACGGAAAAGAAGGACGAAAATCCGCAATTGAACCGCCCGTCTGAAGTCTTGGAGGAGGTGGATAGAGAGCGATATAGAGTAGTTGGAGCGACTGAGGTATCGGCGAATTTCGAGTACCTCCGCTCGCTTCATAAACCTGGAGATCACCTATTTCCTGTCAACTGGGACAAGCTCCGAGACGTTCTTCAACATGGTTTCACGCAACCGCAATTGGCGCGTTATGTTAAGGAGTATGAAGCTAATGAGGAAGTCAAGACGAAGAGCAAACCCAACGGCGATATCGTACCCTCGGACAGACCAAGAACGTGGAAGTGGAAAGTTGGGACACCTCATGAAGCTCAGGAGGACCTTTCACCAAAACTCAAGAAAACAAGATATGTGCAAGGAAAAGCTTATTTGGCCGAAAAGATCATGAGGGATTGCTGGGGCCTTTTGATCCGAAATGAAATTGGGCACGCGGATCTTCACGTACAGTCCGACTGTCTCTCTACATTTCTCTTGTCCAATTCAGTACCGCTAAGGACGGTTGCGGAAGCGCACAACGTGAAGATCGATGTCACAAAGGCCTTTAACCGGATTAGAATAATAGGCCCCGAGTCCGACGCACTTCAGGCTTACACTGCTGTGGAAGAGTTGGTGGCTCGAATTCGCTCCAAAGAAGTTGATCTCCCGAAACATGGTTCCCTGTTTCCAGGCGAAGAAAATGCAGAATTCGAAGACGCTTTCATACAGGCACTGCAAGAGGAACATGGGTTGTTTTGCCGGATAAATAAAGACTCGAAAAAATTCGTCTGCTATTATTTGGATGAAAACAAATTGGATGCTGAAAAAGTGTGCAAAAGCATATCTCTTGCTACATCTTTGCCTCTTGATCAGGCCAATCGTCCTTTTACATACTTCCCAAGCGATCAACCAGCGAATGTCTATTCCATGATAAACCCAGAATATATGTCCTTTCCGAATCGCAACAAAAACTGGTTTAGATGGGCCAAGCCCCTTCTCGAAAATTCCATACAAGGTGGAAGAGCAGCTAGGAGACCGCCGGCAGATATTTACAGCAAAGAGCCTACCGCTCCTCAAAGTAGGATCCGCGATTCACTCCTCGAACACCATCCCGTGCAAAGTAGCATCGAGCCTTTCACGCACGAAACCGTTACAGCCGCTGTCGGCAAGTGTCTTTTCCAGAGGGAACCCAAGTTTAAGGCTGATGAGATTACTTTCTCGGAAATTGAATCTTCATTGCCAAAGAGAACCTTCATCGCAGACGTCCCGAATACTTGGTCTTTTCTGAAAACACTCTCACCAGTTGACACTGACGCAACGATTCATCGAATTCGTCTTTTGCCGTCTCCAAGCAATGACGTTAATTTTCCCGTATTAGAGTTAGAAATGGAAGTTCCTCAGACCAAGGAATGGCGCGGGTTCGTTGCCACTCCGGTATTTAGAAAAGCGACCGCAATTCTCAGAGAGAATCATGCCGACATGCTTTTGCCAGAAACAGCTTTGGATATTCGATTTACCAGGACCGTTCACTATGACCTTCTCGAGGGTAGTCAACTCGCCTCCGTCATTTCCGACAAACGTCCTCTGCACTCATCCCTCTTACAGTGCGTAGCGAGCTTGAATTACTTGCTACCGATTTCCCGCCATCAACCTCCGATGCCTTTGTTTTGCAAGGTTTCGCTCCCCAAAAAGTTGCTGGCAATGTCGAAATCGTCGTCGGGCCAGAAGGGGGAAACCGAAGGGGGTGCGGAAGGCTCGGCTCGGGATACAGAGTTTATCGAAGGCGAGTACGTCTTCCCGCCTCTGCGTTCACTTACGGCTGCAAGAATTGCGAGGTTCAATTATAAAGACCTTGAGCTCAGCTTCTCCAACCCAAGAACGGGGCCTCTGTTTCCAATTCAAAACATCAATATGAGTCTGTCCGTTGGCCGGTCTGACGATGAGTTACGACCGTTGATTGCTTCTCGAGAGACTCGCGGCTCAGCGCCTCCCGCGATGGATAGGGAATCTCTGAGACTGCTGTTCCCGCCTTTGTACACCCGCGCATGCCAGCTGGCTTTTGAATTGAGTGCACATAGAGAGAACAACACAGTTGACTCTGAATGAAGCAGACCGTTTTTGATTTGAAAAGAATTCTTTTCATGTTATCTATCTGCAGGTGAGGCGTTTATAAGCAGGTCAATGTGGCAGACATATATGTGCATCTTTGGAATTCAGATAGGATGAGGTGCTGTAATTTATAAGGGCAGAAAAGGGTTCTGGAGTTGGGGAAAACACTTTATCCTGGCAAACATTAGATAGATAATAATGCGACATGATGGTTGTTTGGTCTCTATTACGTGAAAAGTAATTTATTTCGTGGAACTACAGCTAGACCATCTTTGGTGATATCCTTTCGAGACCCATCGAGAAATCCACAGCCTGCAGCCCGAGATCCACCTCCTCCCCAGACAGCCCTGCTGCCAACATCATCAAAGCCTATTGCCCATCGGAGGCTGCTTCAAGTCAGTACCGAGTACTTTGTACTGCAGACATCATGAATTCTAGCTCCTATTTCCGGCTGGATAAATGATGAAAGCTACACAAAATTTATTGTATTAAAATGAGTTGGAAGGAGACTCTGCTTCGCTGTAATCGAACTCTGTATATTTTTGCGAGCAAAGATCTTTGTTTCTAAATCACCAGAAATTTTGACACATTTGTGGGGGAACCTGAGGCTGTCTGAACTGACGTAACGACGAGGGGCCGACCCTAAGAGAGAGAGAGACACTTCCAGGCTTGGTCCAGTAACGAACTACCACACCAGTGTTATGAGACTTCAAAAGATCTGATTACAACAGTGGTCTCCTTTTTGTTGACGCTGTCTTGCCGTTCTCTGATTAAGAATTCATCTTCTAGCACTTTCTTAATTGTGTCCTGCCAACTTCAGCTCCTTGAAAGACCATGAAGCCACTACTCCTATTAGGCTGAAAAATAAAAATTAGAGTCCAGGAAATAGATATGGAAAAGACACGGATTGCTAAGGTTTGAGCTTTGACATATATATGCACCGTCTCTCGCATATTAGCTAACTTGACATTTGGGCATTTAGGTGGAAAATGTCACCTTGTCCAGGCGCGGTGAACGGGCTAAAGGCACGCTTCATCTTACTCCCCATCATTTGATATTTTCGCATATTCCTCCTGCCCCAGAAGGATCGCAAGACGCCAATATCCCAGTAAAGCCGCGCGAATTGTGGATCACGTATCCGATTATTTGCTTCTGCACCTTTAGACCGGCAACGATATCATCCCGCCAGCCGTCGTCGATCCGTATACGATGTCGAGATTTTACATTCGTGTGCTTCTTTTTTCCCAACGAAGCGCAAGCAAGAGATGCGTACGAGAGTATAAAGCTTTGGACGTGTAAAATTGGGCGTGTTGAGAAACTTTACGCCTTTACGTATCAACCTCCCCTGCCTGAGCGAAGCTTCAACGGCTGGGATCTTTACAATCCTCGGGAAGAATGGGCACGCCTAGGAGTTGGAAACCCGGATTCCCCGTCCGGTTGGAGGTTATCGGCTATAAATTCAGATTACAATGTGGGCACTCTTGCCACATTCGCTATTTTATTGAAGTTGGACGTGACGCTGATGGCTTTTAGTTCTCACCAACCTATCCCTGTTTATTACCTGTTCCCGCGAATATATCGGATAATACCATTAATTATGCTGGTCGATATCGCTCGAGAGCTCGAATACCGGTCTTAACCTATTTACATCCCGTAAATAATTGTTCAATCACACGATCGTCACAACCGCTTGTTGGCGTCCGCAATAACCGAAGTATTCAAGACGAGAAGCTCCTCGCTGCGATCTTCTCTACCTCCAGACAAGAAAAATCTGCCAACGGGTCGCCGCCTTCCCTGGAACATGAATCATCGAACTCGAGCTTAGAAGACCAATATGGTGTTCAGTCTGATTTTGACTTCTCGAACGCGGAAGAATTGGAAGATGAAGTGATATCAGCGGTGCAATCTGCTCCAAAAGAACCAAAACCACAAGTTTACGGTGCCCAGCAACATAATCTCATCGTTGATGCTCGCCCAACAGTGAACGCGTTTGCGATGCAAGCGGTCGGCCTGGGCTCAGAAAATATGGATAATTATAAATTCGCTACAAAAGTTTACTTGGGTATAGACAATATTCATGTCATGCGAGATTCACTTAATAGGGTTATTGATGCCCTGAAAGACTCCGATGTGACATCCTTGGGGCCCAATCGTGACCAGCTCGCGCGCAGCGGATGGTTAAAACATATTACGGGCCTCCTAGACGGTGCTGCGCTAATCGCAAGACAGGTTGGACTGCAGCACTCCCACGTCTTGATACATTGCTCAGATGGATGGGATAGGACAAGCCAGCTTAGTGCGCTCAGCCAATTATGTCTCGACCCTTACTACAGGACACTCGAAGGCTTCATGGTACTTGTTGAGAAAGATTGGCTTTCTTTTGGCCATATGTTCCGCCATAGGTCGGGGCATCTGAATAGCGAAAAGTGGTTTCAAGTTGAGAATGATCGAATTGGTGGTGATGTGAGGGGCGGATTTGGTGACGCCGGTGCTGCGGGAAAAGCAATTGAAAACGCCTTCTTGAGTGCCAAGGGGTTCTTCAACAGGGACAACGTCAGCCGGGATTCATTAGGTGATTCTGACGGAGAAATCGTCCCCTTGGAATCCGACAGCGATCCCAGGAGAACCATCCCACGTTCAAAATCTCCGGCCAACGACGTTGAAATTACCAAAGTTAAGGAGACGAGCCCTGTCTTCCATCAATTTCTCGATGCCACCTACCAGCTACTCTACCAACATCCGACCCGATTCCAGTTCAACGAGCGTTTCCTCAGGAGGCTTCTTTATCATCTCTACGCTTGCCAGTATGGCTCATTTCTTTACAACAGTGAAAAGGAACGTGTGAACTCCAAGGCAAAAGAGATGACGCGGAGTGTATGGGATTATTTCCTCGCGAGAAGGGAGCAGTTCTTGAATCCCAACTATGATTCTAATATTGACGACAACCAGAGAGGCAAGGAGAGATTATTGTTTCCCCGAACTAACGAGGTGAGGTGGTGGAGCGAGGCATTTGGCCGACAAGATGCTGAAATGAATGTACCACATGCGCGGACCACTAGTGTTCGGGGCGACAGAGCCATGTCCAGTGGAACTCGAACGCCAGTCTTGACCGGCGTGGAAACGGCTGATCAGGCGATTGGTAGTGGAGCCTTGAGCAAGCCTTCTTTGAGCCCTGCGCCGTCATCGGGACTTGCCGCATTAGCTGCGGAGCTCTCTGGATTGGGCTTTCGAGCAGGAAGAGACGGGACACCTGGAACAGGGACTCCCTCAGTTAAACCAAAAGAAATGGAGGTAGAGATGCAATAATGGCGAATTTTATTGTTTCCACTGCCATGTTGCGGGTAACGATGAGGTAGACTACGATGGGTTATTTAAAAATCAGCGACGGCTTTCAGTGTTTTGGAATTGGGCCAGCATTCGGGACGGGGAGTTGGACTATGTTGGGGGACTTGGTTTCATTGGTTGGCGTTGTGCTCTCTGGTGAAGATAGCTACACGAGGATTCTCTAGGGACTAGAGATGGTAGCTGCAAATATATCATGAATCTGAAATTTATTGTACCCAAATCCCCCGTAATTACCACCATCGCGAGAAGATGGATGGCCCTGAATCCCATGGACTTGATGCCAGCCGAAAGCGGTTTAGCGGTAGAGCTGGCAACGAAAGAAAACCCTAAACCCTAATTTCCCAGCTTGTCGACCCCACTAAAATTGGTATCCGAAATCAACCTCCAATCTTTTGGACCGACTGCCCAGAAGTCCGAAGCTCTCTCACCAGCACTCGACAGACGACCTTATCGTTCCCCCGGCGGATTTCTCGACAATCGGGTCAGCATAATCAGCAAATATGGCTGCTATTCAGGGAACGATTTCCAAGCGCCGCAAGTTCGTGGCTGACGGTGTGTTCTATGCCGAATTGAACGAGTTCTTCCAGCGCGAGCTGGCTGAGGAGGGATACTCCGGTGTCGAAGTCAGAGTTACTCCCACCGTAACCGATATCAGTACGTGATTTTCTTATTTTTGGGCTGTTTCTTAGTCCCAATCGCAAATTCTCCCACGGAGGAGCTATTTTCAGAGAACTTCGGGACAGGGATACGATATGGCATTATCGTGGGACATTGGATAAAGATCAAGATAACTGACTTGTTTCGCTATTTTGACAGTCATCCGCGCTACCCATACCCAGGAAGTTTTGGGTGAGCAAGGTCGCCGCATCCGTGAACTCACCTCCCTCATCCAGAAGCGCTTCAAGTTCCCCGAAAACTCCGTCTCCCTTTATGCCGCCAAGGTCCAGAACCGTGGTCTCTCTGCCGTTGCTCAGTGCGAAAGTTTGCGATACAAGTTGCTCAACGGTTTGGCCGTCCGAAGAGCCTGCTATGGTGTCCTCAGATTCATCATGGAGAGCGGTGCCAAGGGTTGCGAGGTCGTTGTTTCTGGAAAACTGAGAGCTGCTCGTGCCAAGAGCATGAAGTTCACCGTACGTTTGGGCCCGCCGTTCTTGTTTATTTAAGGGGGACTCTTTCCGTCGATTATCGCTTTCGCATTGCGACGTATATTGGGAACAGTCCATGGTAAATTACATTGGTGGCTAACAAGGGGTTTCTTTATAGGATGGTTTCATGATTCACTCCGGTCAACCCGCCAAAGACTTCATCGACAGCGCCACCCGCCACGTTCTCCTCCGTCAAGGTGTGCTCGGTATCAAGGTCAAGATCATGCGCGGTAGCGACCCAGAGGGCAAGTCCGGTCCTCAGAAATCTCTCCCTGACTCCGTCACCATCATCGAGCCCAAGGAGGAGCAGCCTGTCCTCCAACCAATGAGCCAGGACTACGGTGCTAAGGCCGCTGCTGCCCAGCAGGCTGCTGAGCAACAGCGATTGGCCGAGCAGGAAGGTCAAGAAGGCGCAGAAGCTGCCGCTGTCCCCCAGGAGTGAAATTAATTAGCTGTTTTTTTCCTCCTTTCTTCTAGTCCCATCTTTTTCATCCCCAGATTTCTTCTACTGTCCTAGGAATGTTAAAATGGGCATCATGAATATGCAACAATTTTCTACGTTTTCTGCTGAATGGACGGAAACTTGGCGATTAGGAGTGTAGTTTAAACACAAAAGAGATTACTTCTACCCAAGGAAGCGTTCAGACTGCTGGTGAATGACTGAAAGTCCGATTACTTTAATGAGAGCTTTCCGGATCCAAGGAAACAATACATCATGAGCAAGCGTCAGGAATAATGCAATGTTCTATTTTTCTCATCATCGCATTCAGTTCATAAAACCCAAGAGCGCTAGCCAACGATCTATTCTTTTCACGTTCCATAAAACTATCCATCAACACAAAAAATCGAATACGTCTATGTCTTACAAAAAGACCTCGATATTCATTTCAAGGGTGCTCACAGGATATTTCAACTCGAACTTTTCAAGGACAGTAGGGTGCAAAATGCCGAACGTACCGATGACATGTTCTTTGCCTCCAATACAGACGTGTATTGATGCAGCGTGTCCTGGGAAGTAGGTAGGGTCTAGTTACAGCGTTAGCAAATCGTAACAGATAACCAGAAAGCATGAGACTCCAACCTTCTAGTTCTTCAATCCAATATCGCGAACCGCTGACGTCCGGGTTATCAAGTCCCTCTTCGCCGACAATAAATGCACTCTTCAACATGGCCATCACCCTGTCGAGCAAACCATGGACAACCTCAAAGCCACTAGTCCTTCCGTACCAAGCAGCAGCGAAATGTCTCTCGTTCCGACTCTTGCGTTCAAGTCTCATATCTTTGAAGGCCACATCGCTTACTTCAAAGATTCTCATTGGCACGGTATGGCTTTTATTCTCGCGGATGGTTTTTAAAAGTCCCGGAAGAAGGCTGGTCCGAACCACCTGGAACTCCACGGTCTTGGGGTTTGCAAGCTTCACCGCAGTATTGCCATCATCCTTGCGATTTAACCACGCGAAATTCTCGTCATGGGAGCAAAGAATTAACGGCATGACTTCGGACCATCCTGCCATGGCAGCCTCGGTCCGAATGATATCTGTCAGTTTGTTTACAGGCAGGGGTTGGGCAATCGTTCCGGATTTGCTAGGGAATGATCTTGGCAACTCGTTGAAACCATAGGCTATAGCGACATCCTCCATAATGTCCGCTTCATGGAGCACATCTGCACGAGTAATGGGTACTTCGACGTCGATGAGGTCTGCTGATGATTTGGAAGGTTTCGCGATATATGCCATTTTCTTTAGGAGATCGCAGATCTCTTGTGCAGAGAGATTTAGGCCACAGCACTGGTTAATGTATGAAATGCTCGCTTGAGTCAAACGTGGTTTAATGTTGGGAACTTGACGAGTTTCATTGTTGTGCTCGGATACAACCTGGATAGGTTCGATCCTAAAGCGCCAGTGTTAAGAGGCAGACCAAGGGCGATACCGGAAAGCAGACTCACGTGAATGGCTCTGACGTATATTGGGAGAACATTGCAACCATGATGTTATTCACAACTTCAACCTTGGTCTTATCTGTAGCGGTGATCTCCATGAAGACATTCCGTGTGTCCAAGGTAATTTTGGAGTGGTCACCGTTGATAATTGGAGGCAGCGAACATACTGTTCTCTTTGAATCATAGATAATCGGATATACAGGGGAGTCGCGGATAATATGGAGGAATTTGCCCAAGTGTTTATCTTTCTATAGCAGTTTTAGAAAATGTTAATGAAGTAAGGTTTGACGAAAGCTTGCCTCATAAAAGTTCATCAACTCCTCCCCATTCATGGATGTGTTTTGGTTCAAGGGGACAAAGTTTATGTCCTTCGGGGGGAGAGCTTCGTAGCTGAAGGGCCCCTGCAGCTTGTCAAGATCATGGGTACCAATGGACACCAACGTCCGCTGCCGCGCAAGGTTCTGATGCAGTTTGTCCTGTAGAGCAATGAAAGAGTCATAGCGGGCTTTGTCGAAGTGGATATTCCGCAACACCGCTCCCGAGATATACGGCCGAATATTCGCAGTCTATTCCAGTTCTCTCAGCGAATATCCTTGTGCAATAACGTGATCACTGCTCACTTCTTTCTTTACTACAATTGTCTGCAGCGCACCGTTCGGTGGTGTCACGAGCCGGTAGTTAGGTAATACGGTCTTGCCTCGGAAAATATTTAGCATCAAAGCGATACCTTCGAAGCATAGGAGATCATAGCTATAAAAAAGAATTAGCTATTAGGAGGCCGGAAATAAGGTAGAGCTCGACGGACCGGTTCGCGGGGATGTCAAGTTTTAGCTGAGGGGGTTCTTGGACTCCATTGACAATTGGCCGCTCAGAGTTCGAGGTCTATCACGCTTCAGCAACGGATAAATGCGAGCAAAGGGTCACAGGAGGGCACAGCATACATCTTCGTCCAATTCAAGACCTATTTCATAGCGTATTAGCGGCTGAGCTCCCGGCTGCGGGGCACACGATCGGGCTCACCAAATTCGAAGCACAGCTCGTCGAACTGCTCTGTCGTATACCTAGGCCAAGCAAAAAGAGAAGATATTAGAGAAAACAGGCTGCAGAGCAGTAATGGCAATTGGCTATGTCTCACTCCTGACCTAGCGCCTTGAACAAAGCGGCTTTATCCACGGATATAGTGGGCATGTTGGCGGGGTTGGGCGCTGACGGAGGAAGGTCGTCGATGCGACAAGAGGAACACAGGGGCCGGCACCGCGGGACAAAGGGCTTTCAGCTTGGGTTGACAGTGAAGCGTGTCGACGGGACGACTCCGGCCAAAACGTGCTGGACGGGGGAGGGCGAAAGGAGCAGAGACGGCCGTCGAGTCACAAAACGAAAGACAGTAGCGATGTTTGTCCGGTGAGCAAACATCACCGCCACATGTTCGTGCCCCACCAGCCACAGCAGGCCACCGCCAGAAAGTCGCTGGTGCCCGCCGAAAGCTTCATTCACTCACTCACTCACTAAGCAAGGCCTGGGACTGCCTGCTCGCTCCGTTAAACCATCTGCCTCTCTTCGTCGTCACCACCACAACCATCCCCCCCTAAAAAAAAAGCCAACAGCCACTCGATCCCCCCAGTCTTTGTTTCTCGCCAGCTTGCCTTCTGATTCCTCAGCTTTGTCTTTGCTCCAACTACAAACCTCTTGGAATTGTGGTCTCTTAAGGTACGTTCATTGTCACTGGCACGCTTGATCTTGACCAGTTTCGTGCCTTGGGAACCCCACGAGACTCTCCTGCGAATCCTTGTCCAAAACACTTTCGGTCCCACGCCCGCGACTTGAAGCTACACGAACTGACCGATTGTCCTCAGAATAGGCCGAATATACTTGTTCGGAAAAGCCTCCATGACTTCTCTGTTTTAATTCGCCTTCTGACTCCCTGTATTTACATCCGAACAGGGCGCTAACTTCTTCGTTTCTCATTCACCCCTTACATCCGCCCTTCCTGCATTAATTCCTTTCCCCCCCCTCCGCGTATTCATCGTGGCGTCAGAACACCCATTAATCATGGAAGGCCAAGCCGAAAACGACGAACTCTACCCTATCGCAGTGTTGATCGACGAGCTCAAGGTACCTGGCGTCCATCGGGCCGTTCCCCGCACTCCGGACGATGATGTGATATTGACTCCTTATCTCATCTAGCATGATGATGTTTTGCTCCGCTTAAATGCTATCCACAGACTCTCGACGATTGCTTTGGCTCTCGGTCCGGAAAGGACACGCGACGAGCTGATTCCCTTCCTTGACGGTGCGTCATTCCCCGCGAAACCGTCGAGGAACCCAAAAACAAAAAAAAACCAAACCAAAGCCAATGAACGTATTCTAACGTATTTGTTTGACAGAATCCATAGAGGATGAGGATGAAGTCTTGACTGCCCTCAGCGAAGAATTAGGTGGGTTTGTCGAATATGTCGGCGGTCCGGAGTACGCGCACGTTCTCCTCTCTCCTCTCGAAAACTTGGCTGCGATTGAAGAACCACTGGTTCGGGAAAAGGTGCGGAATTACAAGCTTCTACAAAGGCTTATTCACTCAACAAAGAACGAAGATGGAAATCTGACGAGCTTCTCTGTCTAGGCCGTAGAATCCCTGAACAAGATATGCGAGCAGTTGTCGCCAAGGCAGATCGAAGAGCACTTTATACCCCTGACCGTCCGCCTTTCAAAAGTAGACTGGTTTACTTCCAAGATATCTGCTACCGGCCTTTACTGCGCCCCGTATAAGTCCGCCTCCCCCGCGCATCAGCAAGCCATGCGTCAACAATTCGGACAGCTGGTTCATGATGATACACCGATGGTTCGACGTCAAGCGGCCAACAATCTTGCCAAGTTCGTGAAGGAGATGCAAACACCAGTTATTATAGAAGAAATGATTCCTCTTTTTCAATATCTTGCCAACGACGACCAGGATAGCGTCCGGTTGCTTACTGTCGAAATTCTGATCTCAATTGCTGAGGAGATCCCCAAGGAACAGCAGTCAAGTCACGGCGTTCTCCTTACATCGCTTCGGAGTTTGTTTGAGGATAAAAGCTGGAGAGTAAGATATATGGTCGCTGACAGATTCGAGAAGGTAGTTCGAGTCCCTATTGCGTAATATATACCATATAGCTAACAGTCCTCGTAGATTGCGAAAGCTGTCGATGATCAAGTTGTGAATCGTGATTTAGTCCCAGCATTTGTTAAGCTCCTAAAAGATACAGAAGCCGAAGTTCGAACAGCAATAGCAGGACAAATTCCTGGTATACACCCTCAACACGAGAAATATATGCGATATGCGATGTCTAACTTGTCCTTAGGTTTTTGCTCTCTGCTTGATCGTGAGACACTTTTAAATGAGATCATGACAAGCATAGAAGACCTTGTCTCCGACCAGTCTCAGCATGTTCGTGCAGCATTGGGTACGCAGATCAGTGGATTGGCTCCAATCCTCGGCAAGGAAGAGTATGCCTCCATTTTTTCTGCCTCAAATTTTCATTCCCATATGTCTAACCGACCGGATAGGACTATCTCTCATTTGCTTCCTATGTTTTTGCAAATGCTAAAGGATGATTTCCCCGACGTCCGACTCCACATCATATCAAAATTGGAGTTAGTTAACAAAGGTAAGTCACTCCCAGGTGCCAAAACAATTGAATATTGTAATTAATGGGTGGGCGATAGTCATTGGTATTGAATTGCTTTCTCAATCCCTTCTGCCTGCAATCGTTCAGTTGGCTGAGGACAAACAATGGCGTGTGCGTTTGGCGATTATCGAATACATTCCCTTGCTGGCCAGCCAGCTTGGCGTTAAATTTTTCGATGAACAACTTAACAGTCTCTGCCTTGGCTGGCTCGGTGACTCTGTGTTCTCGATTCGAGAAGCTGCAACTCAGAACCTCAAAAAACTGACAGAGCTCTTCGGAGTTGACTGGGCAAATGACTCGATCATCCCTAAGGTTGTTGCTATGGGTCAGCATCCGAATTATTTGTACCGAATGACGACCTGTTTTGCCATTAGTGTAAGTGAAAGAAGATTCTGGACTCTGCTTTTACCTCGCTAACCTATTGTCCAGACCCTTGCGCCAGTCATCACTCTCAAAATGATTGAAGGCTCAATCCTGCCAATCTTGGACCGACTCTCCAAAGACGATATTCCAAATATCAGGTTTAACGTAGCAAAGTCGTATGCAGTGCTAATCGACATTCTCCAGCGACTACCGGAAGACGGCACTATTAGCGAACTCGAAAAATCCGATCAGGCAAAAAGCCCGTCTCCACGAAATCAATCCATCATTCAACATCAGATCCTTCCCCACCTCGAACAACTTAAGCAGGATGAGGACGTAGATGTGCGATACTTTGCCACTACAGCAGCAGGGAATTACGGAGAAGCCATGCAAACGTCTCCATGATCACTTGCTCGTCTATTTCCTTTTTTTCTCATTGGTAGATCCTGGTCTTGGAAATCGATCCTATCGGAGAGAGATCGGGCCCATCATTTAGACACAGGTGTGACCTTGTCAGATTAGAGACGTAACTATTTGCATAGGCAGCTCTTCATCTCTATATTGGCCCTGGACCTTCATGCTTTCAAAACAGCCGTCTGTAGGGAGCGCTGTGGGGATAGTGAATCTGCACATAATTAGCTGCGTTGCCATCTTCGAGCTGGCACCGGATTGCTTAATAATAAAAACTTGGGCCAAAGGCGTGGAAATTTTTTTAAAGTCCCTATCCATCATAATTACATTATTTCTAGACTTAAAAAAGTGCAAGTCGAGGCGCACAATTCTTTCTTTTGAGCAATACCTTCATTTTGCATTTTTTTTCTGTCCTTTTCTTTTTCGGTGCGATATCGCCTGGGTTCGCAGTTCAGGGTGCGCTGTGTAAATCTATCACAAAACTTGCCTGACTAGACGAGCGACAAGGTTGCCCCAGCTCCAGATACCCAGATTTTGTTGCTTGATTGTCTCGCATACTTTCTATTCGCAGGGTTGGCAGGAGATTAGAGGAGACGAAAGAAAAAAGAGAAGGAGAAGGGGGGTGGGGAGAAATGCAATCTTCTTTCTGGCCATATCGGTTTGTTTCCCTGTCGCAGTCTCAAAGCCAGGAACGGCGGGAGATCCTCGATCATCGTGGCATCATTGCTCAAGTTTCTGCGTTGATTGTGCTGGTGGGTGTAAGTCTGTATAGACGCGCGGTGTTGGAGAGTACTTCGGGTACCTCTCGCGGGAAGAAAGGGGAGAAAGCTTGGCTTGATCGTCCTCCTTTCAAAGGATGGAGGGAGACAAGGAGGCAGTGTCTGCTTACGATCGTATGGGCGGTTTGGCTTGTGGGATTGTCTTCATGGCGGACTGGTGATGGTAGGTTTGATTGTTTATGGATCTTGTGTTGTTTTTGGCGGTCATTTGGATGGTTCTCATGCCATCCATATAATTTCCCTATTATTCATGGGATTGTCTCATGGCGACACTGCGGATGAACATTGAATCATCAATAACCTCTGGAGAAAGAAACTACCCTGATGATATGAAATCAGTATTTAACCAATATCCCTATGGGTTTCATTAGACTATCTTCACCTCACTAAGTCCCTCGCACACACCACCATGGCCACGGTTCCCCTACAAATAATCCTCTCACCTAAGCTCTCAACTCGCACCAATCCTCTACTTCGCCTCTTGGGACTCCCGCAATCCATCCTGACCCCCTACCACCGACTCTACGGCCGTATTGTGTTGTTTCCACTCCTAACCTCCCATGCCTTACTCTATACGGCCTTCTTCATTCTTCAGTCGCTGTTTTCCAAACGTATCAATGATGCAGATGTGCAATGGGGTGTGACTGGGATTTTTCTGGCTTGGATCATTTGGTCTATGAGTTCTGGAGGGAAGAGCTTCACAAAACGGCAGTTTTATGTTGGCCATGTGGTGATGGTTATGGGTTTGTTGGCCGTGGCGTATTTTCATGTTATATATGTGAGGAGGTATGTTCTTGAGGCGGTGGGCATTTATGTGCTGGATGTGAGTTGGTATGCGATTGGAAAAGCTTGGAGTGGAAGCAAAAGTTACTGAAGAATAATACCGGCTTTATCTTTTTAATAAAAAAAGGTCAACTAGACAGAGAGTACCAAGCGGCCCAAGATGTGAAAATAGAAAACTCGTTAACTATTTAACCAGTATCTCAAAGCTAAAGCGAAGGCTAAATCAGTCAGCTCAGATTGCTCGGATGATTGTTTACCCAGGACCAATCTCGCTCCGAAATGGATCACGACAAGATATTGTATGTGCTGTACATCAAGCAAGTATGATTGCATGTTTTGGTGATATTTTGAGAAAGTCAAATAAATTATTTAAGAAAATCTGGCTGTTGTGCTGCGCCAAAGGGCTAATATCAGTTTCCTTTCCTATAAGATAGAAGAAACAAAAGAAGGGTCAGAAGAGAAATTATCTTCAAGACTGGCAAATGGTCACGTCTCGTCAACCCTCCTCCCTCTGAAGGTTTCGTAATGCGCTGTCAAGAAATTCGCAATGGTGCTTATGAAGCCTCTCGAGCTGCTCCGCGGGATTCTGTAAAACGCCAGTATAAGTACGTGACTCGAAGGATATTCGCAAAGGCATTGGCCGTAAGACACACCCATTCGTCCTGTTGCGGGACACCTTTGGCGCCCCGTAAACCCTCCGTGCCATCTTTGGATCCTTTGAGGTACCGCCTCCGGATAGGTGCGGGAGTTACTGGAAGACTTGGGCGCTCAGCTTCAGTTGGAAAATCGGTTACTCGCAAACTAGGTCTCCTTCCGCTAGATTCTGCCCCCGAAATCACTTGAACGCTGCCCTTTCGAGATCCCTGAAAAGACCGCATGTACTGCTCAATCTCAGGTATCTCATCCCAGGCATTCGTTTGGTTGTATGTATCCCACGGGTTTGTTGGGACTCTGCCGGTGCCTTCTAACGGCCCACCTTTAGCTTTTCCCAATAGAGTAGCTCTTGGGTGAGGTGCTTCATTATCTTGCACCTCATCAGAGAACACCCGAGTGGGGACCGGAGCCTGGCTTTCCCAAGGAAAAATCCGAGCTAAAGCTTCCGACACGGGCGGCTTCGGTGGAACCTCGTAATACATATGTTTCGGGACCTTCGGATATGACTTGGGTGGACGGAATAATTGTGTGCTATTGGACATTGCATACGTCTGAGTTGGAAAATTCGCAGCTTCAGGTCTTGAGTCAAGGGGCGGCGGTGCGCTGAAACAAATCTTTAGATAACGATATTAATTCAGATAAACCGGAGCACCTACCGTGCGGCATCCCAGATCATCATTGGAGGAGAGACAGCACGCAATGGTTGAGTGCTGGCATTGTTTGCGGTTTCTTTTGCTTCCACAGATACAAATCTGGGCAGGCCACTCCCATCCACAGTAGGTGCAGGTTCTGTCGGCGGCAATGAAGTTTGATGAAGCGGAACAGGGCGATGCACAGTACTCCGAGGCGTCAGTATGCCGATATCAGTATAGGACCCAGCCAGTTTAGTGGATGGCTGGTCCACAGGAGGCATTTGCGGCCGGTGAACAGAGACATCCTCCTCACCATACACATATTGTGGAACAACACTTAAGGCAGGTTCAGGTATCATAAAAGAAGGCGCATGGATTTTTTGGGACCGCGCAGATGGCTGGTCCACAAGAGATATTCGGGGGCGGTGAACCAAAATGTTCTCCTCGCCATGGACATACTGTGGAACAATACTTTGAACAAGATCAGATGCTGTAAAGGAAGCTCTAATGCTGTTTTGGGATGGGCCATTCTGGGACCTGGTAGACAGCTGGTCTGTGGGAGGCATTTGGGGACGGTGGACAGAAATATTCTCCTCACCACATGCATGTTGTGGAACAGCACTTAAAGCAGGTTCGGATGGTGCTGGGGTTTCACGACTAGGGTAAGACTCAACAGGCTGAGCAGATGGCTTGCTCACAGGAAGCATTTGAGGGTGATGGATAGAAGCGCTCTCCTCACGCCGCATAGTTTGCGGAATGACATTTGAGGCAGGCTCAAATTTTGCAAAGGGGATTTCATGGCCAGCACGGCATAAGTCCCCACCTTCAGGACCAAATGTGAGATCAGGTGCCGGTGCGGATCTGGGTATCGAAAAAGTAGGAATCTGAGCATTCTGGGCTTCCAGTGATCTCATCGATTCTGTAGTGATCTCCGAAGGGCAAATCTCGGAGGCAGTTGCCGATTTCAGACCAGCGCTTCCAAAAGATGCGATAGAGCCGCTGTCTGGGGGGCTGAAAGGTTCTGTAATCACTGTTGAAGCGTGCTGGCTCAAGCCATGCTCAGTCGAGAGATAGCCAGGTTGTATCGACGCAGGTATAGTCTAGCAATCAATTGAGTTAGGTATTTAACTACTATACTATTCTTGGATAACTTTCATACCATTGGAGGTGCTGGTCGGTAATGGCGATCGTATACTGCCCACCATCGTGCAAGCAGCTGATTATAGGGGCCTTCGACAGGGAAAGTCTGCCTCGGGAGGCTCCATGGCTTTTTCTGTCCGATATAATGTACAAGACTAATACTACTTTGAAAATGCCGAAACGCAGGGATATATTGATAATGCCCACTGGGCGTGCAGTTGTACGCGAAGCTCAGTCTATCCCAATTTCTAAAATGCATATTCAAAAGACCTTGGTCGGCGCCATCGAAACTGATCCCTCGCTGCGCAAATGCGACGAGGGAGTAGTATGTCTGTAGGCTTGGGCGAAGGACGAGGACCCCGGAATTAAAACAGTCCGGCCATCCGATATCTGGAACGGCAGCGAACTGGGTATCAAGTGTGAGCAGTTCATCTGGGGCTCTGAGGGCCACGACATCTGCGTCAATATAGACTATCTGTCTATATTGAATCTGTCTCCAAAGCTCTATCTTCGTGAATGTGGATATCAAATCGGGTCTGTCCATCAAGTACAAGTTGGCTGGACATATGTTGACCACCCGGCTAACCGGGATTACTTCATCGTAAAGGGACTAAAGCAATGCTTTAATTACCATTCTTCATTCACTGGAACGAGTGTTACTCTGTATATCCAATGCGCACCTTGAGCTCCTCGATAGTTGAGGCTTGCAAGCTATCCGGGGTGACAAGCACCACGATCTTCGCCCGTGTGCCATTATCCCTCAACGAATGGGCCAGGACCATGGCGCCTAGCGCTTATTAGCAAGAGTACAGTTATAGAGCGGTTTAGCTGGGAGTATACCGACCTGGAAGATAATTGTCACTCATTAAGAGCTGGAAGAAATTAGCAAAGATGACAACCCCGCGCAGAACTCCTCTCGCACTCACCGTACAGTATACAGCCTCCCTGGTATCTGCCATGTTGGACAATCATATCCAGCCTTGCTTGGGCCTTCCTAGCTGACAATAAACCTCAAGTCCAGCTCCAGGAAGCCTGGAGCATGAAAGAAGCTACCCGGGGCATTTACCGGGTGTTGTCAAGAGAGTTGCGCCCCTCAAGTCTGCGAAGGTTGAACAGGATAGGAACCGTGTGACATCAGCCTTCCCCTTGGTCAACCGTGAACCGAGTGACGTTCTTTTAACTTCCTGAAAACGCCGCCATCCCTCTGAATTGCAATCGTTCCTCGCACCAAAAAAAATAAAAAATAAAAAATAAAAAAATAAAAAAGACCCAAGGATCTGACTCCCGCTGTCTGGTATAAAATAAAAGATCCAAAGAAGCACGAATCAAAGCCCTGCTGGCCAAGAACGAAATTGAGACATGAGCAACTTTGAAATCCGGAGTGCCGTTCAGCGCCCTGGATAAAGTAGTTATGGGGTACCAACTGGTTACTCCGTACGGAGTAGTCGAGTTCTGAATCCGTGCAACTCACCCCTTTTTTCCCATCTCTTCAACTCTTCCTTACCAGCTTATATTGCTATCTATTCATTGGCCTTCTTATTAGATCACCGAGAGCCCTCCATCTACGTAGTACATAGATTGTAATCGGCACCTGAAAGATTCCCCCTTAGGAAGAGCGCTAATGAAACCGGGCTGGGGTTCAACTACATAAGCGCTCTTCTATTTTCAACCACCACCAGTTATAAATTACGAAGTGACACGATAAGCAGAGCCGGAACCAGTGCATTGAAATCACTTCACGAACGATCCTGAAGGTTAGATTCTGGCTGCTTGAATTTTAAAGTCGCAATAGTTGGGCGGAAATCCATAAGCATAGATCCCTTGGATCAATGTATTCTTTCTACCGTTGACGATGCGACGATATGTGCTAAGATTGGGGATCCCACTGTACTATCTACATAACGGTTGGCGAAGTCCGGCAAGCCAACGAATACAAGTAGACGTATAAATATGCCTTTTCATCCGGGGTACACTCCTAGCTCAACTTATCGGGGAGTATCACGATTCCATCTATCGGTAGAAGCCTCGTATATTCGAACTCGCCCTCAGGGAACCCCCCACGGGTTATCCACCTCGATTGACCAGATGTAACGATCCCCAACACTGCGGGACGGTACAGGCCTGTGGGTGTCGTAATATGCCACATTATGCCTTGAAAACTTCATAGCCACTTGGTTTGTGTTTCTCCCACACACCCCCAGTCCTCCCTAAGCGTGTGTATTCCGCATTTGACAAATGTAGCAACCGGGAAAAGACTGTAGACTTTCGAAAAGCCGATGAGGTTCATTGGCCTAGTCGAATAAAAGGAGAATAGCATATACTTGACGGGAGAATCAAAGGTCAACGAAAAGATACTTTCACTATACCTTCTCCTCCCTTATAGGTGTATATTTTGCGTCGAGTGTGACAACCATTCTTTATAAGAGGGAAAGCTCTGAAAGGTTGTTTCTCGTACCCTTCAGCATCAAGGAACTCTTCCAAGGGCCTTGGGTCCGAGCCAGATCCTACGATTATATCCGTATCGGTTTCCAATTCGTGCACCGCATCGAAGAACGGGATGGCAAACACGCGCGAGATAATGGCCTTGGAGAGTGCCACGGTTTAACGGAGACCACGAAGGTTCTTCAGAAAGCGCGATAAACGGCGATAGATATTCCCTTACGGCATATCCGGAGCCCCTTCCCTTAATTCTATCAATGAGTTGATTATCAATCTAGAATAATGGTTGGCCCGGAAGTCAGATCTCGCCCCCCGGTTTCTGAAACCAGACCCAAGGCAGGGAGTATTGGCTCCAGCTATGCGTGTTCAACCCTTATGCAATGGTTCAAGGGATCAGAGTACTGACTATTGCAAGTGATCCAAGTAATATCCCAATGTGGTTTGGCTGATGTGACCTTGGGAAGTGTCGTTGTTGGTATTGGTACGGTTGTGACACCTGATAAGGTATAATGCCTCTATTTGCTTCTCGACTCGACCTGAGAAAACGCCATCAAGTTAAGAAGCAAGAGAACCATGTACATTGAGGACCTCAGGCGTGCTGAACCAAGTAGGGTACAGGTGATCAGAAAGCACCGGTTAAAAGCGCGCGAGGCTCCTTTCCCTACAACCTGCTTGGCCGACTCAAGGACAAGCGTACAATTTGCTCAAGGATATAAAGAAAATTTGCAGAGAATACACCTGTCAAGGGACAAACTGCTAGCTTTGCGCCATTCATAATTGCAGGAAACAATCTGATTGAAATGCGAAGGGTCCACTAGCATGCTGCGCATCATCAGGACGGATAAGCTGCAAAGAAAACGTCCACCTATCGGCTTATTTTCGGACTACGGCTTTGGCATCGGGATATTTAGAACGCACGAATGTTTCCAAATCACCCTTCTCGCCACGAACGGCCCATTCGATCACTTTCTCGAGAGCCACCCTACTTTCAACTTCGACTTGCGGAAAGTGACCAGTTCTGGGAAGCACAATCACTTGACTTCCGTGGACAAGATAGTCCGCGATCCCTTCCAGTGCAAGATGAGAGTCGAGGGCAACATCCGATTGGCCCCATAAAACTGTTGCATTGGCTTTTAGTGAGCCATTCGTAATATCAAACATGCCCGTTCCGCTACTAGTTCGTCGTGGTCCGTCCGGCCATATATTGAATACAGACGAGATCGTTTCCAGTGACTTGTGCCAGACTCCGTCGGCCGCCCCATGGCGATAATATGACACTATAGCGCCAAAATTCCCAGATTTATCGCGCTCAAGTACTGATGGGGGGTATTTTTCTCCTTCATTTGTCATACTTTCACATTCCAGTACCCCGGGGCCGAGGGTACTCGCCATTGACTCTTGGGCGTCTCGAAGCGTGAACTTGCCGGCTACACCGACAGATAATCGGTGGATTGCTTTCAGAAAGGAATAGTTTCCGCCGGTTCCCATATATCTGACAAGAGGCATGGGTAACTGGAAGGCAAAGATGTATCCAGAACACCAAAACTGGTGGATCACGGGTTTCAATGTTTGCACTGATTTCAACAAAAGTGACCTGGAGTGCCACGGCTCTCGTAGGAACATTTTGAACATTTTGGATGAAGATTCAGTCAGGAGGCGTACGTTAGATCTCACCAAGGCCATCTACATTAGTGAGTTAGTCGTCAGGGCTTTTGTGTTAGGCAATATATCATATCTTACCAAAGGCCCATTGACAATGATGAATCTGTCGGCCACCTGTGGAGCTTCAGCAGCTAGACGAAAAGCCAGCAGACCACCCCAGTCGTGCGCAACGATAAACACCTTTCTTGAACGGTGCTCATTGTCAGGACTATCCACGCCGCACTCTTCTCGGAGCGAGATAATAAACTCTGTCAAAGCCTCCAGAACTTCAGTGGCTCCATACTTCTTTAACGAGTCACTTCCGCCGTATCCTGGAAGGTCAACTGCAACTACTGTGCTTGATTCGCGGATCGAGAAAGAAGCGAGGACGTGTCGCCAAATGGCCCAGCTATCGGGGAAACCATGTAAGAAAATAACAAGTGGCTTGTCGGATTTTTGACGTCCAGCTGTTCCCGGCTCATCGCTCGTGATGTAGTGAAATTTAAACCCTGTCCTCAGGGTGAGGAATCGGTGAAAGAGACCCGCCCATGGCTTCGAGAGGTTCCAGAATCGATCTCTTGCTGTGCTCAATGTCTGTTAGCACATGTCGGAACAAATGGCATCAAACATATATGGAGGGATGTAAGAGCCCTCCGCAACCTACCCAATACCAGCTCTAGGTTCTCCTTTTCAGTCTGTCTGTGAAAGAACGTTCCTTTGCAAATAGCAGTAATCCCATACAATATGAAAGTAAACACCCCATAAGCTAACACCAGAAACAGGCCCAAATACCCCAGAATGGACATTTTGATTGTCAGCAGAGCACAGGCTACAACTCAGCAAAACGCAGGCCTTGGGTATTGATATTTGCTTGTAAGAGCATCCGTCCCCGACTTCATAGTTGAAACAACAACAGGCGACAAACTGATCTTTGATCACCAGTGTCAATTCACATGCTCACCTCTTTTGCAAGAAACAGGCAGGCTTCTGGGATTGGCCAGCCTTTAAGTAACGCCCATACTAGCAAATGAGAGGGATTATTGAGTCGCTCCTCGCTTCCTTTCGACGTTGGTCGGATAATCCACTTTTGCCTCCAAGCAAGGGCGTTTTCCATCGCTCGTGCTAGGATGAATAATAGAGTCCGCAACCTTGCTACAGCAATCCAAGCTGGGCCTTTCTTTTTTGCCTTGGCCAAGATGCGATGCTGATGTCATGCCCTAACGTTCTTAAAACGCTCATGGGCCAGTTGGCCATCTGTGGACGACGATCAGCACATCGAAAGTTTAATTGATGGCTCACGAAGGATTCTGCGCTCCGCGCCGAATCCCGCCAACAGTATGATGTCGAAGGGTTATTTATTGTGTGGCATACTCTGTGCATATGAATGCAAACTGCTGGTAGTGTCTTGATGAAATATACCCATTCGACATCCCCCTGCCTCCTAGGCCAATTCAAATGTGTGTATATATTCAACATTAAGACCATTACTGACATGCCCCTGCTCCATATGAAATATGAGTCCTTGCAGTATAATACATTCAACCAGAAGGAAAAATCGAAGGATCATACGCCGGCGCACGTTATCCCAAATGCTGTTCTATCGCCATGCATGGATGCAGCGCATAGCGCCACTCCGTATGCGGCATAACCGATTCGTAATTAGGATGAGCCGAATGAAAATCCTATCTTTTCCCGATTATCATCGACAATTCGTCCGTACCTAGTAAAAGTCAATCTCACTGAACCCAAACGAGAACATAAGTGGAAGGGGACCAATGCTCACTCTAACAACAGGCGGAAAAACCAAACCTCAAGAGCATCGTTTTTCAATGCTTTCTTGGCCCAACTGCTACTTCCTTGAGCAATAAACTTGGCGTGACGTTGTCCCTCTTCTTCGGAAGCAAAATATCGTATGGCCTCAATGTGCTCGTTACCCCTGAGACTCAATGGAACATAATGAACCCAGGGTTGGATCCACTCTGTGTGCCATTCGCGGAAAACTGCAAGTTTATAGACCAAGCTATTGCTTTTTAGTAAAGCATAGAACCGCCCGCTGAAGGCATTCCCATCAACATCAGCAAGATACTTGAAACGCCAGGCTTCATGCTGGCTGTCTGGCTTTACGATGTTAAAATAGTGCGACTGTGCGTTGCAATCCTCCGGGTCACACTGGCCCACATGACTGAAGCTCACGTTGAGCAGATGTGTGAAGGTGTTTTGTTTGACCGTGTGCATAGTCCAGTTTCCTTCTTTGTTCTCAAGAACTTTCACATCATCTACGGCGTTGATATTCTTTACGAATAACTGCCGATGTTGCCTCCGCCAGCCTCCGGCTCGAGAAAATCCTCCCGTGGTGGAACCACGCCAGTAAACTTGGCCTTTTTTGTTATCCCAACTGACATCAAGTTTCGGGTCGTAAGTTACCTTTCCAGACCAGTACCATGGACTTGGATAGAGGATATCTTGAAAGCTTGATACTTTGCTTTCAGAAAAAATGGGAAACAGATCACGGACAACGCTCATGGCGTTCGGCCGCTCGAACATTCCAAAAGCATATCTTAGAGACGGGGAGAGACAGATGTCTGAGAAAGCAGTGGTGTTGTAGATGAAACCCAAATCACCAGACAGGTATGCCTCAATTTTATCTCGCGCGTTCTCATTTAGATCCCTAACTGGTGTGTCGATAGGACATGAGCTGCGCGATGTCGTCCAAGTCGCCTGGTGGGCGAACCAATTGAACCTTGTAGTTTTTGTCTCGTTGATTCTATCGCCCTTGTTGAGATCGGTAGGGCTCGTCCAGGAGTTGTCCACCGGGTGCTTGGCGACCTTTGGAATGACCGTATCCAGCGCATTGGATACCAGTCGTTGGAGATCGTCGCTCGGTAAAACCACCCGGGGCTCGTCGTGGGTGTTGAAGGCCAAATCCATGTTTGGAAGGTATCGTATGAATCGTTGCATCATTCCAGTCAATGCATCTCGCTTCCATTGCTGGGAGTTTCCTCCGCCATCAACCAGACTGATCTTTCCGTCCCTGATCAAAACTCCGATGAGAGCATTGTCGAACCCAAGAGATTCTTTGACTCTATCCCGTATCGTTTTTGGCTGTAAACTCCAAAAGGGAAGTAGGGAGTGATAAATTGTGTCGTATTCATCGATCAGCTCAACCCCTTTTGATTGTGCAAACTCGAACCAAACGTCAAAGTTTGGCGGTGGTGATAGCTTGTATCGGCGCCGATACTCTTCAACAGCCTCCTTGAGTGTCTTCGATTGTCGCGACCTGACACCATCCCACGACGATTTGGATTGGTTGATCAGCCGGGCAATTGGATGCGTCTTTTTATCAGCTGGGGAGGGAGGGCTTGCGGGTCGCAGCGGCTCATCGTGCTTGGGCGTACTGCCGGATGCCGGTATAACGGGCGCAGCGGATTTCGTGCGTATCAACGAAAGGGAAATCCAGACAAGGACAGCAAGTCCCAGGAGAGCTAGGACTCGGTGGAATCGCATTCCCAACGCTGCCTGTGAATAGAAGGTAGACGACCCCATATAGTGTCAGGCTGTGACACACTCATTCGGATTGAGCTTGCGAGAGAGTAGTGCTGCGGTCTCACCTCCAGGGAACCTTTTCTGTTCATGGGTTGAAACCACTCCGTACCCATGCGGCAGCTGTGATGCTGAGTTATCTAACTAAACCAACCACGTGGACGCGCGTCGCCTGAATCTGACCGAGAGAAACGGGCCTCACCCGCAAGTGGTTTGAGACAAAAGTGTTAACTATTCAGGGAATTAAAGATTGCCTGCTTAATAAGGAGGACATGGAAAACCCCAAGATACAAAGGAGAATTCGCAAATATCCAAGCCTTGTCTGGAAGCACGCGAATTAAGGTTTGGGAGACTCGTTAACCGCGCCAAACCAATCAAGAGCCGCTCAGAGAATCGCCAAGGGCGGGAGTCTGAGATCCCAAGGCATTCAACGAACGTTGCTCCAGTGCGATGCGATTTGCAACAGCTCTTTTGAGTTTCAATGTTAGAGAGCCTGCGGCTCCTTTTCCCCACGGATATGCCTCCCACCTTTTCTATTAATATCAATTGGGCTGGACTCTCCGTAAAAGCAGAGGACGCTCTGGGGCGGCAGAACTCTCCGCGAGCCGTGCATGGACAAAGCACGTCGGGAAACTCCATGCGTGAAATGAAGTGACGTATGGCGTAACTTCGATCAATTCCTCGAAGCCCTTGAAGATGCTCTTGAGGAATGAATTTTTTATTTTTATTTTTATTTTTTTTTTCATGGGCATATGCTACCTTAGACATGGCATCATCTCTCTAGAACCTATGATCAAGCTGATTGTATGTATGAATGTTTATCGGAAAGTGTGTGAAAGACAGGTGCAGCATCGCGTTCTTATTGTTTCTCAATACGTTCGGCAGCCCGGTCGGACTACTCGACCTGTTTAACCCATGATCATCTCGCGGTGTATGTATTGTATGAACTGCATTCGGAGTACATTCGTTGGTGCCCTCGACTCACCGTTGCGTTGCTCACGTCAACCGCAATCCCTGCAGGTCGTTTACAGCAACAAGACTGGAAATGATTCTCAAGAAATGAATCCTTGGTCCTCCGCAGATGGATCTTGGATAGAGAAGTGGGAATACTTGCAGCCATCTAGGAGGCGAAGAGTCAATATCAGCCCTATGAATTCTCCACTGAGCGGGAAGTGTGCTGGACTGCATTCCTTAACCAAAACCTCCGCAATTTCCCTTTAACCTTGCTGCTCCTTGGGTTTCAGAAGAAAGCTTTGCGGACTTCCAAGAGCAAAGGAAGGCATGTTCCTGCAACACTGACTTAAGATCCCGTTGGAAGCTTTCGGACGCTTTGCGCCCAGCGGGGTTGGGCATCCAACAACAGCCCATCAAGCCCACGAATGAAGATTCAGGGATTCACCAAAGCCATCCGGCGGAAAATCCAGCCCAGCATTCCCGTCATTGGAAGCCAGTTGTTGGTGGTGGTGGTGGTGTGAACACTGAAAATTTAGAATTTACTAGTCGGGATGACGTGCTTTTAGCGCGGATTGCGTGCTCAACCTTAACCCCCACAAAAATGGGCGATATCATACAAAAGCCCCCCGGGGCCCTGAAAACACGAGGACTTTCATCCTCCATGCAAATTGCGGAAGAATTTTTCAAGAAAACGACCCTTCATTTCATGCCTGAGCGGAGTGTTTCCTACACCCTAAAAATGAACGAAGGAGAACAAATTCAGTCGGTGCACAAACTATCAATTCATCGAAGGAAGATGCATCTTGCTGAACAACACGGCTACATATGGTATCAAAGAACACTTCAGAATACAGCTGAGTACTAACGTGACCCGTCCCGTCGAGAGGGGCATATCTGGGGCACTTTAGCCGCGAATCCGCCTCAAAGTTTCTGTCCTCCTCGAGAGAAGAAAGTGCACTGTTTGATATGGCGCGACTTGCCTGTCCGCTCATCAAAGAGAGAACATCCAAAATGCGCTGCGTTCGGCGGGGTATAAACTATATCTCGTTAGACCAAAGCACTGGTATAGCAACCGATGGCGATTCGAGACTTACGGTGGAGTGAGATGGCATATTCATTTGGATCAGGGTTGGTAATCTTGTGCAGGCCAAGCTAACCGGGAGTGAGCACTTGTTTCACTGGAGCAAGCTCACTACACTTACCTTGTCAGACATGTAGGTGACTTGGTTCTCACCGTACACCCTCTCTCTGGTTACCTTCATGGGAGCGGCCTCGCCGGCGTCCGTCTTCTCCTGATCCGGCCAATCATACAGCGTTTCCTTTAGGGATCCTTTCAATATCTACGATTGGATCCATCAATTGATGCTCGATGACCGTCGCTGATGCTATCCTGTCTTACCTTCATGACACAATGTGCGTTTGCATGGTCGTGGATCGGGCTACTCCGTCCCGGAGACCACACGAGGATGAGCTTTACCGTACATTAGTCATGTCTTCGAGTCGGATGAGAGGGAGTGCTTACTAGGTTACTCTTTCCATTGCCTTCGTCGACGAGATTTCTGGTATAGGCTCTGCTCGGGTCCGCCAAGGCATAGTGCAACCACTCGCTATGGTTGGAGGTGTACCCTTCCATCAGTCGTTGGATGTCCATGGGATCTACATCGTCTGAGTCGAGCCCCGAGCTTGGTCCAAGGACGTCGCTGAGATCTTGGACCAATTTGTGGAAGGGATCGGATGGGAATTTGTTGACGACAGGTGTCATCTCTGGGGACTCGTTGTCGAGGAACGGCATTGTGAAGTGGGGTTCGGGAGACTGATGGACTGGACGAAGATGACTTTAGGTGATTAGGTGTCGTGTGTGGTTACCAAGATCGAATGATCCTGTCAGGATAACAATACGTGAGGTTAAGAAATATGAATTGGGAGAAAGGTGGTGCTTTTGAGGATATGGCCGTTGATTTCAAAAGGGACGAGGTTGGGGGAGATTGGGTGGTTCTGTGGAGGAAGATCGGGGTTGGGCGGAGGAAGTGCAACACTTGGCTAGAACAATTACATAGTCAACTCGCTGCCACGAGACCGCGCAGCTGCCATTCTTTATTACTATGACCAACTTTTATCCGCCTCGCCGGGTACCTTTATCGCCGATTACGTAACGGTTTGCTCAGTGGCATCCGTTTCTCGCGACTTGGCGACTCACTACTACCCTGGTGGCCGCCAAGCCACTGCGAAGAATCCGCGGTTCGGAATTTGCATGTTAAGCCCTTTGGAACAATACTCTTGCCCCAAAATAGTAGTACTTATTGGTTTGTGTGTCTCAATTGTCATGGTTTTGGGTCGTGTTGTGGGTGATTCGGCATCCAAAAATTTGACCAGCGAGTTTATCTGCCGGCGGCGCGCTAGTGAGCTTGTTAGTCAGCCTCTATGGAAGAAATGTTATTCCGATATCAAACCTTGTTCAATTTGTTATCAACATCAAACCCCACAAAGGCCGTAGGCTCTCAGAGCGTCGGCGGTCCCAAATCCAGCTGTTGATTGCTGTCTCAACTAACTAGCATCGGAAGAAAAACGAGGCGCTGAGAGACCGCTAATCCTTCTTACATTTAATTTGCACTTTCTTATCTCCAATCTCCCATCCGGCTAACACCCAAAACCGAGCAGTCATGGCGACTACCGTGGACAAGGTTTGCGCGCCCTCGTTTTCTGCAGGCGATGTTACCGTCGAGCGACGATGCTAACAGATTGAGAATGTATAGATCAAGGAGATCGAGGCCGAAGTTAGACTACCTTATCCCGCTTCACTTCCGTGAATCGCTAATCTGACCCTCTCGCAGATGGCGCGAACTCAGAAGAACAAAGCTACATCCTTTCACTTGGGTATGTCCCGGAAATTGGCATAACGGCCGCTCAACTCATAGGTCGGGCGATTGGGCGCTGACAATACTTGCTACGTAGGACAGTTAAAGGCTAAGCTTGCCAAATTAAAAAGAGAACTGCTCACACCGAGCGGGGGTGGTGGTGGCGGCGGAGGTGCGTGATATGATCGTATGACTTTTCGGCAAAGGCCGCGTTTGACACTCTGATTGTAGCCGGTTTCGATGTTGCCCGTACCGGTGTAGCAAGCGTGTAAGTTTTGGACCCTCGTCTAGCGCAGGGATGAGCTCTAGCTCACCTCCTTGTAGTGGTTTCATTGGCTTCCCGTCTGTCGGCAAAAGTACCCTGATGAGCAAGTTGACTGGTCAACACTCTGAAGGTATGTTGACTTTACTCATATTCTACATCATGGAATGTCGCTTACGTTGCATTTTACAGCCGCCGCTTACGAATTCACAACCCTGACGACGGTTCCCGGTCAGGTCCTATATAACGGTGCAAAGATCCAGATTCTCGATCTCCCCGGAATTATTCAGGGTGCAAAGGATGGTAAAGGACGAGGGCGGCAGGTTATTGCCGTTGCAAAGACATGTCACCTTATCTTTATCGTTCTTGACGTGAACAAACCTTTAACGGATAAAAGGATCATTGAAGCGGAATTGGAAGGCTTTGGTATCAGAATAAACAAGTCTCCACCAAACATTGTTTTCAAGAAGAAAGATAAAGGTGGAATTTCGATTACTAGCACGGTGCCCTTGACTCACATTGATCATGATGTAAGTCTGGACCGACCAATTATCGCTTGTGGGGTAGTGCTGACCGATAACAGGAAATAAAGGCTGTCATGAGCGAGTATCGAATTTCCTCCGCGGATATTGCCATTCGCTGCGATGCGACCATCGATGATCTAATAGACGTCCTTGAAGCTAAAAGTCGAAGCTATATTCCAGTCATATATGCCTTGAACAAAATTGACTCCATATCAATTGAGGAATTGGACTTGCTTTACCGCATCCCTAATGCATGCCCGATCAGTGCAGAGCACGGATGGAACGTCGATGAGCTTCTAGAGCAAATGTGGGAAAAGCTTAACCTCAAGCGGATCTACACGAAGCCCAAGGGCAAAGCTCCAGATTATACAGCACCTGTCGTCCTGAAATCCAACAATTGCACGGTGGAAGATTTTGTAAGAATCTTCCTTCCCCGGATGTAACGAGTCACTTTGCTAATCCTTTATTTTTACTGCAGTGCAATGCCATCCACAAATCTATAGTGGAGCAGTTCAAGCATGCCATCGTTTATGGTCGTTCTGTAAAGCATCAGCCGCAGAGAGTAGGGCTTAGCCACCAACTCGAAGATGAAGATATCAGTACGCCTACTACCCAATGTCCCCGAATCTCGAGTCAACTTCGCTATGCTAACCCGTACTATCAGTCACAATTATAAAGAGATAAGCATGGTTATGTAAACTAGTCTCTATGCGCCGGCCGTCTAAATACCCTTATCCCGAGGAGTGCTGGGAAAGACGGGGCCAATTCCTCGCGGAACCGATAGAAAGGAGGGATGATTCGTTCAGACGGAGGTAACCGCTTCGTTGACCGACTGGCGGCAGCAATGCGTCGACCCGAAAGGGCCTTCCGGTCGTTCAATACTCATGCCGTTAACCCGCTCAGATACTCTTCTATTGGACATGGCTGTGAGCTTGTATCCAAAAAGGAATTCGGATTATTGCATTGCACTTGCATGCAATGTACGGAAAACTGAATAACAGACTGTTCTGTGTCCAGATCAATCACGAGTCATTTTGTATGGTTTACGATTGCAGATAACACAAAAAATTCTTTTTTCTTGAAGCATCTGGTTTTGAGTTACTCTTGGCGACCTGCATCTTCCACGCTGGTCGGGTGCCTGAGATTGGCATTGCGAAGTGAGGCACTGTGTCCCGTTAAATACCCAAACAATTCATATCTCATATCAGGCTCCCAGCCACCTATGTTTCCTCAATGATGGTACCTACCAATTCTTTCAGTGTTCATCGATTGCAACCCCGTGAACAGTCTCCTCGAAATAAACTAATAAATGAAAGTACCAATCTTTTTTTTTTCAATTCTCGATTTTTTTTAAAGCTTCTATTGGATCCGAACCAATATCGATATCCTGCGAAACGAAAATAGCACAAGGGGAAAGGCGGAGAAAGGAAAGCGAAAAAAAAAAGAAAAGAAATAAAAAGAAAAGAAATAAAAAAAATTAGGGGGGGCGGTTAAATCTGCCGGGAAAAAAAAAAAAAAAAAGGAAAAGGAACTAGGAGTCGGGGCGAAGGGCTCTGGAAATACACGTATGGCGGGAACGAGAGATTTTGGTCTGAGGATTTTGGTCCTTGATCTGAAATTGCGGAATTATGCGTATGCCAGGTAACGTTGGCATATAATCAAGAGCCTCGGGAGCTCTCAGCGCGGAACAGAATCGTGGTATCATCCCGCGAACAGAACAAGGACCCAAAAAAGATTCCTCAGGTTATCGAAACAACTGGGTTCAACGGAAGCGCGGGATAGTACATCCATTATATACTTATACACTACAACAAAAACATAACAAAATATGTGAAACGGTGAAAGAGATATGGGGAGGTTTTTCTGAGATCCCCTTGAATCATTGATGGCACTCTGACGGATACGCCGCAGCTGCTATGGATAGAGAGGCTGGGGGGTGTTTATGAAATGTACATCCGATATTGGGCAGCTTGCAGCTCCTGCGGAGTTGGTTTTTTAACCGTCTTCTGGCCCTTTCGGTATTTTGCTGGTCTTGTTTGTTACACTACTGAAACAGGGTAGGACAGAAGTATTCAGCTTATGGTCTGTTGGGCTTTGTGAGCCATCGGATGTTTGAGACGGGGGCATTTTGTTTTCTGGCCTTTTGGGTATTTTGCTTTTTGCGGGTATTGGAGATCAGACGTGGATCAATAGCTTATGTCCATAAGGTACATGAGCCATAAGTATTCGAGGTTCTGTGCGGGATAATGAGTACATACATCTCTGCATGGCAGTGGGCGCTCAGGGGCGGGGTCCTTGAACGATACACATTGGGAGACTTGCATGAGTGAATGGTGGAAATGCAGAAAAAGCAATGGGACATCTGGACGAAACCATTTCTCAGGGACAGGCCCTTTAGGCCCTTTTGTCCCTCTTATTGACGCACAATGCTCTTGGGAGAAACGTCGCGCTACCTGCACTATGACAGCATTTGCAGTTCAGCGATGGCCACGGGCTAGGGTTCCCGTTCGGGGGTTGGGGTGATCCTTCGAAAGCCCTATTAACCTAGTGGACCCTTGGTGGGTATATCCTGAGCGGATTATGGTTGGGGTCGGACGATGAAACGCCTGGAGGGCTAACAGTCCGTATTCCATAGTTCTGCACTCAGACCAGAAGTTTAAAGGAAAGGACAAGAAGAATAATAATATGACCTCGCAAGGTGAATGACTCCTCCGGTGAAGAAGAGCAGAAATCGAGCTGTGCACGTTTTTTTAGAATTGTGTAACGAAACCTGTCCCAAAGCGCCGGGCCACTGTTTTCGTCCTTGCTTGACTTGAAAGGTGCTCAAGAACGGGGAAGATGGGTATGACAGATCCGCGATCATTCCATGGCCGTGTCCGGTCGACGTTAAAGGGCACGGGGTTCCAATCGCTGCCTGCGAGGTGTGAGCGGCTGCTAAAAGCAGAAGTCAGGACATGGGCAGAAATATGCACCCTACAAATCGCACCACCCAACAAGGATACGGAGTTGGGATGGACATCCAAGCAACAGGGAAACGGTGAAGAAACAATTGACGAGTCACAAAAGGCCGCTGCTCCAAGGAATACTACACTGTATGCGGACCCTGAAAGATGAAGGCAGGGTTTTCTTTTTGCACACGGCATTCTTCCATGCCTGGACAACGTCATCAGTTCAGGAGACCACGGCTGTCGTTACGATGAGCGACTCTCTCATGTAACTATCTGAGGGAATATCCATGTATTGCTTCGGAAGGACATTCTCTTTTTGTTGGTATTGGAAATGGGTCTTGAAACCGCAATGGTTATCCCAAGCCACAAACACGGTTGTCTGTATCGATGGGTGAAGGTCCAGTTACGCCCGCAAAGGGCCTCAAGAGCGGAGGCAAACCCGAAAATCATGCAGACTGAGTTGGCTCTAGCCCAGAAGCGGCCTGGGGCCTAGCGGAATCGGCGGATTCTCCGTCTGCCGATGCACGCTTATTCCTCGCTAGCGCCCACGGGTGAGAGACGGCGCTGTTCAGTGGAAAGAAAGGCGGCCGGGCGGCCAAGCCGCACGAGAACAACCCTTGCTCACGACATGGTGGTGGGGGGTGGGATGGAAGCAAAAGGTGTGCTTTTTTTTTTGAAAAAAAAACAAAAGGCAGGGCTTAGTGAATCTTTTCTAGCTTCTGGGCTCAGGGTTGTTAACTATCCCAGTGGATGCTTTTCTCTGCCCAGAAATTCTTCCCAGTAGTTACTCTGTACACACTTGGTACTCTATCACTGTCTGTAATAATCTTTTGCTGCGATTCACGTCGTGCGTGCTGGGCATACATAGCAAACGACAGATGTCCCCGAAACGTCGTCATCACAGCGGCTGCACGATGCTCGAACCAAAGTATGAACATCCGTACTCTGTCCATAACAGTGTTTGATCTTTCTGCATTTTTGGTTGGATAACCTCGGACCGGAAGTTATGCTGCCAAGAATGGGGATGTCGCCCGGCCGCATCAGGCTACTCCTCGCGGGCTCAAAAAAAAAAGGAGGAGTGCAGAATTTACAAGCTACAAGCAAAAGAGTCATGCGCCTAAGCGCGTCCAACCGCGGCTCCGGTATTGAGAGATGCATGAATGAAAATGACCAAATCCCAAAAACCACTCTTACAAACACACCTTTGTTTGTTGTCCTTTGCATGTCCCGTGTTTGTCGACAGTGGTTCCGATTGAGAAAAAAAAAAAAAGGGGCGAGGAGGTGGCCCAGAAATCCGCAAATCCCGGGGAAGGCTTCCGGACGTCCCCCTTTTCTCTCCGCGGGTTTCATCAAGATGCCCATCGCTCCGTCCTGAGGGTCTTGTTTGGATGGAGTATTCCGTGCCGCAAGCACAATTAGCAAATGTCTTGAGTGCTCCATTGATTCGAATACTCCTTGCGGAGTATATTACCTCTAGATATCAAGTCTTGCAAACTTAGTTGGGTGCATAATGACTTCGTCGGAGGGGCCATGGGTTGTTCACTAGCGGACTTCTGTGCTTAAGTTGGGGCCAGGGTTGATCCCGCGGATCCCCCATGGCTTTCCCCCACAGCTATCCACTAGTCGAGTTTATCTTTTTTTTCTTTTTTCTCTCTCTCTCTCTTCTCCTTCCGGTAGGAGGTGGAAAGGGGCATGTCATATCCTCGGGAGATGGAAAAAATAAAAGTGGCTCCCTTTGCGCACAACTACGAGAGGTTCAGGCGGCTTTAGTATTAGCAACAGAGGCTCCACGATGTATGGATGAATGGGCGACTGGATTTTGCATGACAGGGGATCCAATAAATTTGATTGAAACAGTGGGCGCATGAAGAGCCAGTCATTGCAAAGTCTCGCAGCAAATCGGAGAGAAAGGCATTTTGTCTTTCTTGAGACGTTTCGATCCCGGTAGGCTAGTTTCTTACAGGTCTAGGATTATAGTCACTCTAACTCCTGTCTTGGAGGAGGCAAAATACGGAGAGACTCTTCGAGAACGCCTGAAGAGCAAAGCCCGACGATGTTTTGAGACTTTCTATCATGTACCTCTACTCACTTAGGGAGGAAGTAGTCGGTACGACCAGGACATCCCGTTACATGGCTCGGCGCTTAAGACGGAGGAGAACCCCTCCCTCCCCAGGATAAAGCTTCGAGAAAGATTTTTTTTTCTTGACCACACGATAGGAAATGGGTGCTATCGAAGCGATTGGTTTACAACGACCCATCATGTGAGCAAGGAGAAACGAGGTGAGTCTTGAAAAACAGGCTTACCCGATCGGCCTACTGCGGTTGTCGCGGAGCGAAGAATCCAGATAAGCACCACGGGCAGCAAATGGAAAGGCTCGAAAATGGAGGCTTTCGCGGAATTCCCCCTCCCCTAACTCGAGGACGGAGCAAATCATCTTTTGAAGAGTTGAGGGCAGGCAACCTACATATGTAATCGTTATTTATGTCATTGTTCACATGGCACGCGGCGCAGGGCCTGAGGGAGCGGCAAGGACGCTGGAACCTGAGCACAGGATTGTGAGTGCGGGAGCGGAGATTGAAGAAGCGGTATGATATCAAGCCGCATGAGCCAGAACCTTGGCGGCCAAGAGGGCCAAATCGCTGTTGAAAAAGGAGGCTGAGCTGGAGAGAACGCCAGATGGTACGATCCTTGCCTTTCTCGACCCAGAAGAGCAAGGAGAGCGGCGTCGAAAATCGGCGTCAATCACTGCCCCTTTTCTCCCCGTTTCCCTTTGGTAGCGAGACTGCGGTTCCTTGCTCACCTTCGGGCGAATAAATTAAAACGATGGAGGAGCATGGCTGTTTCAACGACGGCAGCTCGCGTTCCTAATCATGGTGATGGCCGGCCCGGTCCCGCTGGCGTAGCTCGCCTAGCTTAGCTTCGTCCAGTCTCTCAGCGTGCGTTTAGTGAGGTACCCTCAATGGAGCTGGAACACGAGTCGATTCGAGCTGTCCGACGGCTGTAACCGTATCGAGATGGAGAGGAGAAACAACGCTGTATGCCAGTACCTCTGTACGTACAGTACAAACGTACGAAGTATGTATACACCTATACGTACTCCGTACAGCAGAATGGGACCTCGTACAGAAGGGCTTGATATTATGCGATACCCACCACTAATCCGACGCGGCGCGGTGGATTCTCGACCACGGCGAATTTCTAGTGGGTAAGGCTCAGCAGGGAGTTTCAGGCGTAGGCCAATCGCAGCGAGGAAGAGCTTTGAGTTTTCTGTAACTTTAACGGATGGAAAACGGCACGCAACCTCCGGAGATGCAACAGTGCATGGAGCGACGGCCATTCAAACGTTGGGCATGTGTGCTCTGAGGAGCTTCTTGATACGGCTGCCGACGACGATCTTGGACCAAGATCTACAGGCAAGCTTGACGAATGTCAGCGTTCCGAACGGGAGTATTTTTGAATTCGCGCTCTGGAGGCCCGTCTGCGCCTGGAGTCCGCACGCCATACATACCTCTCCATCAGCATATGGAGTTTTCGACAGTAATTACTTAAATGGCGGCGGCGATGGCGATGGTTATGACAGGCCGGAGGTGGGATTAGTCATTCCCGCAGCGGAAAGCGAATAATAGACGTTGCGCTTCATCTGCCTTCGCCTCGCCGTTGAGCCGTCATTTTTCTTCCGCTCACCACCCTCCACCCCCTTGAACAGGAAGACGTCAGTTCAGTCAAGCCACAAAACAGGAGCTAGTTGGTGAATGGGTTCATCGATCTCCCACGCTTGCTGAGATTACCGTTTTGCTCAAGTGATCGCGTTTTCACTCTGGACAATCACTTGTGGTCCATCTCCCGAGATCGACCATCCAATGCCTTGCTCAGGTTTCGTCAAACGGCCCTTAGCTGTCTTTTTCGCCCACTTCGCCCTCCACCCCGCTTATACTAATATCCACTGCGACCACAGTTCAAAGATCCCCACGTGAGAACCTCTGGGGAGCAAAAACTTAACTCGACCTAAAATGATGATTCCTCCGTCATGCCTGACATATGTATGCCCTATGCCAAAGGCCGTGCTGAACCCCACAGTGATGCGTGCCTTATTTTAAACTTTTCTTGTTTCCTTCCTGCTACTTCGTACAAGGCTCATCCTCTGACAGATCTTGGTCACAGCAACAACGCTGGGGATCCTGGCGACTCTGGGTGACTGGAACAATTCTCGCATTGCTCGATAATAGCAGCATTATACTCCATGACGGGAGCGTCGGGGGTGCCATGATGGATTCCCCCCAACAGATTCTGTGTGGCATGTTGAAGGCGAGATGCCATGCGTCTCCTCCATTCATTTCCCAGATTCCGGTCGGCCAGCAGGCCGCCAGTAACTGTGTGCGCTCTGGGCACTTCGAGGCTTTAAGGAGCACTCTGGCATTCCATAAATGACTGCTAGAATGGCGCACAGTGTCACCACTGTTACGTATGCTTCGTTTCTCTGTCGCTCTGCACACATAACGGAGCACGAATCGCCTCTCCCTCTTTTCGAACGGGAGACGGAGCATGTCTTCTCCCACCAATGAGCCTGCTGCCTCCTGCTCGCCCAGTCATTACCGTACGGTCCCGATACAGCAGCGTATTCGCGGAACACTGTATTCCATACGCAGTAACGAAACGGCAAATTCATTCACTGTTTCGCCGCCAATTATATCGCTTTTCTTTGGTTACAATACCCTCGCCTGTAATTTTGCTTTTTTGCGGAATTTCCTCGCGCATTTCTTCGCCATATTGTTGGCCGTTGGCCGGCGATGCCTGCCACTCCTCTGTCCTATGGCAATTGGCGCTGATGACTACGCCCTCGAAATGGCCCTTCTCCCTTCTCTTCTCCCCCTCCCCCCCCTTTTTTTTTTTTTTTTTTTTTTTTAGCGATACATCGATACCCTGCCAAAAGGCCATTTGGTATTGAACGATGGGGGATCTAATGTGCCCCTGTTCCATTGTGGTACAAGCATCCTCGGAATTCATATTTCCTTGAAATGACAAAACAGCCTATCCTCGTTCATCCCAATCCATCGCCTTTAAAATGTATTATTGAAGCTTAACTAAAAGCGCCGAAAGCTCATTCCACAAGACCTTAAGTCCGCTTCTCCTCCCATATCCTAGCCCCAAGTTCCCTGGTCCTTAGGTTACGACAAAGGACATGACTAGTAACCATTCCTATCGATAACTGTGACCCCTCACCGACCTGCTTTTCCTACTTAATGCATACATATCCTTACCTGCACGCCCTCGAAGTCTCGACCGGCTTGCCTACCAGCCCTGTATCTGCACCTCTTCGGTGATATATGCTGTTGGACATTGTCCTGCTTATTCTTCCCTCCCTGCACTCTTCTCTCTCATACCACCGACTCTCATGCGCCGGCTTTGGGTTTTTCTTGAATGCTGCTTGGCTATACTCTGAATCTGCTGTTGGCCACCCCAAGGCCATCCAGACCTTTGCAGCAGCTAGATTCAATTTGACGATTCTTTCCTCAAAAACACACATCCAGCTCTATTAGCTTGTCGGCGGGGAGTGGACCTTTTCGCTCTGGGAATGGACACTGAAACCCAGCACCCCCAAGACCATGACTTGGGAAACCCCCATTGGGCCGAGATGGGATTGTTCAACTCCCCACATCATCCTCTTGGGGACTTTCATGGGTTTACATTTGGCTCTTCGCCCATTGTGCCCTTAGAACCCACTTATAGCATGTCGATACCGCAGTCCTTTCCCCCCCAGCAACTCGGCCCTTTGACTATGGCCCCGCAATGGCCCAGCATGTTGTCAACTCAACCAAATTATGCGCCAGTGCCTCTGGCACCGATGCCGATGCCGATGCCGTCACATCTACAAAACCTGCATGCCACGCATGTTTCAAGCTCACCGACGCCGCGACGCACCTTAACGGATGCAGACCGCCGCAGGATGTGCATGTACCACGAGGAGAATCCACATGTAAAGCAAACTGAGATTGGAGGTACGGTTTATATCAGATCCTGTTGTATAATGGTCTGGACTTCAATGCTAACCGTTAGTTTATAAAGCCATGTTCGGCGTTGAGAGAAGGTGATAGACTATTTCTGACCTAGAGAATTCGTTTTCTTATTGCATCCTTCTGACAATAATTACTTTTACAGCACCGTTTCGAAGGTATTACGCCAGAAAGAAAAGTATCTTTATCCTGATGATGGTCGTCGGTCACCAATCAAAAAGACTAAAGGCAAATTCCCCGACATCGAACGAGCCCTGTCTAATTGGGCCCGAAATCATGTACGCCATGGAGGAGAGCTGAGTGATGCTATGATCAGGGAAAGGGCCCTTTTCTTCGCCAACAGTGTGGGAAGTCCTGAAGGCCATCAAAAGCTCTTGAGCTCCAGCTGGCTGGAAAAGTTCAAGCGAAAGAACTACTTGCCGGGGTCATTGTCACGAAAAGGCTCATTGGATGCGACAAATACCTCAGAAAGCACCGGTACCGCTAACTCCATTGTCCACACCCCGAATGACCAATCATCTGTGTCTCCTTCAGGCATGTTAAGCCCGTCTCCTGTGTCCCCAAAGCAGGTAGCGAATGAGTTCAGGAAAGAAAGTATTGATTGCATCACCACTCGAAGCAACGATGACTTCTCACAGACGTTTTCTCCGCTTACGTCGCCCCTGGGTACCAACACATCAATGACTGCTTTTACTTCGGAAAATCCTTTCACACCGAATCAGACAACACCAGGACACAATCCTATAAGGCAGAGGAGTCAAACACTGCCTATTTTAGCCGCAGACCAGCCTTTTGTTTCCAGCGAAACAACGGAAGCTCCATTAATTCAGGGCCTAGAGCCTTCTGCTATCGACGATAATGTCAACGCTGCGGAAGAAAATCCAGCCATGAGACGAAACCGCAGTCAGCCCCAAATCAAAACGGAACTATCCCATTTCTCAAAATCCAATACCATCTCTCCCATTAGCTCCCCTGGTTCTCCAACACAGGACGAAGCCCGTCGAGCTCTGGAGCTAGTAAGGAATTACTTCCAGAACCAGCCCTCTGGTATTGGGGCACAGGAGTTTATGACCATCGGCAAACTTATGGAGAAGCTGGAACTTGTCCAGAGTCAGGGTACAAAGCTGGAGCGTATCGACGAACATGCTGACTTCCCGCGAATGACGAAGAAGCGCAGTATCCATACGTTATAATCTCGACCCATATGCTCCTATGCGAGTCAAAGCCCGATAGTACTTGGGATATCCTGGCCGGATAGTATGTATGCTTTATTCCGATACCAACAGGTTGAGATCGAGTGGAAGCCAAACTCCAGTCAATCGAGTATACCGATGTATCCATATACAGGCTGGTATGTATGGCGGGGTCACGGTCTGTCCTCTTTTATTTGGAGTGCTAGGTCTGCCCTGGTTCCTGGACCTTTTTTTTTTTTTTTTTTTTTAAATTATTTTTATTTTACAAAGTTTCTACGTTAATCTATTTTTATTTTTTCCTTTCTCGAGTGTTTTTTTTCTTTTTTGATTTTCTTCTCGCTTGATACTGCATTTTCTGGCCTATTTTGTTCATCGTATTCTTGTTTATGGTTTTATCTGTGGGGTTACTGGCGACCTTTTACATCGTGTACCGCTCGCGCGGACGGGGTACCTCTTCCTTACTTTCATCCTTTTTGGGAATTGGGAATGGGCTTTTTTTAGCAAGGGGATTACCAGGGTTGAAATGAAATCGGTAATGTATACCAAAGCATTTTCTATTGGAAACTGGGCGAGGGTAACAAGGTTTGAACTCACATATCATTATGGGCGCCTCTTATTTCGCTTGGCTTTTTTTTTTCCATTTATGATTTGGGTCTGAAAGAATCTGGCTTGATATTTCAAGTTTCCTGTTTTGCTCTCTCTGATAGGACGGCTTTGTAAAATGTAAGATCGAAGCGTCTCCGGACGTTCCTTTTTTCTTTTCCTGATGTCCCCACCCCAAAATGATGGGCGGGAGGTCCTATTCACTACATCTCCAGCAAGACCATTATGGTATGCATTATCTATTTGGAATATCATATCATTATCTGTGACTAATGTGTACATGTATGTACCTTCGTACCAGGCGTCAGGAGGCCCCTTCCGAAGCACAGATCAGCCCGGAAGGACCATGATCAAGAGGCGGGTTGCATCAATGCATGGGCCAGTGCCAGGTTCGCCAATATTTTGTCCCGCAGCTTGGTCTGTGCGTGAAAATCTCAAAGCCCGCGCTCAGCCATGAGCTCTCCAACGCCATGTTCCATCAGCTCAGGGACGAGCTTGACCAACACCACTTCGACGATAGAGTAGACAAGATGTTTGTTGCAATACGAATCCGAGAAAAGGTCCAGCACATCGCGCTCGATAGCGCGCAGCAGCAGCAGCAGCTCCTCCTCGTCCTCCACCTGCTCTTTTTCGTATCCTAGGGCAAAAGTTGACAGGTCTAGTTTCTCGGGCTTGGTGTTTACCACCCTCCCCATGTCTGGGGTTGACGTTTGAGTTGCGTCCGGGTTGGAATGGGTCGGATCGAAATCGGTACTGGTCCCCGGTCTAGTTTCAGAGACCTCTGCGCCCGACAAAGGCGTAGAAGGAATAAGGCTAGGCGAAATCGATATTAGCGGGGAAGCCGCAGCCTCAGCTGGAGGAGGTATCACGGGGGAGGCGGGGTCATTTTCGCTCATAGCGCTTAGATTAATTCCACTGTATTCGTTGTCGGTCGCAATAGCGAAGATGGCCAATGCGACGCGCCTTGGGATCAGCCGAAGGATACTTCGGGCACATGCACGTTTAATAGAGTTTATTTTGGCGCCATTCGGCCGTTGGTCGGACGGGGTTTGCTGATGCGAATTTGATGTTGGTGGTGGTGGGGGTGCTGTGGTCAGGGGTAGGGCTTCAGTTCCGCACTGTTTGCTAGTTGGAACTCCGATATCGGCTTCTGGGGGAATCTCGATAGACGCTAGCCGGGCATTGGAGGGGAAAACGGTTGTTCGAACGGCGAGAAGCAAAGAAGGGAGTAAGCTTTGCGTGAAGAGGTGCTTCTGGATCGTCTGGCGAAGAAATCTATTTTTGGGAAGGGAAAAAAAAAAAAAAAAATTTCAGTCAAGGGTATACAAGCAACGAGGACATAGCGCCAAAAAGCCGAGCAGAATGTGAGAATGCGAATGTAAGAGGCATTGCCAAGGCAGAGAATTTGAAGATCAGTGCAACGATCAAGGAGCCGTGCTCAGTCAAAGAAAGCCGCCAATCGAGTACCCGGCGGCAACGATGGCAATGCCGATGACTTTGGGCATGACCGATGATTTGATGCCTGATCGCGGCTCCAACCTTGGCCTGAGGAACAAAAGTGACTGCGAGAAAATGGTCAAGAAATGTGTAAAGAACGATGACGTTCGAGTGGGATTGCCCGTTCGGCCCAGTTTGAAATGCGCTCCAGAAAATGATTGGTACCTGACTCGGTAACGGGAGCAGCGAGCGCCGGAGAAAAAAAGCAAAAATATCTCGTTGAAAAAAGAGCTTTTCCCAGATTTTACTTTTGGCCGGTTTTGCCAAAGAACACGGCGGGTGCATCGAACAAGAATAATGAGACACAGAGAGCAAGGCGCCATGCGAGCAATTCTCCCACTCGATGATGTAACTGACTCCGCTGGCGAGTCCTGAGCGGGATTGGAGCAGCTCCGCGAGCCTTTCGACGCGAAGGGAGGGAGGGGCGGGGATCTGCCAATCACAGAGACCGGCGGTGAAGAAGTGCAGAGTCTGGAGAGTTTCTGCGGGCGGGCGGGAGGGCCGGCCCAGAGGACAGCGGGCGTGCCAGTTGCCAGCCACACCAGCCAACAAGCCAGCGCCAATGGGACGGGATGCAGCGCCGGGGTATGGAGTTATTTGGATTCTCTTTGACAGCGCTGCGGATCTTCCAAGGCGTCGCTCGCACATGCACGGGAAGGTTTTGCAGCGCTCCGTACCAGATGTGGGGTGGTGTGTGGGTGGCCGCGTATTGCTGTTACCATATTTACACAAATACGGGTAACAGAGGCCGTTGCGTGTTTGGAATAACCCAAAAGGGTCAAAATTGGGATATTCCGGGGATATGAGTGGTTAAGCGACAAAACGATATTGAAACAAAATGCAACGAAGCGAGACAGAACCGCTAGGAACATAACACGGTAATACCGCTGTGAATTTCCCAGATACACGTCCGGAACAGAAAACAGAAAACAGAACAGAAAACGAAAGTGCTTTGAACCAACTGTTTGCTCACAAAGCAAACAGCTCAATTGGTGGACGGAAAAGCTGCCCACCATCAGATCAAGTGACTGAAAGGCCATGCGGGCAATGTCACCAGTCGATTCTTCAGACCCCTGCTTTGCGCTCTGATTGCTCCGTTGGTTCACCAGGGATCATCAAAAAAAGGGGGAACCGCGTGGGCTGGGAATGACGAAATGCATCAGAGACGAGACAGCCCACGGGGGGTCTCTATCTGGTCGAGGGCGCTGAGCGACCACACCCATTTGGAATTTCCATCCCATGCGGGGCAAAGCAAACGGACAGATGGATATTTCGCAAATAACCGGAGCAATGAGACTGGCAGAACGCAAAATGAAACAAACGAGATTTAACTCACCTGTCGATAGCGCCGTCCGTCTCCCCAAGCCTCCCCGGACCGCTCAGCAGGACGTGCTGGACAAGAGCCAACGATCCTCCCAGCCAAGGCATCCGCCTCGAGACATCGACTAGTCGCGCCGCCATTCCAAAAATCCTATATTTAAGAATAGGAAGTCGCACGGTGCTACTACTGGACAAGGATTGGGTTTCAGTTGCAGGGGTTTTCGAAGTCGTCTCTGGCACGAGCCCTCGCACGGGCATGAATGACGATGGTGATGCTACCTGGGTCAGCTCGCGGGCAACAAATCGAATGGCCGCATATGCCAGATACGCATACTGCAAAATCGACCACAAGAGGAGTGATAGTGATGATTGGGTTTTAGCGGACGTATTACCGATGGGACCAGTGTCTGTTCGAGTGGAGAGAAGGCCAACTCTTCCCGGTTGACTCATTTCCGTGTCCTCCATCTCCGTATTCGCCTCCTCCGGTCCGGGCCTCAGTTCTCCGGCAAGTTTGGTGATGACCTCCCAAATAAACCAGCCTTCCGCAACCTTTCCGCCGACGATTTCCCCGAGCAGCAGATCGGCAAGGATATCACCCACCAACGTCCTGAGGCATACGTTTTCTAGATCTTCCGTGGGGAGGAGGACGGCCAGGATTCCTTGCGCTAGCATCTGCCGATATATCGATTCTCTCTCCTGCTGCTCCACGACAGATGCAGGGTTCGATACCGACGGCACGGGAGAGAGGGCCGGATGGGGGTTCAAGGCGTGATACGCGATCCGGAACTGGGCCTGGGACCGAGCGGCCATAGCGCTCTGATCTGCCATACGATACGCTACGGACACACGCAAATATCGCGGTCAACTTAATGGTTCCCCAAAAGGTAACATTCATTTGCACTTCTCACCGATGACATGGGCCTCAATCAACGACGGAATCTCGTCCAAGACAAGAGCATGTATGTCGATTTGCCGTAAGCGTTGTTCGAGAGCACGCGTGCAATGGGCAATCACCTGGATGATCTCCTCGGTGAAACTGTGATCAGGGGTAATCTTCGAGTACCAGAGGTAAACAAATTCCTTCATGATGATCGCAATCAAAGCGTAAAGCTGAAGATCGACCTCATTGGAGCTTGTAAGTGGAGGCAGTATCTCCTCGAGTGGTCGGGGGGTTCCACGATCCCGCTGCTCCGAGCCATGGCCGGGCACCTGGGCACAGAGCACCCGGAGTATCAGTGCTCTTGTAGCTCGCTCGCTTGTAAAGTCCGTTTGCGTCGTGAATTTTGGTCCATGGCGGGCCTGAGATATCGCCCTGGATCCGGCCGGAGACCTTCTTGGGGGCGTAGAAGCAGTTGTATCGGAAGCGGTTGGTCCGAATTTCGAAAACAGTTGCAGGTTGTCAGTCATTTCCTGGTTATCAGTTGGTCAAACTAAGACCACGGGAAGTGTCGAGAGGACTCATGGGGCTTGCTCGAGGCGTGTGTGATGACTAAAGAGTTGATTCAAAATGGCGGGTGAGACATCAGAGGGGCGAGAATGAAATGGCTCCTTGCTCTGGTCTCGATGGGTGGGCGCCTTGGTCAGCCAGAAGCCAGCACTGTTTGCCTCGCCGTGTGCAGTTCAAGGAGTTCAAGTCGCATGGTGCTGTGTAGTTATTATAACAACTCACCAACCCGCTAACTAACTCAACTAACTACTAACTAACCTTCATTCAAACCAAACACGCAGTGCTTAGTAACTGACATCAACCCGAGCTAGTTAACTGGCCAAAGGGCCCGCTGATAAGATAAACTCCTCATTCAAACCCCGCCAGCTCAACGAGGGGAGAGACCAAGGCCAGGGCCGCGGGTGAAAGTGCAGTAAAGTGTTTCGAGAATGACATTGGAGATACCACAAGAACCACAACCGGTTCCACTTTGGCTGGATTGCGATCCCGGTGAGCAGGCTAACCCTGAGCAACAGCTTGCCAGTTGAGGCACACCGTGCTAAGCGAAGCGGATTCTAGGGCATGATGTATGACTGCAATTCCTGAATTGAATCGGTGGACTTTGAGCTGATGCTGTGGTAAAAAAGGATGCGTTTGCTATTCTTCTAGCCGCCCATCACCCACAGTTGAAGCTCCTTGGGATCACGACCGTCCACGGCAACGCGTCCCTTGAGAATACAACTGCTAATGCAGGGAGCATTCTGGAAGCCATCGGGAGGTCTGACATCCCTGTCTATCCCGGCTCAAAGAAACCCTTTTGCAGGCTTCCGGTTCATGCTCCCAGTATTCATGGTACGGCCTGTTTTCATCCTTTTGGTCATCGTTAAGCTCTAGATTCGCTTGCTGAGCATACTGTATCTAGGCTCGTCAGGAATTGATGGAACCGACCTCCTTCCCGTGCCGAAAGTTCCGCCAGTGACGGATGTCAATCCAATCCTGGCCATGCGAAACGCTCTGCTTGCGCAGCCCAAGGATACCGCGTGGGTTGTTGCTACTGGGGCGCTAACAAACGTCGGGTTGCTCTTTGCTACATTCCCCGAAGTTGCAGAACACGTTCGAGGAGTAAGCATCATGGGAGGAGCGATTGGCTCAGGATTCACAGATGTGCCGATCAGCAAAAAGCCTGGCGAAGCAACCAGGATTGGGAATACTACACCATATTCCGAATTCAACATCTACGTAAGCTCCAAGCTTTATGGCCAACATCCCGTTTCAATTCAAGAGGAGCTAACGGTTCAATCTAATAATACTAGACGGATCCAGAGGCAGCTAAATCTATCTTGATGTCACCAATTCTAGCACCGAAGACAACTCTAATTACCCTGGATCTCACACATCAAGTCCTCGCGACTCAGGAAATTCAATCACTCATCCTCGCTACCGAGACAAGCGATAACTCTGAGCCGTCAGTTCTTCGACAAATTCTTCATGCACTGCTCACATTTTTTGCGAGTTCCTATGATACGGTGTTTGGCATTGACTCTGGGCCCCCACTGCATGACCCTGTCGCGGTTGCGGTCCTTCTTTCAAACCTAAACGATTCACAGATGGCTGGCCGCAAAGATATATTGCAGTTCAACGACAATGACGGAGAGAGATATATCGTCGATGTCGTCACCAACGGTTCGCATGGAAAAGACGTTCAGCTGACCGGAGAGGTAGGTCGCACAGTGGCCCAAAAGACGGCTGACTCTCTCGGTGGTGTCACTATACCAGTTAGCATGGACGTCAATAAGTTTTGGGGCATCATTTTGGACTGTCTACAAAGAGCGGAGAAGTGCAAGGCGATGCAGCTTGCTGCAAATTGTTAGTAGCACCGTGGTCGGATTAGTTATGGGATTTGGACCGAGCCGGGACGAATGATGCCGCGAATAGACTTAGACCTAGGTATGTGCCCTTTTTAGATGACGAATAGACTAATGAATCCGGTTGAAGGACCTTTTTTTGGTTGCCCCGCTCATGCATTTTCATCTTTGGCGTTGTGTATGAATTCCTCGTAGAATATCTGAGGCGCCTGTAGATTGTCGCTCCACTATACATAAGCTGCTGCCTAGGGAGCACTGCATCTTTTCCAACGTGGATCAGATGCGGCCAGTGTGATCCGGGCCTTTTAATAAGGCTCTCCTTTTGAGATGCGCCGCCGCTAGCATAGGTGCATAAACTCGCCATTAGAGGGTAATAGTTAAAGACCATATGATACAGTTCTTCTTCTTCTTCTTCTTATTATTCTTTTTGTTCTCCCTCTTTTTCCAGATAAATGGTTTTAAAGATGGGTTGTCCCTGGTGGCTATCGGAATTGGATTATTGCGCCTCAACGGGTTTCGAACCTGCGAGGGCCCCGGGGGGGCGGATAATGTGCTCACGGCAGTTTGACTCGGCCTGCGCCATGTCTCTTTCTGCGCGTCTAACGTCCTCAAGATGGATCCTGTCAAACTAACTAGCCGCCCAGCAATGACGCCTTGGAGAAGAAACAGATTAGGGCGGCAGGCGCCGAGTTTGAGATGAGGCAGCGGAGCAAGACTGGACGGCGTCAAGGAGCTGTGTATTCCGGCCAATCGAGCCTGGCTGCCGGGGCGGATCAGGCCGTTGTCGGGATAGCTCGCCAGTCAGTAGTTGTTAGTTACTCCGCAACTGGGGGAGAAATGATGCTGTCTGGTGATCGCCTTTGGAATGCGGAGATAAACCCATGCTCGGGTGCAACGGAAGCTGAGGCGATCCGGAGGGCGGCGGTGAGGTGAGAATTAATATGTATGTGCTCCGTCGCTGCTCCGTAACTGGTGGCGATAGTAGGGCATGGTAATGGATTGTTTTATCCGGATTCTTTGTTCGTCCTGTCGACTTCCCTCCTCTTCGCCGGCGTTTCAACTGTGGCTAATTTGAGGATTTCACATCAACTCCTCTCCGGCTCAAACGCCCCTCACTCATCGTCCGACGGAGCGTGAGAGCACATTCTCTCTGACCACGTCGAGGATTCCACCCGGTCATTCGTTTCGTCAAAATCAAATTGTGTTTTTGCTTCCTTTGAATATATTCTAAAGATCTAGGCTGTTCATACGACATCCTCGGTTCCTCCCCCGTCTTCCGCCCGCTCGTCGCGATCAGTCAGTCCTTCAACTTTGACTGCAGCAGACTGCCGATCTTTGCCATTTCCCAATAATTAAATAACTAACGAGTTGAGTGGGATGAATTACGTCCAGAGCACTGCTTCTTGACCGGCATCGTGAGCAATCCTATTATTTAACCCTTTTATCTGCTCTGAGAACTGCCCGAGACAAAACCAAACGCGGGACACTTCGCTCTTGATATGCCACCGGCGAATTCGCCAACAGTACGAAGCTCCCTGCCCACATCTGGTTTTGAGATCGCTCTTTCAACTACCCTGCCTCGTCCCCCGTTTTTCTCCCTGACCGTTGGTTCGGTTTCTGACTCGTGAACAACTCATTGATTGACGGAATCTGCCTCCTGGACAGGACACCCCCCCTACTGTTGACTCTCCTTCATCGCCCAGTCCATTCCTTCAGCAGCTTGAGATTATTTCTACTCCTGTTTTGGACCTTGCCGCCACACTCATGAATCACCCGGAAGACGCTATCCATGACCAGAATGTCAGGTTCCTACGAACTCGTCGCGAATCCAACGAGGAACGCCGCCACGGAACCCCCCGCTCTCGTGGCAGCGGATGGAACTTCGTCTCGGAATCAAGTGGTTCTGGTAATCCAGGTGGAAACGGAACAAGTCGACCTCAGACAACCACGAGATCGAGTGATCGAGTGCCCATAGTTCGACGTCGAAACCTGAGAGCTGGAGATTATCGGGAACCGCCCCCGCAACATTCGCAGTCCGTATATGGCTGGGCCCCGGACTTCGATGATGATGACGACGATGATCTGGATGATTTCTCTTCCGGTTTGCTGCATCGCATGTGGCATTCTCGAGAGAGTGCGAGACTTTCCGGGCGAACGTCAGCTCCATCTTACGAGTCGATGAGAGAACCTTCATCCAGGACCTCTCGTCCTGTGAATAGTGAACAAGAAGGAAGAAGAAACCCACCATCGCGCTACGACTTGTATGGGGACTCCGCGTTGGTCACTGCTGCCCTTCTCCAGTCGGCTCGACGACATCCAAGGTTTTCGACGAGTAGGATACCACAGAATCAAGCTCCTGATAGCGACACGGCGAGAAGTAGGAATTCAACAGAGGATGAAATGCGGCGACCCTTCGCAGCAACGCACATTCACAACCCTCATACGTCTATATTAACCCGTGGAGACCTGCATAGACATTCAGAATTACGCCGAATGTATCTAAAAGACCCTTCCGTTGATCGCCTAAAAGAGACGATTCATTACCTAGATCGAGTTCGCTTCTCCAATTCATACGAAGAGAGCGTTTCTTCAGCCGCTGCGGGTGGATTTGTGCAGCTTGATTACTTCCTTTCGAACGAAGACGACTTTATCCTAAATACCAACTCGATCGCTCCGCCTGCTGAATGTTCGTGGCTTAAGCCGGGAACGGTGTTTTCGGGCCACCAGCAAGCAACGCACTCCAGCTCCCCTTCCATGCTTTCCCACAGAGTCCCCGGCTCAAATCGTTTGATAGATCCTGTGATCGTTAATGGAAACGAGAATAACCGGATAACCGTTTATACCAGCAGTGGTCGGCGTTACTGGGCACATAGCACTAGCGATCTATCCGGTGGCAGCACTGATGAACCGGAGAGTTCCAAGATGCAACAGTGGCCTGTCAAGGTGACCATCCATGATATCGACTACAGCACAATGACATTGTCAGGGACAATGGAGGCATATAATATCCCTGACAAAACAGCTACCAACCAAAGCGCACATATAATCACCTTTCTGGAAGGAGAAATCATTGATTTCCACACACACACGTTGGAAACAAAGAACTTCAATGCAAGTCCTGAGGTTGATAGCTGCTATTGGAGAGAACTAGAGCCGTTCCAGAGCCAGACACCTGATGAGATTGTGAAGAGTCTTGTTAGCAAGAAATGGCTCTCTGAGACCCTGGCAAAGGGATGGATATTGATGAGATGGAAAGGTGTGTTTCTTTTCCTTTTTCTTTTCCTTTTTTCCTTTTTTTTCTTTTTTCTTTTTTTTTTTTTTTTGGCTAACATTCCGAATACCATTGTAGAACGATGCTTCGTTTCCCCATCTCATTCCCGTCAAGGCCTCACTATCTCAGGGTTCTATTACATCTCAATACGTCGAGAGGATGGACACATCGCTGGGATGTATTACGATCCGGGCAGCTCACCGTACCAGGAACTCACCCTGAACCCCGTTTTGAAAGAAAGGATGGCTTTCCCAGCGTACAGTTTTCGCTAAAGGCTGCAAGTCGACACAATGAAATAGTGATAATCAATCAGCTAAACGCATACAATTCATCGGGCTTTCCCGATTCTACTGTCAGTTTACAATTTGGTAGCATGCGGTGTAGAATCACATTTGTTCAGAGATATTTACACACGCACTGGCCTATTGTCATCTCTTCCTACCACACCTCGGAGTTTATTATACCCCAAGCCCTTATGGTTCATTTGCGTGCTTGACATTTTACTGCCCTGGCCAATTTTTACTGGCGTATTTCCCTGTAGCAGGTTGTATTCTCACATTGCTCACGCTTCGCTGTTTTTATTTAGGGCGCTGTGGCGAACTTCTGACACTGGGAATTGATACCTTTTCCCCTTCTCCAGTATCAGGCGACAACTCTGGTTTGTATATACAGGAGATGAATGGATCTACTATTTAACATGATTGGGAAGTGACTGTCGTTGAAAGGATGAAGTTATCCATTTAGCCAAGCTTTACTTCCTAAGCTATGGGCGATGCGATCCATACATATCAACTACTTCGATGGCATTTCATTCGATATCAAACAGGATAATCTAGGTCTAAGTCCACATCGTAGATTCCCGGACATCTCTGCTGTCCCACAAATCTTGCATGTTTTCTTAATCTGTTTTCCGTTTGATATCACATAAAACATTGTGACTCAAAGCCGAAGACTTTTGCTTTTTTCTTGGTTTCACGTTCCGCCTATACATGCAACAAGCAGCCGCTGAGCGGAATCACCTTGTTTGCTTTACTGCTCAGTCTGGAAGTAGTTGAGGAGGACAGAGCGTTCCTGGGATTCTTCTCCCCAGTCACGGAGGACAACGCAGGAGCAGTTGACAACCTTGCGAGGGTTTCCTTCACGGTCAAGCACGCCTAAAAAAAAGAAACAAAGGTCAGCCACCCAACTCTCTACCCAAACCCCATGGCTAACACGATCGAATGTCACAGGGATTAGGAGTGTTAAAAAGACATACAGAGTCCAACCCATTCACCCAACATCTTGCCGTCGGGCACCTTGATCAATGGAATCTTATGCTCCTGGCACAAAGCAATGACCAGCTTCTTGTATGCCTCCTCTTCGCATGCCTCGTTGAGAACGCACATGTGGGCCTGGCGACGATCGAGCGCTTTGGCAGCCTCACGAAGGCCACGAGCAAGACCGTCGTGGATGAGGGCGATCTTCAAGACGCCCTTGAGAGCATCGAGAACGGACATGGAGCTACCGCCGGTAGCGGTGGCGGAAACTTCGACCTCTTCGGCCGCAACGACGGGGGTCTCTTCTCCATCCGACTATTTCCAGTGGAAAGATAAAGTGTCAGTGATGGTTGTTCGATCAGTGTTTAAACCGATTCGTTTGCTTTCCGGCTCGCATCGAACAGCGCATTTGTTCGCGAGCCCAAGCGGAATCTTCTCGTACAAATGAAATTAAAGGTGGATTGGCATACCATTTTGACGTGTCTGGTAGCTACTTGAGCTGTTTCAAATGCCGGATTATCCTCAAAGAGTGATGGAGATGATGGCTGAGAGAAATATCGGAGTGGATGGTTTGGCTGGAGATGTCGAGGAAATAATTTCCTTCGGCTAATCAGTGTGCCCTACCTGCGGTAACTGGCTTATGTAATCATTTCCTTATCGCTGGTACAAGCGAGAAAAGCGCATCGCCATCAGCTATGAATTCAGGATTATTCACATGAATAGCCGTCTCGAAAAGGTAGCTGGCCGATATTTTGAATGGAAAAGGCATAGAAGACTACAGCATCATCCGAGGAATGCAGGTTAAAGTAATAGCCATGCAGCCCGATCATAAAAAAATAGACACGATACGAACCCCCTAAACCTTCCCCCCACACAAAATAAAAGCTCGCTGCACAAGCACCTCTACCAAAAGGCCAAACCCCCTTTCGCACGAGTGAATCTAATACTCCATAAAACCAAATCCCCAACATTGCTGGGAGGAAGATGGCTCCAAAAATCGCTAATGAAGGAGAAACCAAAATTGGTGAAGTCGAAGTAAACACCATTACGAGGAGGACGTCAGGTTTTGACCACAGTTAACCAGGGGGATATCGGTGGCTGGCGCTTAATTTGCCAGTCCTGAAGTCCCAGCTTGCTTCTGTATGGCCTGTCCAGCGTCGTTGCCTGACTCCGACAAATGATATATGACCATTCCGGTGAGACGAAGATCAAGGCCGTGAAGATGGGGCGTATGTGGAACTAAGTCCATGAAGTCCGATAGCTGATGGCACATTAGCGAGGGAGCCAGTGGAAAGGGAAGAACAGAGGCCGCGATTATACACCCACCTTTACCCAAAATACATGCTCCATCGAGTAGAACTTCGGTTTTATCTCTGCAACGCGGTTGCTGACGTCGTCCCAAGACGTGCCAACTACAGGCAGCTCATCAATATAAGATAGCATGCTTCGAGTCACACGCCACAGGCTGTATCTATGATCAGAGGTCGCAATCCGCCGTTCCCAGCTGGGATCTGTGCTCCAATCAGCATTTTCACGGGATAGCTAAAACAAATCGAACAACAACTTACATTGTGAAAGCTGTAGATCATTGGATGCTAAGAGGGGTGCGACTTGATAATTGATGACCCAGCGTTCATCCTGCCCTTCCTCGTTGCAAGAGCTATCAAGCTGTTTTGTTCGGACAGTGAAAACAGGGACAAGCTTATTGAGCCAAGGCACACTCTTTGCTTTTGGGTCGTCGGAGCCAATCAAATTTGCTGCAGCGCGGAGTCTATGTGGAAGCGCATCCCTGCGCCGCTGTTCTTGTTTCTCTTGTTCCTTACGCAGCCTCGCTTGCCGGTGTTCCTCCTCTATTCGCCTCTGGTGTTCTTCTTCCGCCTGTCGAATACGTCGCTCTTCTGCCTCCTTTCGCTTTCGTTCTTCTTCCTCTCGCCTTCGTTCTTGCTCTGCCTGCTCAAGAGCAAGTTTGGCGGCTTGCTTGGTGGCCTCATCTTCTTTCACTTCTTTAACTTCGCTTATCTCATCCTTGACAGACATAGCAGCCATTGCAGGGTGGATTCGTTCCGAATCCTCCGGGGTACCTTTTTGTTCCGAATCCTTAGCCTCCGGATGCTCATCGGGCTGTCCGTTTTCTTTCGTGTCATGTTCACTAACTTCGGCTATTGCAGCGTCAGTTGTAAGTTTCGGCTCTGTTTGGTACTGCAGCTTCTGTGCAGAAACTGGGACCTCGACATCCTTTGAAGTAGCCTTCAACTCCGTATTCTCATGCATGGTGTGGCCTATCTCGGTCTTTTCTGAACCCGTGCTTGCAGAACTAGTTGTCTTAGGCTGAGATATAGGTTTTGGAGATGGCGGTCGCTCAACAAGTGTTTTCTTCATGGACTCCTTCGACGGCCGTGTTGGGCTACACTCGATTTCAACCTTCCGTTTCTTTTTTTGGGGATCTGAATCCTCGCTGCTTTCTCCTGGTCTTCCACGAGATTGATGTGGCTCGGGCGAGACGCTGCCTCGGGTTCTTTTTGAGGGAGAAACTTCTTTAATTCGACGGGTTTCGTGACTAAATTTCTCGACTCGCTCTTTGGAAGCTTCGTCCCGTGGCGAATGTGAGTCTGTCGACATAAAGCTTCCCCTTCTTCGATCCGGGGGGCGTCCAGCAATCAAACGCCGACGCTTTATAGGTTCTTCGCCGTAATTAGCAGCAGTTCCGGAGTCAGTATATTTTTTCGAGTCTGAGGGAAGCTTTTGTTTTGTGTGTCGAGAACGGGTAGAGTCATGGTCGGAGGTAGTGTGGTATTCGCTGTTGGCATCATCGTGAGGTGTTTTTCTATGGGACTTCGTTGAAGCCTGGCCCAAACTTTCATCCTTTCCACCATCCTTCCTCGTCCTATTAATTTTTGACGATCCATGGTGCTGGTTGCGTGACTCAGGGCTACGAGCCGATCTTCGATGGGAAGAAGCTGGAGACACAGAATCTTCCAAAGAATTTCTAACATCGCGTGACTTCTTCGAAGTTCTAACATCGGATTTCGCAGCTTTAGAAGAGCTGAGATAATTATCGTATGCATCTCTAAGTAACTTCCGTTCCGCTTCCCAATTTTCTCCTTTGCGTTCCTCGGATATCTGGTAGTAAGTACGCCCTCGATGGTCCAGACGTGTTGGATCAAACCCCCTCTGGTCTAAAAGGAGCTTGATTACAGAATTATTCCCTCTGCCAATGGCTGCCAGGATCGGAGTGTTGTATCCTGGTTTGTGGTTACCCGACTTGATTGGTTCCGGGTTCGGGTCGGGATTCCCCATACCAAGCAAAATGCCTAAGACTTCATCGTGGCTTCCTTTGGCCGCGGCAATGAGGGATTCAGTGTCCGCTTTCTGAAGGACATTGAGAATGTTCGCCACTCCAGCCATGTCACCTTTTGCTGCAAAATCCCGCAAATTCTCCGGGGTCGGCCGAGTCCATAAGAGGTCGTTGCGAGTAGCTTCACTTCTCACTGTTCTTCGGCGGCTTAAACCAGCTGGGGGTGAATTTCGGGCGCCAAAGACCGGCGGCGAATCACGAGGGCTTGCCGCAGACGCTCCACGAGAAGATGCCTCCTTGGTAGGATAGGCGGATCCACGGCTTCCCATATCGACTGACTTCCGCCGGTGAATGCCCTTTACTTTGGCTTCCGCAAGAACTGTGCGAAGTTTATCGTAATTCTCGCTATCAGATGGTACGAGGTCGTAAGGCTCATCACCCTCAGCATTTCCCACACGAGGATTAGCTCCAGCGTTGAGTAATAATTTCACCACATCCAAGTGCCCATTCTCCACCGCATCGATAAGAGGAGTATCTTTGTCGATATTTTTCGTGTTAATGTCGCAACCAGCCTCGAGGAGAAATTTGACGATGTCCGCACTTCCCTCCAGAGCTGCAATTTGAAGCGGTGTATTTCCAGCATTGTCGGGAACATCTAATTCCTCAGGGTGTGCTGCGTAGCGAGCTTTGGCAGCTTCAACTTCTTGGGCAGCGCAAGCGCGAGCCAATCTTGTCCTCCCATTTTGATCGCGTTGCCTCTTTGGCGGCATTTGTTTTGCAGGAGAGGTCGCGTGTTCGGTAGACAGGACCCTTCGAGGACGGGTGACAGGTAAAGGGGAACCACGTGTAGATGATGCGGATGATTCTCTATCCTCCGAGCTATGCCTGTGGCGGTCTGTGATCAAAGGTGGAGCAGCAAACCTTTTCTTTTGTGATCGGCTAGTTGACTGCGATGATGTTGACAGGCCACGCTTATGTGAGCGAACAGCAGGGGAAACCGATCGATCATGAGAGAGATGGCGAGAGTGTGCCAAAGTGTTCCTTTCTTCACGCCTAGCATTCCTTCCAGTGGATACACCCTGGTTCGCATATTTACCATGGGTCCTGTCTTCCACAAAAGTATCATCAGCTTCACTTTCCGCATGCTTCTTATGTTCAATGCTTTTCACGACATTAATGTTCTCTGCGCGGGACAGTGAAGGAGCATGAGTTGCAGCGGTGTATACGGAGTCTTCTGTTTTTTCTCGCTTTAATCTGGGTGTCGGCGAAGATACTCTTGAATTTGGCCTGCTTTGGTGGCGGGCGTCAATTGATACGCTCTCTCCATGGTCGTTTTCTAGCCTTTTTCTTTTTCTCGCCTTGAAATCATCGCCGGCCGCTATGTTTCTCGTACCGAGAGACTCGTTATGACTTCGCTTCCCACCATTGTGTTCAACCTTGTGCTGGATATACTTTCTCTTCTTTTCAGGTGAAAGCTCCTCTCGACCGGATTGGATAATGGTCTCCGCTTCAGAATCCGCTTTTACACTTGCCGCATCATCATTATGGCCATTACCGTCGGGTGTGGCTTTCGCCTCTCCATTTAGAGGTGCTGTATTTGCTCTCGGAGGGAGAAAGAACTCCTTGTGCGGTTTTTCACTTCCCAGGCGTTGGTCGGTTGGATGTGTATTACGGGCGGCAGGTGAGAGCACTGAGGCCACTTCAGCATCATTCATAGCGGCTGCTCTCGAAATAAGACAGCTCTTCGTCGCATCATCAATGGCCGTGGTGTCTGTAATTGAGTTGGCCACCGACACGATCAGACGACTGCTGCAATCGTCCGAAGTATGAACGTATCGAGACAGGGGATACCTGGATTCGAGATGAAACAAGAGATGGAGAACCTAGAACGGAGAATGTAGCAGAGCTTCTATTGAATTATCTGATGAGCCGAGTATGCAGGATAGCAAGGGCGTGGGAGGGCGCAAGTCGTTCAGAAGGCCGAAGTTGATCGCGGACGAAGAGGGCGAGCAAAGGCAAGATGCGTCGTCTCGTTGACCTGAGTTTGGCGCTAGGATTGTTTTGGAAGCCTGGCTCTTGCCGCTAGACCTGATTCGGATGGTTGCCTCACAGCTCTGTGGCGTCGAAGCTAACTGTGGCGCGGTGCGAAGCTGCGGGAAGTCAGTTGAGGATGCGAGGACGGCGGGCTGCGGTCGGGTGTGATCCAGGAGGCATTCTAGATTACGTTGAACAGCCGCCAGCCATGGAGTGCAAATGGGCCGTACCGTCTCTCGATGTCGCGGACCTGCTACGAAGTGGCTTCTTGACGGCTGGCGCGGCGGTACGTGCTCCCGGCCCTCTTACAAATGAGACGCTGCATGGCCCTGCTGTTGACTGACTGGCAACAGATCTTGGCCGCTAATAGCATCCCAATGCTTCGTGGACGGTTCATTCCATACGGGGCTCGCTCTGGCCAACCGTCCTCATGCGATGGCAGAGAGAGTGACCCCAAAGCGACGTCGAATGCACCTCCATCTGCATCTTCTCCCAAGCATGTCTTGGATTATATGGCAACGTGGAATGTCCCACACAGCTATTTCATGCATTTTTACATTGTCTCTGTCCTATCATCTTTACTCTGGGCCGTTCAATTGGCCACCCGGGGTCCGCTTTTTAGAGCGGTTGCTGTGACTTTGAACGAGAGGAACTTGAGGCACGCTATGTCGCCCGGCCAGGTTGTCTTGTGCTGGGCTCTGCTTGCCATTCAAGGTGCTCGACGACTTTACGAATGTATCACCTTGACTCGCCCGTCAGCCTCGAAGATGTGGGTTGGCCACTGGCTGTTTGGACTGGGCTTTTACGCGTCCATGAGTGTCGCAATCTGGATCGAAGGAACCGGTAGGATGAAATCTTCCCCCTGTGAAAGTGGACGTTCAGGTGAATTGATTTGATCGGCCAATCATAGCTACCCTTCTTTCATTCAATATATCCCTCGATGACGCGAGCCTGGTGACTCCGTCAATGAAAACAATGATATTCCTCCCGGTTTTCTTGATCGCATCTGGCATCCAATATGACTGTCATTGTTACCTGGCCTCTCTGAAAAAGTATACACTCCCGGAACATCCAGCATTTGTCAGGTTGGTATGTCCTCACTATACTGCCGAGTGTGCCATCTACTTAGCGCTAAGCTTCCTCGCGGCGCCGAAGGGAGAACTCGTTAATAAAACGGTGTTCTCCGGGCTTTTATTGGTTATGATTAATTTGGGAGTTTCGGCGGGCGTTAGCAAGGACTGGTATGCCCGGCGCTTTGGCGCGGATCAGGTGGAAAGCAAATGGAAAATGATACCCCGAGTGTATTAGAAAATTAGTTGCGTTCAAGCCGACGATAATCATTCCGTGAATGTTCTCAAAAACCATGGCTATCATCTCTTATTGAGAAATTTCATGGTATTTCCCAACTTCGAAACTCGGAGAACATCGCGATACGTCAAACTAATCCTTGTCTCCCTTTCATAGCTCCCGCTTCCAAATGGAGCCTTGTCTACCAAATGATCCCAATTGCATATCGTTTCTGGTCCAAGATAATCGTCGCTCGTCTTTTCAGCAATCCCATGCATGTAATCAGTATAGAGCTTGTCAGTTGTGATGAGCAGGCTTCGGGGTTCCTGTAGGATTCTATACAACGGTGCCTTGCCTGTATCAGCACTGCTAGTGTCCTTTGTCATCGACGGGACTTGCTGTCCATCGTTTTTCTTTTCATATATGTCCAAAACGATAGGAGCTCCAATGCTCACGGTAGCCACGAGTGGATGGTATGCGGGTCCATCCTCATGGGGCATAATCCCCTGGCCGGGTTGATACTCATTGATGAGGACGTGGTTGGGCGCCTTGTGCGGCGAAGCAGAAAAAATGGCTAACTTTTGAAAGCGCGTTATTACTGGAGTGACGAGCCAGGCCGGAAGTGGTGACTCGAGGAGCGTATTGGAGTTCGTTAAGGCGGACGGCCAGCTCTGGAGGCGCCTTCGTGTTAGATGCGTCCAGCGAGGCAGCGGCACAGTTGTGATCTTTCGACAAAGTTAGCTTGGCTGATTTCTTTATAGCAATTTGATAGTAGGATATTTAAGGGAGAAGCATTATGCCTCCCATCGTCGGACTACAGTCTCACTCCTTTGAAAAGAAGCAGAAAGTTCGGCGCACCTTGTTCAACAGTCGATCTTCTTCATCTTCTGAAATGAACTCTGGGATATAATAAGCAGTTTCTGGCAAGGATTTGATACGATATTGTGCCAAATCATTTGCCATTTGCACAGTCTTTTGCTGAGAGCTGCCTGTTTTAAGTGTCAATTCCGCAGTGGTGACTTGTGATAAGTTATGAAGGGGTTAGGGACCAGATAGAGCTGTTAAATATAACATGATATTGCAAGGACTTTGCCCAAATGTATTTAGTAAGATAGTGAGATTGTATGTATGCGATGAAGAGTGGTCACCTCTGTATCCCTCATCTCCCCACGAAGCAGAAAACCCAACCATAAATAATCTCGAATCCGCGCACCATCTTCCCGAGCTCCCTAGCGCTGCAGTTCAAATCATGGCACCCAAAAACAAAGGCAAAGGCAAAGCAAAAGACAGCTCAGAAAGCGGCGATGCTGGCGGCAAGGGTAAAGGCCTCAAGCCCGCCAACTCCATCAACGTCCGCCACATTCTTGTACGTTGTTTAATACCCCTCCAACGCCCACCATAGCTACATATGCAGCTACATCCGGAACATATACATGAAAGCCAGCGAAGTGAAAGCGAAACTAAAGCAAAGCTGACTTGACCCTTCTTCTCTTCTCTATCAGTGCGAAAAACACTCTAAGAAAGAAGAAGCTCTCGCAAAGCTGAGAGCGGGCGCCAAGTTCGACGAAGTCGCGAGAGAATTCTCTGAAGACAAAGCTCGACAAGGTATGAGCCTCTCTGTTCCCTTCCTTAAATCCATTCACTTTTTTTGCTTCCTGCTCCGTATCTTCTCCAGTCGGGGGGAAAATATGAACTTTTTATATCCCTAGATATACCTCTTACCACTGTTTTCAATAGGCGGATCTCTAGGCTGGAAGATCAGAGGCAGTCTCGACGCCGCGTTTGAGAAGGCCGCATATGAGCTGGAGCCCAGCACGACAGCTAGTCCCAAATATGCAGAGGTGAAAACGGGCTTTGGCTATCACATTATCATGGTAGAAGGCAGGAAGTGAATGAATATTTTCGTTATCAACCGTGCTAGAGATGGTCTAGTAGAAATCTCGAGAATGCAGCGTGCTAGTTCGGACGTAATAACACATAAAAGATTTCAGAAATATCTGTCTAGGTCGATGTATATATACACAATTCTTTTCTATTGTTTCCAGCGCTTTTCCTCTTAAGTTCTATGACGTAGCTTTCCCAGCGTTTATAATTCCTTTTCCCCTTTGGTTGCGACGCCGTTCTGCGATTTCTCTTTCTCCCTCATCTTCTTCGCCTTCTCCTTCTTCTGGACGATAGCCTCGGCTCCAATACCGCCAAAGACCAAACCCACGCCAAGCCATTGTCCACCGGTGAGGCGGTGGCCGAACCACACCACGCTCAGCAGCATAGTAAGCATCTTCCTGGTCACTGTCACCGTGACAAGTAATAAAGACGAGAAATGCGCCAAAGTGTAAAAAATGAATAATTGGCCAATGGCTCCACAGGCAGCGAATGCCACTACATCCTTCGTAGCATGTGGATGGCGAGACAAGAATGACAATGCTGAAGAGAGTTCATTTGTCTGCGAGGGAGGAACAGGTAGCGGGAGCAGAGGTAGAATAGACGAGGAGATATGTGGGATGAGGATAAGGTAACAACTCGTGAGCATCGTCGAGAGAACATTCTGCGCAACCATCATTTGCGGACCAGTGAACTTCGAATAGATGTTGGGAGACGAGAAGATGTGGTCTTGTGTGGTGTTAGTCAGACCGTCGAGGAGGAGGTTGATGGAGAGAAGGAAGAGTCCAAAGGCTGAAGAGCTGTCAGTGTTGTTGTTATTGTGCTTCTTTTTGCGGGATGAAGGATGGTGGAGTGTAAACGTTGCGACACCTAGTGTGACGAGCAGAATCACACCATACTTATAAAGCGGATAGCGTTTTTGGAAAATAGTGAGGTGGAGGAACATGACCGGAAGGAGCTTGCAGGACTTGGCCAAAATAAATGTAAGATAATCGATATGTGCTAAACTTGCATATCCGAACGGCGAGGCAAGAGAGGACGATACGCTGACAAGAATTAGGGGAATCAGAATGCGACGGGTCGGGAAGACTGGAAGGCGTTTCTGATTTCGAGGCGTGGAGAAATATAAATACAGGAAGCCAGTTATGGCCGCAAAGAAGGACTGAATAGTGTTGAGAACGACGGAGAAAGTAAATCGCTCAGTAGGTGGGTGAGGGTCGTGCGCAGTTAGAGATCGAACTGGCCAGTCGGTTGTGGTAATCGTCTCTTGAAGCACGCCCCAGGAGAGACTGGGGTTGCGACGGTTAGTATCAAGCGCTCACAATCAAGGAGAGAGAAGCGTCCTTACAAGGAGGCATAGATACCAGCAACACAGATAACTAATTGAAGCAAACCTGCATTCTCCGTCGAATGCGAATTGGCCGGCGGGGAAACTGTGGCTGGCCCTATCGAAGAACCGCTTGGACCTCTGGTCTGGACCTCTGGAAGATCTGGAGGACTCTGCATGATCCCCGAGGAGGGTATTCGCTGTAAGGGCGCTTTTTGCTTTTCACGGGCCATTGTAACAAGGAATGACTGCGCTCGAACAGCTGGGAAAATATCGAACTCGGACAACCGGCTGCCAGATTCTTCAAGATGACATGGCCATTGAAGAAGCAAAAGACGTTGTGAACACTAGCACAGGGCCTAGATGGAGGCAAAAGGAGCAAGCAGCAAATGAAGTGGCAGCATCCTGACTGGCTCCGGCACAGTAGTTGCTATTTATTTTGAAGCAACGGGGCGCTTTGAAGACGGGCTCCTTGACGATGACGATGTGGCCATCTGTTCTCTTCAGAATTAAGCAGTGCCGCTAGCGTGGCTTTAGTGAACCTTTAGCGGGGAACTTAATCTTGCGAACCTTGTTGCGGATCTGCCAAAAAAGCACGACGGGACCGCTTTCAGAGCTTGGAGGACGCAATCCCAAGCGCAGAAGAGTATGCGAAAGGGGGAAGATCGATTTCGAAATATGCTAAGTACCGTACGTTAACAGCGCCTTCGAACCATCCATCTCAGCCTTCGAGCGGCCGAAACTTCTCGCGATGCCTTCTACGCCATCTCCCTCCGCACTCACCTCCCTGATCTCCTCGAATTCCACAACCCAGCCTTCCAGCCCCGTCTTCGCCCTCAGTCTTCAGATCCTTCACAACCTCGAGCATCAGCACATTTGGAAATCTCTTCAACTCCACGAACCACACTCCCTTTCCCCGCAACAACACATCCCATTAATATCCGGCTATCCTCCGCAAACCATCTACACCCACCCCGACGAACAGGCATACCTGCTCGAGCATGATATCCGCTCCGAGGCCGTCCCCGTAGAAAGAGAGTGGGTCATCCCCTGCGCTCAAGGCCAGTCGTGGAGCCTAAGGAAATTCGCCGGGGCGTTCGACTCACTGCCGAATAGAAGTGATGATATACCTGAGCATAAAGTAAATGAGGGAAATCCCGCGGACGATAAGTTTTCCGAGTTTATCAGACGGAAAAGGGAGGAGCCGTGGGGAGGCAAGAGAGCTTTGCTGGCGATGGTGAATAGAGGGGCGGGTGGAGATGGGACTGTGGTTTATTATGTGATGCTGGAAGGCGACGTGAAACCGAGACAAAATTGAGTGAAGATGTGGTCCCTTCTGAGTTGAAGCCTGACTAGAAGAGCTGCAGGAAAGTGGCCTCGGATTTTCCAAGCCTTCACCTAGAATCCTCTCTGGGCACCTAGATATGGATGACAGGTACCTCTAGCAAGGGATCAGCCGCAATCGATGACCGGCAGGTCGCAAGTATCGAACTGCAATCAATGTACGGAGTTAGTACGGCGGCAATCGATGTGCTGCGGTCAATAATGCCCGCTATAAATCCCTGCTGGATGAACTGCCATACAAGCAAAAATAAAAATCTATTCAAGGACTACTAAACGTATATCCATCGCTGCATAATCGCCACGCTTGCCCAAACACCAATCCGCACCTCCGGGTATCGTCATATCCAAGCAAATTTATAAATCAGGATGATTCCAAAGAGAGCAAACCGCGAGCACCTCCAATGCAATCGCTAACCAGATATATCCAAAATTCTTTTCTGCTCCTGTTCACAACTAAGGCAATAGTCCTTATACCAATTTTCGATGTCATCCTCTCTACCGGAGAACCGCTGTTTGACATCGTCGGCCCTGTCCTTGTCTGGCTTGGTGCCACGATTGTTGAGCATGTTATCAACCATGTGACATCTTCGCGTTTCTTGTTGGATCCATCGCTCCCATTCAGCTCGGATGACCTCCTTTTCAATGCTATTAATGACCTTTAATGCTACGAGAAGATCGTGACGGTATGTGCCAAGCCTCTGTCGCGTACGCTGTAGGCGATATGCAACACTGTTTCCTCTCTTGGCTGCATCGGCCGGAACAAGTCCGCCTTCATTCGTCGCATAGAGGTTACTCTCCTGGAATACCGAGAAGCTAGATAAAACATCAGAAACTTGGATCTCAACGACTGCTAGTGAGCCAGGAATCTAGGCAGCTTACCAAGAACTTGAATTAGACAAGTTGAAACCTCCCACATTGATGATCGCGTCATCAATATCTTTGATATACACTGCCTTTGTAAGAACGGTGTTTGGTCGAACACCCAAGCGCGCCATAAAATTGCCGGCGTTTCGCTCGTGCCACCAGTCAAATGTGTCGCGGTACGAGTGAAACCCATTTAAGATAGCGCTGCAAATCAGTAATGATAGAATCACTTGATTTGCCTTGAATGTCTTCCATATCCAGCGGAGAACAGCCCAAAACCAGATTAACAACGTAGAGACTGCACTCTGCAAAAACGAACCAGACGTTTCAAGGAGAAGCGGTAGAAGGCCGCTTTGCCTCAGTGGGCGGCGTAGTTGTGATCTCGGATTTAGTGCCAGAGAATCCGATGTGAGCTTAAATGCTTGGGCTTCCTGGCCAATATTCCCAAAGATCGAAATTGCTTTTTTCGTCATGTGATGGTGGCCCAATTTCTTCACTTGATCAGAAGCGAGATCAATTAGATCAAGGGCATCCTGTTCCAGATCCTTCATCGCCTCTCGTTCGATGACAGCTGATCCGAGTTAGCGACGAAAGTTATAAACTTTAGTAGGGTGTAGAGAAAAGGCCTACATTTAAACAAGTACGGCTCAGATAGCCACTCCACTTTTGTAAATAGAGCGAGTTTACACCTCGACTTCGCAACGTGCGTTATCACGACTTTGCTGACTAGTTGAAACTGTCCTTTGAAAGGAAGATGCCATGGGGTTCGTTTATCGGTTACAACATAGCACAGATGATCGTTGAGAACGTCCACAATCTGGTAGTCGGACACATGGGTGAGATTAGGCCTTCCTGTTTATCGCATGTTAGTGTGATCAAGCCCGCATGATGACCTGAGTTGACTCACCAAAAAAGTCCGCCACTTCAATCTGATACCCGAAGTGGCGCCTCATGTACGCGGTTTCAGCATTTGACCAAACACTCTGCTCGATGTCTTTGGTACACGAGATTTAGCTTATGCCCAATAAATCTGATAGGCGTGTATGAACTTACTTTGAGCTCTTCGCTGAAGCTGAAGAAATTGCCAAACGGGACTTTTATCCCCGAATATAACATGAAAAAGTGCCTTCGGACCGACATCAAAATATTTTTCTGCCGTAGGATGTAGTTGACCTTGTGGGATGTATTCGACGGGTTGCAAAGGCAACCTAAACCGAACCCCGTCCGCATTGTTCCTCGAGTCACCTTTGCCTATATCGAGGCCTTTCTCGACGTAGAGTCCGAGCTTCAGCAACTTTTCAGGTTTCCGAATGCCGGAGCCACTCATTGCTTCTGTGGAGGTACTCAGGTTGACATCATCCCAACTCTCCACGCTCGCACGTCGCGTTGGCCCTTCATGTTCCATTCTGATGAGTGTTTTAAGGACAGTCTCCAAACTAGCCGGTTCTTCGGAAGTTGCGTTATTAACAAGAAAGTTCAGCCGTCGTCGAAGTAGTTTTAAGGGCTCTAGGAACGTTTTGATAGTCAGACGTCCGGGAATATCGCTTCCTTTTTCGGGGATTATATGCAAATAGAGAAAATCGCAATCTCTGCCAGAGGCAGCAGTCACTTCAGATATGCTGCAGAGGTTC